AGCCGTTTGCGAGGCACGTCGAATTCTCGCGCCAACGCAGAGATATTTGGCTTTTTTTGACATGAAGCCTTTTTTAAGGCCTCCTGGATTCGGGATTCGATTTTATCTGGCGATTTTGGCATTGTGGTGAGGTAGAAAATTGATGAAATATTCAAAATTGGACGTTGTGGTCAAAATGGACGTTACGGTGCAACGCACCAACACGGGACGATGTTGGGGCGGGAGCACGGGTAGTTGCTTAGTGACAGTAGTGCAGCCAGGGGGGATGACCCGGCTCGGAGATTTTATTGGACTGGGTCACGGGGAATGCGGCCCGGCATGCCATGGAAGCCCCGCTCGGATCCCGTGCGCACGCCACGTGAACACCAGATGGCTGAACGAGTCTGTAATAATATTAATGCAGCAATTCCATGCTAGCAACGGTTTATGACGACAGCAATCATGATAACAGCAATCATGCTGGCCTCTGCTCCAACACACTCTCGACGCTTTTGAAGAAGATCGACCAGCGAGCAATCTGCCATGGCGAGGGCCACAGGCTACGTGCGGGGTTGCCCCTCACATGCCTGTTTAGCTCATTCCAGAATCGTTCCATCTGCCAACATGCCGTCTCGAGGCGGAGCTCAGGCCCCTGATAAGCAGCTAACAACTTAACAAGATCCCAGAACCCGGCCTACTTAACCTAGGCGTGCTTTCACATCCACCGCCTCGCCCAATGATCTTCCTGTCCTCCCCATGTGAGTCCAGCATGACCATGTCCTCGTCCACGCCCTCTTCCTCGTCAAAATCGCTCCTCGAGACCCTGGCTGCGCGCATCGCCGCTAATGCAGAGGCCATCAGCGCCTTCAATGCGCAACATAGGCATCCCAATCGCTCGTTCGACCGGGATGCGCCCACGACGTTGCTCCCCCCCGGTGCCCCGCAGGACCTGCGCGTCAAGCAGCAGGAGCTCATCGACGCGGCGTCGGAGCTGCAGCTGCTGGCAACGGACGTGAATGAATATCTGGTTCGCCAGGCTGTTAACGTGAGTTCCCTTCATCTAAGAAACGAAGAGCAGTGGAGAGTGGTTTGATTTTCAGACACTGAGCTGGCGAAATCCAGAATAACCAATTCTACTGTCTTCGATGGCTCTTCCATTTCCGGATCCCGACCCTAGTCCCCCTGGACAGGCCGATCGCCTACTCGGAGCTGGCGGCCGCCGCCAAGGTACCCGATTACCAGCTCAAGAGCATCGCGCGCATGGCGATCCTGATCGACTTCTTCACCGAGCCGGAGCCAGGCCTGCTGGCGCACAGCAGCACGTCAGCCGCGTTCGCGACGACGCCGAGCCTGCTCGAATGGGGCTACTTCCTGACCAGCATCTCGGCGCCCATGACGACCAGGATGGTCGAGGCGACCGAGCGCTGGGGCGCGACCGACGCCAAGAACCACACGGCGTACAACATCGCCCACGACACGGACCTGCCCATCTTCCAGCACGTGGCGTCGTCGCCCGAGCTGAGCAAGCAGTATGCCTCGTACATGAAGAACCAGACCATGAGCGAGGGGAACAGCATGCAGCATGTCGTAAACGGGTTTGACTGGGCGTCGCTGGGCGAGGCCACTGTAGTCGACGTATGTTAGACGCTTGCTACTTGCCATGATATGGAGAGATAACAGCTCCGTTTGAATGAATCTAGGTCGGCGGATCAATGGGCCACGCAAGCGCAGCGCTCGCCTCTGCATTTCCGCACCTGAACTTGATCGTCCAGGACCTGCCGGACACGATCCGCAGCGCTCGAGCAGCAGCGGCATCAGCATCATCAAACTGGTCCGAGTCGGTCGCAAAGCGGATTACGTTCCAAGAGCACGACTTTTTCACGCCACAGCCCGTCGCGAACGTGGACGCGTTTTTCCTCCGGATGATCCTCCACGACTGGCGCTCGGCCGAATGCGTCACCATCCTGCGACACCTGATCTCCGCATTGAAGAAGCCCAACGGTCGGATCATCGTCATGGACATTGTCCTGCCGCGCGCGGGGGCCGGCTTCAGCAGCAGCAGCAACGGCAGCGCCAGCACTAATAATACTGATAACACCAACGGCTCCTCCTCATCCCCCGCCCTAACACCTTCCAAAACACAAGAAGCAGCGCTACGGGTACGCGACCTGACGATGCTGCAAGCGCACAACAGCCACGAGCGGGACCTCGACGACTGGATGCGCCTGTTCGCCGAGGCCGATCCGGCCCTCAAGCTTCGGAACGTGGTGCAGCCGTTCAAGAGCGTCATGGCCGTGATGGAGTTGAGTTATGGGGATAAATAACCTTTCCCATTCATTTCCTTTCATTCGAATGGAATGGAATGGAATGGAATGGGATGGAATGGGATTGTGTTGACTTGATTAAGGTGAGTTGATACCATACCAACAAGATGTGCAGGATAATCCTGTTGAAGATAGACTAGTTAGACATTATTATTACACTACATGGTATTACATACACATTAGATACAGAGTACCTACCTAGATCCTGAATGCAATGAAATGAATGCAGTGCAATGCAATGCGATCGTGAGTCATTCTCTCAGTCATTCTTTCATAAGAAGCATAAGCAGAATCGTAAGCTTAAGCATATCTATTAAAGGCAAAAAGAAAAAAGAAAAACAAAAGAAAAAAGAAAAAGAAAAAGAAAAGAAAAAAGAAAAAAAATTCATCGCGTAATTAATAGTTAATTAATCAATTGAGACTGACTACCTTGGTATAAGAATCATGACATCGCTACAGAGCTATATATAAGCTTGCATCCAGTGTTACAACATTTAATACTAAGCAAGGAAAATGAAAAATGCAGAAATAATTCAATTCCTCTGAAGCAAGATCAGCAAGAGATAACAGCTTGCTTTCGTCCTGTTCTTCCTGACCTGGCATAACCTTCAATCCTAACTAGCTAGCTGGGTATGTATGGTATATGGTATATATGCATGCGTGCATGCAGCCCTTGAAAGTATGCAAAATATAATACAAAAAACAATAAAAACTCATCATCAGAGCACGTGTGATAAAAGTACAGACAGTAAATGTGAATGTAACCAAAAAGGGGGGAAAAAAATAAAAAAGAAATGAAGACTGAAGCATAGATATCACCACATATGAAAAGAAATGAGGGAGAATCATTCTAAACAAAAAAAAAATGAAAAAAAGAAAAAAAAGACCCAACGCCGACGCCAATTCCCATGCTCATACATGCTATCATTATCGTGTCGCCCTGTCCAGAAAAGCTGCCAGTCGAGCGGAGTTCTCACGGTGCTGTTGCACATTCGTCAGTTAAATTCCACAAATCTCTCTCTCTCTCTTTTCTGTTTTTAAGGCCCAGCTTACCATCATGGTGAAGTGATTGGCACCCTCCATGACCTCCGTCGCAACGCGCTCTCCCGGGAAGAGTTTCGCCCAATCCCCCGCTGAGAAATCCGATCGCTGCTCGACCAGGAATTTGATGCCCTCTGGATCTCCAGGCCTAAGGGGGAATTTGGGGAATCGCACCCCATCGAAAACGCACTCGCCCGCCCAGAGAATCGACGTCCTGGGCGTGAATCCCTCCGGGAGCGGCTCAGCATGGTAGGTGTGCAACACATCCATGTTGGCTTCGAAATGAGAGACCAATGTTGTCAACGATTTATCCGCCGGCGCGGAAGGCAGAAAACTGCCAAAGATCCCCGCTGCCGCGCAGTGATCGTACCATCGTCGAGGAAGCTTGTCTAACCCTTCCAGTGGTGGCGGCGCGTCGATCAGCGCGAGTGAATCCACCTCCTCGCCTTCTTGGATCAGCCGTTGGGCTGCCCGATAGGCGAGTATGCCCCCAGATGACCAGCCGCCCAGGTTGTATGGACCAAACGGCTGGCGGCGCCGCAGTTCGGTCAGATAGCTCTCTATGAGATCGTCCAGATCAATGCAGTGCATCTCCTCTGGGTGCCGATAATAGGGACAGTTTAGCGCGATGATCGCCAGGTCGGATCGTACCCGCGGCAGGTTCGCATAGGACGTCGCCGACCCGGAGCCGTCGGGGAAGAGAATAAGGGTCTTCGCGGCTGTTCGAGGCTGACCTTGCAGAATGACCGAGGTTGCAGGTCTGACTTGGACCGATCCTTTGACATCATTGCGCTCCTCTACCGTCTTCAATGAGAATGACGATAATGACGGCTTGTGCTCATGCTCGCTGCCTACTGTTGGGCTGCCAGAAAAAACTGCGTCTTCTTTCTTGAGGGAGAAGTGAAATTCACTTGAGTCCTCCCAGGTCGTCGATGATGCAGCAGCCATGCTGCTGCTACTGCTGGCAGAAGAAGTGACTGTCAGGTCATCATCCTTAGACCCTGGCAACGTGTTGCTGGCAACACCCGATATAAACTCCTTGAAGTCTCGGACCGTCGGAAGAGAACCGAGGAGCGAGGAATCGTTCATCTCGATCGAGAGCTCTTCCCGGCATCGAGCAACCACCATGAGGGATAACAGCGAATCGATCCCGATGCTTGCAAACTCAACATCGTCTGTTAAATCCGTCACAGAAAGGCCGCTTTCTTCGGCAATGATCTCGAGAGCCCTTGTAGCAACTGACGACTGCTCCATCTGGCTTTGGTTCCCTGTCTCTGGGTCGATCGTTATCGTTTGATCATCAGTCTGTAGGCTATGATTACTATTATCATTATGATTATCAAACTCGCTGAAATGTTCTTCTTCTGGAAATGGCCTCTGCACGACTTCTTCCTCCTTGTCAAAGACAATATTTTCTCGTTCACCCATGCTAGTGGGCCTGGCGCGTTCAAAATGCTGCTGCTCCAGGAAATCCTTCAGATGCTTGATTGTCGGGAGATTGGCAAAAGTAGCCGCTTCTATTTCCACATCCAGTTCCTCTCTCAGCCTGCTGGCGATCAACAGAGTCAGGAGAGAGTCGATGCCCAGATCTGCAAATTCGCTTGGATCGGTCAGATCTGATACGGCAACTCCGCTCTCATCGGAAATAATCTGCAGAGCACGCTGGATGAGCCCCGAAGCTGCTGGCGTTTTCTTTTGCTGAATTCCGTTGTTGGCCTTGGTCGTGACATTGGGTGAAACAACAGCAGCAGGCTTCGATTCACCTCTCCCGACCGGCACAGACTGAGCGACAGTGTCTGTTTTCGGTGACGGAGAGTGACTCTTCTTCAAGAATTCAGGTTCTGGCCTGGAGTTGGCCAGATTGACACTGACTGATCCCAATGATGATTTTGTCTCGACTGATTCTTTGTGCTGATGGCCTGCCCCTTGCGAGTCCCTTTCCTGAGACAAGATCATACGCAGCAGTTGTCTGGGCACACCTTGCATCTATCGAAGAAATAAGTCAGGAAATGTCTTGGCAAATTCGGCAAATGGCAAAGGTCCCTTACCGTAATACCCTTGTAGCTAGCCACCGGCCTTTCTCCATCCAAGACGATCAAATCGCCGCGCCATTCCTTGTTTTCTGCAGCCGTCATCTTCACATACGTCGTATACTTCTTGGCTTCCGAGAGCTGTTCATACAACTGAAAGCTCGACCAGCCGTGATTGACAAACACCTCTTGTTCCAGATTGGAGTTTTCATTCGCGTTCATCACAAATCCTGCCGACTGGGAAAGAACATCGATGAAGGCCGGATGAAGACTAAATTTGCCATTTCCATTGCCATCATCTTCTTTCTTTTTCGTAGAGCTAAAGCAGACAACACTCGAGGCGTCCATTGCGGAACTGTCAAGGATGATTTCATCGAGTCCCCGATAATCGGGATCGAACTGGGCGAGGCTGTCCACCATTCGATAGATCATCGGTTTGTTGAATCGATACGACTGACACGTTTCGATGCCCTTGCGAAGAGCCGCCATTCGGGACTTGGCGGCAGCCATCTTCGACGTCGCTTCTTTAAGGGACTCGGATTTGTCCCGCAGTTGAATGATGCAATGGCTGTGCTCTGCCGTTTTTTGACCGGCGACCTGCATATATAGTTAGTGATCCTGTTGGTAGAAGGGGATCTCTGATCGATACTAACACTGGTGAATCGGCAGAACACACTCCCCTTGCCCAAATCGACCTCTGCCCATGTCCGCAGCGCTTGTGTCTGTCCTCTACCTCTCGGAACCAAAGCTTTTTTGATTGTCAATTCCGATATATCGATCAGAGAGTCATTCTTCCTCTGCGGAAGATAGCGCTCGAGGATATAGGTGCCAAGAGTAAGGGCAATTTCGGCGTAAACGGACTGAATCGATAATCATATTAGATTAAATCATCAAATGAGCTCCAACTGCATGAACAGAGCTTACCGGCGTGCAAAGGGGAATATTGTCAACTCGGTGACCTTGCGCAATGGCAAAGACATCCGAGTGGCCGATGTCAGTCTCCACAACAATCGAGCCCTTCCCCCTCTGGATGGTATTTTCAACCACCCTTTGTATAGACGGGCTTTCCAGCTTCGGCAGCACTGGATCTGGACCCGCGATAGGCATCTTTGCGTTCGAGACGGTTGCTTGCTGGCCTTGTATCCAGTAGTCCTTCAGATCCCAGTTATAGGTTGGGAGCTGAATGACTTGCTGGCACGCTTCGAATCCCCGATGATATTCCATCCAGTTGATGTTTGCGCCTGCGGCATAGAGGGTTGAAAGTGTTGACGCCCAAATGGGCCACGTATCTTGTTTCCGTTTGAGGCATGGCAGTGTCGTGACGGATGAGTTGAGGACAGATTTCACCATTTGAGTAAAGAATGGCTGCGGCCCAATCTCGAGTATTTGGCTCTTCTCGCTAATAACACGAGAATTCCAAGCCTCCCGAAGAGCCTCAAGCATATTAACAGGCTTTCTGCAGTGGTCGGAGAGATACTTGGGTCCAAAAAAGCCTGAATCCTCAACTACAGTCGCAGACAACGGGCAGATCACGGGGATCGTAGGCTTTCGGAAGTTCAGCGTTTTCGCCGACTTTTCGAAGTCATCGAGAATGACGTCCACTTGAGAAGAATGGAAAGCATATGGGACTGAGAGCAGAGTGGCTTTGATCTTGAGGCTCGCCAGAGTAGCCTGGATCTCGCGAATATCTTCGACTTTTCCGCTCAGGACAACATCCTCAGGACCATTGATGCAGGAGATTTCATAATTCCTGCCTCTCAGATGATGTGCAGCGGTGGCTTGAGAGGCCCCAACGGCAAGCATGGCATGAGTGCCACGTTCACAACGCTCTTGCAGCAACTGCGCTCTCCTGGCAACGAGATAGATTGTATCCGAATCCGACAGAACTCCCGCGATATTCAGAGCAGCATATTCTCCGAGGCTGTGGCCAACCACTGAATGAGGGACAATACCCAGCGAGATCCAGAGCCTGGCGAGAGCAATTTCCAGACAAATGGTGGCCACCTGGATGACGAACGGAGAATAGCTGTCCAGATTGTCTCCAGCGGCAGAACAAAATTCCAGAACGGAGGGACATCCATGACTCTGCACGATCTGATCGAGATGGATAAGATCCGACCGAAAAGAAGGGATATTCTCAAACAGCTGCTTCCCCATGCCAGGATACTGCGATCCATTTCCAGTAAAGGCGAATGTGACTGGCGGTGCTGATTTCGGCCGGACGGTCCCGTCGCCACGGGCTAACGCCTGGCCAAGCTTTGACTTGACCTCTTCAAGGCTTGAACCAGATACAACTACTCGATGGGGATAATGGAGCCGACGAGCGGTGGTCGTATAGGACAACGCCGGTAAGGAAACTTGATCTGCCGGAGTGCTATCAAGGAACGACAGGAGCGATTGGACGTTCTTCCTCAGAGACGTAGCGCATTTTGCGGAGACGGCAACGACGTGGGAAGACCGGGGATCCGTTCCATCACGAGGAGCCACAACGGGAGCATCCTCCACCAGAATAGCACTGTTTCCACCCGCCGCACTGAAATTATTGACGAACACTCGGCGAGGTCTATTATCCGATCGTTTTAGCCAAGGAACGGGTTTTCTGGCGATGAAGACCTTTCTTTCGTCAAGGTCTGTCGGGAATCTTGGGTTGATTTGGGATTTGATGCCGCAATGGGGCGGAATGGTGTTGTGTTTGAGCATCAAGAGCACTTTAGCGAGACTGGTAGCTCCAGCTGCCCCTTCGCCATGTCCAACGTTCGCCTTGACGGATCCGAGGTATAGAGCTTGGCTGTCGTTCCGTCCCGTTGCGCCGGCCGTGGGAGCAAATGTCTGCAGCACGGAGTTCATCTCGGTGATATCACCCGCTTGTGTCCCTGTTCCATGCATTTCGACATAACTAACGTCATACGGGTTCACACCGGCGTCGTTTAGGATCTTGGTAAAAACCGCTCTTTGAATATCGCAATGTGGCCGGGTAATTGACTCCGCTTCTGCCGAATGGTTGGTATAGGCACCGAGGATGACTCCAAGGATCGGGTCACGATCGGCAACGGCGTCCTCGAGACGTTTCAAAATGACCGTAGCGATGGCTTCTCCGCGGCAATAGCCATCTGCCATCTCGTCAAATGTATTGCAGTTCCCCTTCCGGGAAAGAAAATGGCCCCGATCGAGGCCTGCCGTATAGGCGGGGTTTGTGAGCACATTCGTGCCCCCGGCAATGGCAGTATCCACATCGCCTTGCCACAGCGCATTGCAGGCTATGTGGATAGCGGAAAGGCTGGATGAGCAAGCCGTATCAACACTACAGCTCTGGCCACTAAATTTGAAGAAATAATTGATCCGTCCCGGGACAAATGCACGACAGCCCCCTGGGATGAAATAGGTGTCGATGTCTTGGGAACTATTCATTTCCATCCAATCATTGCTGGACACACCATAGAAGACTCCAACGCGATCTGGTTGCGTCGACGGAGTGGCTCCCGGAACCATTCCAGCCTGCTCCATTGCCTCGTAAGTCGTCATTAAGGCGATGCGGCTGGCCGGATCCACTTGAGGCGCTTCTCGCGGGGAGATGTTGAAGAACTTGGCGTCAAAGAGTCCCGGGTTGTTCAGCCAACACCCATACGGAGTGCGGCTTGTGTTCTTCCTTCTGCCTGTCGGGTCGACGTGCGTGGAGACATCCCAGCGCGATGGAGGCACCGTCTTATGGACATCAAGTCCCCGGAAAAGGACCTGCCAAAATGCGTCGAGATCTTCGGCCTCGGGAAACCTCCCAGACATGCCAACGATTGCAATTTTGGACCTGCCCGAGGGGGTCTTAAATGAGGCGGATTGGAACTCTTGCAATTCAGGTCGAGACTCGGATGATATCACCGGACTGTAGCCTTGCTGTTTCAACGCCGCACACAGCGCTTTCTCGGCATTGGTCCCGATGGGATGAAGAGTGATATGAGAGTCCCTGCTGAACTGGGAAAAATAGGAAACTCCGTACACCAGATCCTCCCAGCGAATCGGGCGTAGAAGGATATCCTCCAGGGCGACTTCTAACAGATCTCGGTAGCTGCGAGCAGATACGACTTTCCCCGAGGAACTGGAGAGAACAGGAGAACACGCGATGCGGTTGGACCACTGTTCGGGTGATGTCGATTCTAAAATCTGCTCGATATCATGCTTGCTGAACAGGCGCCAGGTATGGAAAGGCGCATACACCGGAGATTCCCATACCCGAAAGGAGGAAAGCTCAGATTGGCGCAAGGCGCGCAGGGCCAAAGGAGGTCCACTGATGGTTACACTGTGTTCTGCTGTGACACTGACATAAGGTTGCGATGCGGGAGGAAGATGCTGTTGCTGTTAGTTAGCTCGTTCCTGACAGCTGTCAAATCTCACCGGGTAACTCACGTGCTGGCGACAAAAACGATCCAAAGCTTTGTCCGCACCGTCTGGCGAGAGCCCCGAGACGATGAGCGACCAAGGCAAAGGAGCACCGTCCGGCGCCTGCTCGATCGACTGCCCGACTTCGACTGCGCGCCATCCCGCGCGGAAGGCAACACCCACGGTATGAATTGCCGTGGGCACCAGCTCCGACAGCGTTCTGCAGCAGCTGACCGTCGCAGCTGCCAGTGACCCCGTACACAATCCAATCAAGCACGGATTGGAATGCGAAAACAGGCCACCATTTTGGGCGCACTCGCTATCGATTGTCAGCGAATTTTTTTTTTTGATCACAGACAACATCAAAGGACTCGTCGCCTTACCTGATCACGGAGGCCAGTTGATAGATGCATACTAAGGCGCCGTGCAGAGAAGGGTGCAGTTTTCCGCTGCGATGGATGGCCAGCAGATCCTGCACACTGTTGAAAGGATGAAACGGCGCCTGCTTCGTCTTGGGAAGCTTCCTGACCTCGGTGCGGAGGGTCTGGTAGGCGCCGTCCAAGAACGCCTTCAGCAGCGGCTCATGAGAGCGGTGCAGGAGGGCAGCCAGCCCCGGGGTTATGTCGAAGGTCTGGTCACCAAACAGGTAGACCTGGGAATCCTCCAGCCTCCTTCCAATCCGCGAAGCAGCCATGGCGGCGCGATCATCACAGACTGACAGCTGGAAGAGCAAAGCGGGAACATGTCAGTCAGGAGAATTGGCAGGCACCATGCGCAGACGGTTTATCTGGCAGACGTGATGGGCTGTGCGGAGACAAACGGCGCATGTCTGGATCTGGCACGCGGCCCTGGTCGAGATCCAGCGTCCGGGAACAAGCGTGTGTAATTGAAGCGCACGAGTACGGAGCAAACTTGCACGCCAAGCACTGGCGCTAAGGTTGGGGGCGACTGTTCCTGTTGGCTTCTAGTCCGACTCCGCGTCAATTGCATAGAGATCTTATCTAATACCGCGCTGGTGGAGCCACCTCCACCTCCTGGCGAGGATATATCCGGAAATGAGCTCGATCCCTGCCGTCGGCCACGTTGACCGCATTTGCACTACTCGACGCGTTGCGCCTGTCAAGCTTCAGCGAGTCCCCGCCTTGACCCCCTATTTCATGCCCGATGAGGAAGGTGAAAGGGTGGCTAGACATGATACTGGTCTGGCACTTGAGCAACCTTAATGCTGTTTTTCTCCGGTGCTTATTCTATTACATGCATGCCTGCTAACACGCCCTTGTGTTGCTCAACCGCGCCAGGTCTCGTTTGACGTCTCCGCCCAACAATACTCCATGTTATTAGTGGAAGCGATCAGTTATCTTGACAGATCGAACGGATCTGGCCCTGGTCGAAGGAGCGTCTGATTAGTAATTCACCTGGCCCAGGTCATAGATGACCAACAATTCATCCAGAGCTCTTGCAGACTGGCTATGCCATGAATTCCGTGCGCGATTTACGGCATCCAGGAGGTCATACCACCCCGTCGACAAAACCACCGTTGAAGCTCCGGAGAAGTTTGTGCAGTAAAGCGCCTTCCGCGCTTTCCCAAAAACAGCCTAGCGTCCACTCGCACAGACGGGTGCCACATGTGCCACCAAAGTTATTCCTCTCCGGAGTCCGGAGTTGCAAGGAGATACTGTCATTTTTATCCACGCTGGTTGTTTAAATTAATTTAATTAATTACAGAGTAATTAATTGCCCCTAAAAGCCACACTAATTCCGTGCCTATGGAATTGGTTATAGCGTCTGTGGACAGAGCACTCCGTACTCTGTCAGCAGTGCCGTCCCGCTGTCACATGGCATGGCATCCCGGGGAGGAGGAAAGAATGTGCCTGGAAAATTCGATCCAACGGCCAGGGCATGCATACGCGATCGAATCACATGATCCGGTAGTTGTGAGCAAACCCTGCAGGACAAAAAAGCATAATTCAACTGCCGTCGATGCCACCTGCCCAACCAATCATGACTGTGGTCTACTGTTGCTTGTTATCTTTCTTTCTAGATGATGACATGCAATGATGGCCCCGTTTGCGGCACAGCAGAATCCTATCCTATTAATATCAATGTACTGTACTGTGCAGTATTCTATTGTTTTCAGAATTAGCTATTAATAGCTCTAGCTCCCTGTCTGCATACAGTAGTTCTGACGTGTCCAGTGCGCTGTCTTACAGAGCACTGTCTTGTTTCTAGTGCAGCGCCACGGTTATTCATGTCTTTATTGTCTTTTTTTTTCTTTTTTCTTTCTTTTTTTCTTTTTTTGTTCAACTGCATACGGAGTACTATGCGCAGAGTAGTTGGAAAGTATCTACTGGATCAGTGAATAATCCAGTTTCAATAGTCTCGAATTATCTATTATTGACTGGTCATAAGCATATCATAAGCATTAAAGAAATAATAATAACCAACCTATAGTCAACCATCTTCGTCAGCTCTTCGTCTCGTCGTCTTTGTTTCGTTAGTTCTCTTTGGTCGTCATCTTTGTCTCATTATTTTTGGCAACAGATAATTCGTGCTCAATACGTTGCCGGCACCACTGCCAGCTTGCCGCCATCCACAAGTAAAACACTGCCATTGACATAGGCCCCCGCCCTGCTGGTCAGGTAGAGAATGACGCCCGCTATGTCCTCATCCGAACCCGCCCGTTCGGCGGGGATGTACGACCGAGACAGCGCACCCTCCTCGGTGACCTCCTTGTCCTTGCTGATGCGGAATGGCGTCAACAGTCGATCCGACATGTCGGACGGAAATACTGCAACTGGTTAATTAACTAACCCCAGGCCCTCCCGAGCAAGGAGAATACTCACATCCCGCAGCGAGCGCATTGAACCGGATTCCCCATGGCACGCAGTACGTGGCGAAACACTTGATCAGGCTGATCAGGGCCGCTTTGCTGCTCGAATAGGCAAACCCATATCGCGCGTCGCGCATGAATCCCGCCATGCTCGCTGTCGCAATCACCTGGCTTTTCAGGGGATAATTGCCCTTTTTGTTCCCCTCATCGAGGAGCTCGAGAAACGCCAGGACGGTGTAGAAGGCCGCGGTGCAGTTGAGCCCGTACACCGCGTTGAACTCGGCCATGGGCACGTTCCACGCATTCTGGACAAACTCGGAGACTGTCGCTCGGGGAGGGAGCCCCTTCAGTCCCGGCCCAGCCATCCCAGCATTCGCGACCAGCACATTGATGTACCCGACCTCTTGCCGGACAACGTCCGCGGCGGCTTTGAGGCTGTCTTGAGAGGTGACATCGGCGGGGAGCGGTCGGATGACACTAGAGGATCAGTAAAGTTAGACGTTGGTCTGGACTATTTGCCAGACATGGCTGGTAGAAGAGAGAGCTCGGTGCAGGATCCGGCTCCGGGCACGTGCTGTCGGCAGTGATGTTTCTGTAGGCATGTATGTACCTTGGATAGCGGGCCGCTGCCTCTCTCAGCTTGTCCTCCCGCCGCCCCACGATGTACACGGCCGCTGCACCGTTTTCTGCGAGAGCTTGGGCCATCATCAAGCCCAGGCCTGATCGAAGAAGGGATTCCTCAGCTCGCGAGACCCAATCAAGGCAGGGATGCAGAGCCACCCACCTGAGCCACCGCCCGTGATCACGGCGACCAGGCCCGTGATACTGAACAGCTGTTCTGATTTGACGGACGGAGGCATGTTGCAGAGGCAGAGAAACAAGGATTAGGCGTGCTTCTGGGCTCCTCCTAGCCCGAATCGCGTTCGGGAAGCGTCCGATCTACTACTGTCCAGGGCCCTCAGAAACGCCTGACTTTATATAGCCCCGCTGGAGCCAATCTGACGACACTATACTCAATGGGGGCAAGGCGGAGCAGCTGAGATGCAATCCCGTCCTCCGAGATGTTCTGGAAGTGAGTTTAAGTTGGGGAGCGCTGATCGCACGGCGGTTCGACCGGCCCGAATCGGGTGACCAGCGTGTGGATCGCGGAAGCTAGGGACTCGTATTCACGCAGGGCCTGGCAGTAGCATGGCTCCAGGGCAGTCTGGTAATCGATTCAGATGCTGAAACCAACAGGGGGGAGGGTCTGGAAGATGCTTGGCGACGATATCCTCTGGGCAATGGCTCGGGGTTGCATGATGCCATTCCCGTCAGCGACAACAGATGTTTGCAGCGGGTGGGGGAGGGGCAGGAGGAGCCAAAATGGGATGCCCGAGGCCGCGACCTTTGCGGCGTAGCATCGCTGAGCACTCACGTATTAACGGCCAGGGTCCCCTCCGATCGCGATTCCTCCTGGTCGCAGTCGAGTCTTCCATTGCACGCAAAACACCAGGGAACGTTCCGCCAGCCATTCTCTTCAGAGCACCATGTCGGAGCCAGCCCCCGTGATCCTCTGTGGAAAGACCACCCAGATTGGCGAGGGCGTCATCGCCAATCTCAAACCAGAATACGAAGGTGCAATCAATCAATCAAGGATCTCTCTCTCCTCTCGGAGCTGCCAAGCTGATTAGTCTCTCCTTGCAGTTGTCCACTTCATCATGTCGCCGGAAGAAGGGAAGGTGGCCATCCCGGCGATTCTTCGAGGAGAGGCGCCTCCCAACCCCAGCAACGATCTGGGCTCGAAGAACTACTCGAGGCCGCCCATAGCCGTGCTGACGGGCGCGGGATATGACGACCAGGGCGTCGAGGTGATGCGCACGGCTGCAAAGGGTCTGAAGCCACTGCCTTGGCTGCGGCCGGATACCTCCAAGCCAGCCCCGCCTCTCGGGCCGGAATATGGCAAGGCCCTGGTGGAGAGGATCAAAGTCACCTTGAAGGAGATGGCAGAGAAGGGCGAGCTGAACGAGGATAAGGTCGTCTGGTACTAGAATGCATGTATGCACAGTACATGCATGTCTTGCACCTTGCTAGTCACTGGGACGATATGACGGTCCTATCGAGGCAGATCCCTGCGATAGGACGCGTGGCCAGACGGGGATGATGCAGCACATCGAACTAGGTCCAGGATCGCGTTGGTTGGGGCCAAAGCTTATTGAATTTAGCAATGTCTGTGCAGACCCTGCAGAACGGTGAACCTTGGCATGTACTGTATCGTCGGGTGGGGTAGTTGTCGATAAGCAATGTCATCTATCCTTGCTGTGATCGAGCAAGCTGAGCACGAGTGTCACCTTGGATGGTCACACTGTGCAATTTACGTGCAGTCAATTATTAATATAATACTGATTTCCATGTCTAGTCTACTGCTCATAAGCACTACTCAGCAGTAGACTTAGATAGGAAGCCAAGGGAACCCTGGGAGCCGGGTCCATTGATGGCAGCAGGACATTGTCCCTGGAGGCATTCACATCGCTGCAGTCTGCAAACAAAGAGACCATTATGATTGTTAGGGTCCAGGAAGGTGAAACTGTCCAAGGACAGTACTGAAAACGACTCGGTGATGTCAAAGTAAGAGGAGCCATGCGGCATCAGCGAGCAATTCTTTAGTCTGTTCTGCCAGATAGGCCATCGGAGTGTCCTGCGACCGCTTTAGGGACCTCGTAGAAACATGGCATCAGCACAGTGAGAGCATGCCTCATCGTACCTGACCTTGGTAGCAGACCACAGAACCGGAACAGACGGCAGCGTGTTCAGGTCCGTAGTTTTGGGCCTTTTGTCCGGCAATTGTAACAACCCAAGCAATACCGAGGAGATAGCCACGGGAATAATATCCACTTTCTATCCACCTTCTATCCACTTTGTATTCGCTGCATGACTTCAAATGCTGAGAAGATGGTGCACGTGCGCGGGACGGTGTCCCTCTCAGCAATCGGAAGGTTGCAGCCATCTTATCCAGCCCCTGTCAGCAAATGGCCCCCATCCTGCCCGTGTTGCCGCGGCACGTTCTGGCCCCCGGCATCCGGCTCAGTCGACAAGTGCACGGGAATTGCTTCATGACTCTGTCCGTCTTGCGTGATTTACGAGCGTACTAAGCGCATCGCCATCCGCAAGAAGATAAAAAAACGGACTTGCAAAGGTGGTAACTGCACTAATGAGTGCTAAATCGGTTGATCTGGTTCAGAAACAATTGGTGTTCTAAATTTATCGGTGGCTGGAGACGCTTCAGGCTGCATGTCGCAATTCTATTCGAGCGGGGTGCAGAGTAGCACTGCCCTGCCTGCATTCTGGAGTACGAGATGTCGAGCTTACCTAGCTGAGGCCTCTCGGGTCATCGAATACGACGTGATGGCGCCTGGGGAGCTTACAGCCATGCTTGGCACACGGTCCCGGTGACGATCCTTGCTTGAAGATAAGAATATTTAGATCTAACCTGGAGTCATGAGGTCGTTAATCTTCTTTCTGGGGCCCCTCCATTTGATATCACATCCTCCTCCTCCCTCCTGCCTCCCAGGGACGACTCTATTGCTGTTGGTGCTACATTCTATTCAATCTTGTCTCTGACCAACGCAATGGTTGCCCATCCGATCACCATGCTTCGCCTGCTGGAAAGGCACGAGGAAGATCCCAGTGTGGGTGTGGCCGACAACATTCGAACCGTCATCGGGGTCTCGATCTTTTCCATCTTCCTTTCCGTTGTATCGACGGCCCTGCGATTTGGCTTCAGGAAGAATAGGAAGTTGCCGTGGTTGCTGGACGATCATATGATGGTGGTTGCCACAGTACGTCCTATGACAATCAAGTAGCAAATTGGCGACGGCTACTAAGCTCGACTACGTCTCTTAGGTCTTAGTCATTGCTGATGCCGCCTGTTACCTGCTGGGTGAGTGACCCTGCCTGTTGTGCAATTGCTCTTGTTGACAGAAGAAATCAGCACTTCGATATGGATTTGGGCATCATATCTATACCGTGAACCCGGCTGATCTAGTCACCTTTTTCAAGGTATTACACCAACGCTCAGTTAGTCTGAAAATCACATCTAAACATCTCGCACAGATCGTATTTGCCACTTTTATCCTCTACGGTTTCGCAGTCACCGCCGTGAAGGTTGGGGTATTATACTTCTACCGAAGGATATTCCCCGGCGCCGATCTGAAGATCTGGTTGATGGTTCTAGGTGCTCTGTCGTTGATCTGGTTCATCCTCATCACCTTGATTTCCGTCTTCCAATGTATGCCTGTCCAGAAGGCGTGGGAGGCGGAGTTGCCTGGCTATTGCATCCCATATCTGGATATTTTCATCGGCATGCAGGTCGCCAACATTGTTCTGGACATAGCCATCCTGTGTCTTCCCATCACCACCGTCTTGAAGCTGCACATGACGGTGTCGACCAAAATCAGTGTCGCCGGTACATTCGGGCTGGGTGGGCTGTAAGTACCCACATGTCTCCATGATATCGCTGATTGCAGCCGGATACTAATTACCACTAGCTCCATCGTTTTTGCTATTATCCGGCTGGCGATTCTCGTTCTTGACCGGAAGCAGACAGATATAACTTGTAAGTCCATCTCTATCTATTTGGTGCGGTGCGCAGGCAGTATTGACTCTGGTCTGCTCCAGTCGGAGTGGCGACGGCGAATTGGTCCATCGTCGAGCCCGCGTTTGAGATCTTCTGTGCTTGCTTGCCGACCATGACGCCTCTTCTGAAATATATCCGCAAGCTGGTGGCCAGTTTCGGATTCACGAACCGCCGCAGCTACGCATCGTTGCGCAATACGTGAATACTACCCTAACTGAGACTAGGTAGTGCTACGAATACGATCATGTTCCACGTGGACCCTTAGAATAATTCTAATCTTGGAACATAAGCCAATGTAGCAACAGTGTCGATTATTACTACTACTACTAGCGAATCGATACAACTTCAATTTCGTACTCGAAAAGAATAAACAAGCAAACCCTAACCCTATACACAACACATCATGGAGAGAAAAAAAAAGAGGAAAACAAGGTGAAGAAAAAAAAAACAATGTACTCTGACCACTTGCAACCAGCCCACCCAACCAGCACAGCACCGACGTTACATCCATCCATGCATAATTACATATGACCCCGCATTGATCGTGTCCCCAGAATCAGCGTCGAATTCGTCCGTCACTTCTTTCTCTCACTTTCGCTTCATATCCACTCAAACCGAGGATTTGTGCGTCCGTCTCTTTATTTTTGCTGACACGGTCGAATCATGTGACAGTGCAGGGATGTCAGAAGCTGAAAGAACAAAGAGCAACCCCGTCATTTCTCGTTCTTCCCCGGCTCCTTCCGGTGATTGTCGAAGTGGCCGCGACGGAGCGGAGAGCACGGGAGGGCGGGCAGTCCGGGCTCTGGTCCAGACGTCTCGCGATCACCGTCAACACCACCATTACTGATTTGAATATACGCAGCCGCAGACGCAGTCCGCATTAGTCTGATTTCATTACTGTTATTGATGTCATTGTTGCTATTGTTATTACCGGGAAGCCGCAACAGGACCTTGCCCAGGTGAACGAGTCGAACCCGCGGAACAAGAACTGCAGAAGATGCAGACGGCATCGCGTTGGAATGATCGGCGATCCGGGTGACGGGCGTGATGCCTAGCTTGACTGTGTGGCTAAGGATCCTGGTGCCTCGAAGCGAGCCGTGCCTGATGCCATTGGGACCGCCATGGTTGATGCCGTTGCCGTTGCCATTGCCGTTGCCGTTGAGCGCCAACCAAGGGTCAATATTGGTCATCGTCACCGGATCAAACACCTCGTTGGTTTCCGGGATGCGAAGGCGTGTCTCGAACGGAGTCGAGTGCAGGTCCAGCGAGAGAACGTGGGCGCCTGCGATGATCTCTCCCAGCGCTTCGCCCGCTTGCGTCATGTTGCCCGAGATGAGCGGTGCGATGAACTGCCACAGCTTGAGAAGATGGTCCTGCTGGCGCCGCTTGTAAAACTCCTGGAATCCTGCCTTCTCTTTAACGAGCTTCACCTGCTGAGACATCGCAGTGATCATCATGTTGCGAAGCGTTGTGGCGGTGTCTGATATTCATTTCGTCAGGGAGTGATAGCAGCGGAAGGAAGGGAATAAACCTACCAGGGAACAGGTGCTTCCTGATCTGGTTAATCTCATGATCAGCCGTGAAGTCAAAGCCCTTGATCACGGTGATTTTCAGAATCTCGTGGACGATATAGGAATTGATCGCCTTGGCAATCTGAAGCGGGCGCGTCACGGGATTGTTCAGCAAGTGCCATGCGACCTTGCTGTCCGAGGTCGACAAGATATAGTCCTTGACACGCTGGTCAAGGTGGATATCATTCCACGCGCTGGGTTCTCCCGCATAGGTACGGCCAAAGGCTTCTGACTTGTTCCAGAGTTCCTGGAATCGCGCGCCAAACTCGGTCGCCTTCTGCTCGAAATTGAAGCTTTGGACCCGGATCACTTTTGGAGCTAAGGCAGAAGGGCGACTGAAAAGGTCGCGAATCGCGGCTCGACCGTCGTGAGGGCTAAATCGGCACGTGTGAGCGCGCATAGGCAGACTGGCGATCGGAGGTGACATAAGTGGTTGGTGTTGGTTACTCGACGACAGTGGTGCGGTACGCACAGGCGGCGGAAGATCAGACCCAGGAGCGGGAGCATGAAACATACCGGTCGAAAAAGACGCCTCAAAAGAGTGCTGAGTGGTAAGCTTATGCGGCGGCGGTGGTAGCATGGCTACCGTCAGGGGAAGCGCAACGCATCTGCTCCTGTGCGACTTGGGATCGGAGATCGTCCGGCTCTGGTTGCTAATGGTCATCTTCTGCCGGTTGACGAGGTCCTCCAACTCGGCATTTCTCAATCCCAGGCGTGTGATGGTCGACGCGTCCTGGTCTCTCTGGGAACGGGTCTCTTTCAGCTCTGCCAGGGCCACGTCGAGCTCCTCTTCGGTCTCCCTGAGACGGGTCCTCAGATCGTCCATTTCCCGAAGTAGGAGGTCGTAGGGCCCTGGCTGATGAATCACGAGAGGGCCCGAAGGACTGACGGCTAGACCCCTACGCGAGGGAGTCATCTTCTTGTTGGGCGAGACGAACGGATCGGAAGACATGACGTTGATAATGCACAGACAGGAAAAAGGAAGAGTCAAGGCGGAACTTGAATGAACGACTCGAACTTGAACTTGAGGCAAGAAAGCTCTCGATTCAAAGCGATGTACGCGTTGCCAAATCACTATCTAGGTGTGGAAGCAGAGCTACCACACTCAAGTCAAGTCTCGGATAAATGCAAATCAAGTCAACAGAGTCGAAGCAAAGATCAAAGGGCGGGAAAGAAGAATGGAGAGAAATAAACAAGGATGAACAACAAAACACGGTAGGTGGATGAGGATGAGGATGAATGAACACGGTGATGGACGTGAATGTGAATGTCAACAAGAAACGACAAGCAAGACAGACTGCCAGGTCCACGACAGTCACAAATAGAAACAGAGCAATCTCGGCGTGCTAACTAGAAACGACAACAAGGAAGAAGAACTGGGTAATCAAGTGACATGTAATGTCCTGGGTATATACCTAGGTAGGGACAAGGAGAGAGCAACAAGCACAGAGCAAGCAAGCCAAAAGAGTCATGTTATCACTGTGATAACAGTCATAACCATAACAGGATAAAAAAGGACAATGAAGGTAGATGGATAGATGGATGGATGGATGGAAAAGAATAACTAAGCAATCGTAACCCTAACTAAGGACAGACAGACTGGAAAAAGATGAAAGAATGCTTTTTTTTTGGTATACATATACGAACATACATTGAGAAAGGGAGAGAGGGAGAGAGCATGCACAGGACATGGCCATGATATGTCATGAAATGACACATTTCACAGTATGATCACAGGATGGATGAATGTATGACTTACCCTTACCAGTGAAGGCAGAAAGCAGGTAAAAGACAATAAGCATGATAGCTTATATTTTTTATCCACCATAATTGAGAATTAAGGAGTGGACAAGGCTACATAAGATTATCTAAGAAAAACTACATAACCCCTTAGGATTGCTTGCATGTATATACGCATGTCCTCTGACTGAAGGAGGCATCAAGGGAGGGAAGAGCTCCATTATATTAACTCAGTCAACTCAATCCTAAGCAAGTAAGTGGCGACCCTTATTTAATCTTTTTTTGCCCTGCTAACTAGAGTGTATGATTACGTGTCTTTGTAATAGCGATAATGACAGTAACATGATAATGCTATCGATTTACAAAAATTATATCCACAGAGAAAAAAAGTTCTTTTCTCAACATAACGCCCCTAGAAAGACAGACAAGTAGCTACCAGCCCCGCTTGATAACACCAAATGCAAAAATGCAAAAATGCAAAATGATTGCTCCAGGGTAGCACGTACCGAGGGTAGCGTCATCCCAGTCAGGTACAGTACAGTACAGGGACTGACGATATCACTGCAGATATAACTGCCCCTACCCACAGTTAGAACAAAACCTACCATCATCGGCCAGCATGACATGACATGAAAATGCCAAGGCTTAGATCCTTTAGATCGCTTTGGTTCGCGAGAAGAGACTGCTGTACACGGCGTCAACAACTGGCTGGGCACTGATCTGCCGGCCACCAAAGAAACGCCCGTTGAGGCCTTTGATGGCGTTCTCACCGCCTTGGACACGGTCGAACTTGAGGTAGATGTCGCCTTGGGAGTGTGGATCTACAGCAATGTGAACAACGTGGCCATATTTTTCTTCGCACTCAGCGCGGACGTCCTCCTCCAACTCCTTGACCCAGTTCTCACCCTCCTCCCTAGAACATCGTTAGCGAAGGCACTTAGAGAAAAAACCGAAGGAGAAACATACTCAGCAGGATCAAACATGTTCCTCAGCACAACGCATCGACTCGCCATGTTAACGTTGACCGGCAATGGTTTGGTCTCGGTCTTGGGCTTCAGCATCTGACGCTTTTCGTCAACAGTGGGTTCGGGTTCATCTGTTCTCGCGAGTTTCCTCATCAATGCATCTCTGCTATAGTTGTTGAAGTTCACACCAGCAACGTCCGTATCATCCAAGGCGCTGGCACTGCTCGCCCCTTTGTCATCTCTTCCGCCAGCCCGGTCGAAATTGCTGACCGAGCCACCACCATGCATTCCACGGTTGCCGCCCTGGCCCTGATAACGGTTCATAAGGTTCGCTGAGTCAGGGGTAAACTTATCATTGCCAAGGCCAACCCGGATCGGTCGACCAGCCAGGTCGAAACCATTCATCTTTTCCAGAGCTTCCCTGGCATTATTAGGATCACGGAACCTATGGGTGGAATGTTAGCGACCTCGAATTTGAAAAAGGAGCCTGACACTACGTACTGAACAAATCCGTAACCCCGGCTCCGTCCATTCTCGTCCTTTTGCAGTTGGACAAATTCGAGTTCACCAAACGGTTCGAAAACATTCTGGAGATCATTTTCAGTGATACTGAAATGAATATTACCAACATACAACCTGTGAAACGGCGCAGAGGGGTGATGTCCACCGGCATCCGAGTTTCTAGCTTGGCGATTCTTCTCCGCTTCGGTCAATTGTGCAATGATAGGGATTCCTAGAAGCTTCTGGCCGGTGAGCTGGATAGCAAGGGGAACTGATTCTTCGTTCTTGAATTCGACATAGCCAACGCTGATCCCCGTCAGTAGACGTTTCGGCAGGCAGAATTACGGAAAACACTCACCCTTTCGACCTCCCACTAACACGGTCCTTGACAATCTGGGCTTCCTTGACAGGGCCCACCCTCTCAAAAAACTCAATGAGTTCCTTCGTTCTCAGACGGGCTGCAAGCTGCTGGACAAAGATAGTACGCTTATCACGTTCATCCTCGTTGAGGTCGGAGTCCGGCGTCCTGCTGCGGCGTCTTGGACTGGGACTGCGCCTCCGGCTATCGCGGTCTCGACGGCTGTAGTATCTGTCATCGTCGCGGGAATCCCGTCGGGAACGGCCAGAGGGCCGATAGTATCTGTCGTCATACGGGGATCGGGATCTCGTGCGAGCACGTCCTCCGCCGCGGTAGTAATCACCACCGTATCGGTCGCGGCGAGAGCGGTGCCGGTCACTGTCACGGCTCCGGCTTCTCCTTCTGCTTCTATGGCTTCCGTTAGCACTGCCATGCTCGCTTCTCGGACTCCTCATGTCTTCATCTCTGTCGTAGTCTCGGTCGCGTCGTCTATCGCGGCTGCGGTCTCGGCGCCTGCGATCTCTGTCCCGGGAGCGATCGCGATCCCTGTCCCGAGAACGGTCGCGATCGCGGTCGCGGTCCCGGTCGCGGTCCCGGCGGTCACTGGCATCGCCTCGGGAGCGGTCATCACGATCTTCGGAGCGTTTCTCTGCTCCCTCGTTGGAGGCGGGGGCGGCAGTCGACTCGAGGAGTGCCTCTACGTCGAGACCTGACATGTCGGGTTTGCCTTTGAATACCTCTCCTGGGCCAGGGAAATATGACAGTTATGGAGAGGGTTGGTCACTTTGGCTTTGTTAGAGAGGAAAAGCGGAAGCGGGCGTGATGTGCGAACCCTTCTATGCTAAATCACTGGGGCATTCAGAGGAAGCCTCTGGATGGGCGCAGATCAGGATCTGGTGGGCTACTGGCTGTCAAGACGTAAAACGCGGTATTGTGAGACCAGCGAGAGTGCGAGCGTTGATGAGCAGGAGATGCAGAGAAGAGGCGGAGACGGTCCCGAGCCACCGCTTTTAGCGTCGATGGCGCCGTTCAACAATTTCTCACATCACGTGAGCCATCCGCGCTCGTGTGAGTGAATGCCCAATGGCCAATAACGTGAGACTCAGAACATCGCAGCCAATGCTTCATTGCAGATCAAAGACATATGATATCACAAGCCTTCAACAACTTGTATGATATCATTTGGTTTCTCTTGTTATTGAAGTTGTCTTTTTTTTTCTACTAAAAAAAAAGTTATTTGTGCCATGTATGATTGTTGCACCCTGTACTTTGGCCTCCGTCTGAATCTTTCTCTACAGAATTTTGTCCGAGAATACTCCGATTCAAAAATCAGTACATTACGTATTAGCTAGATACCAGTAGCATCGCGTCCAAATACCTTGGTTCCAGGGACTTCCCATACATTAAAAGCCAATATCAACAAGACGTTGTATGTAGGAGAGGCATCATCACCTTGATCCCATAATGACGAAAAGATGTGGAAGTCACCCAATGAACAAAAATAAATTATAATTTAGAAGCAACAATGACAGACCTTAGATGCCCCTTGCCAGAGTTCTGATGAGACGAGTCGTCAGACAGTGTCAGGAAGTCTGTCTTGACTATACTTACAGAATTGCCAATTGGCATATGATTAAACACAATATTGACATGAAACCGTAAATTAGACATCCCGGCGATGGCAGAAGGCCATCATCTACTCAGACTTGACATGCTGAGGAGGAGGTAGCTCGAGTTCGGTTCCAAAAACGCGGTCCCAGAAACGACTCGTCACACCGAAGCCATTTTCAAAGTCGGCGAAATGGTGCTGAAGGTGGTACTTCTTGAGCTGCTTATAGTAATACGGCAGACTAATGCGAGTAGTCAGTATGACCTGATGAGGATGAACCGTTGATGGAAGCAGTTACTTACTTGCGATGGTGGAGGAAGTAATGGGTCATGTCGTAGCAGACGTAACCAAAGATACCCCCACAATATACCAGGACAGCCGCGTACCAATTGTAGAAGAACACGAGATGAGCGAGTTTGTAGAATGGAGCAGCAAGGATCACGAACAGTGCAGGTGGCATGACCAGGCGATATCTGTCCATCGGCAGATAATGGTGAATGCCGTGCAGCAGGAAGTGCAGCGAAATCCCGACCCGATTGTCTGGAAGCCATCTAACAAGGCTGTCAGCATTTCAGAAGCGACAAAAATGAAGGCCAGGATCAGCATACCTGTCGACGTGGAAGAGAAATCTATGCATGCCATATTCAACCAAGGTCCAGAAACAAAGACCGAAAATCCAGTAAGCAGCCGCCGCTATAATATTGTTCAAGCCTGCAGCAGCCATATACGTAGCATACGTGACAGGCGGAAGCCAAAGCATCGGTACTATGTACCACGGAGTCTTGCTCAGGGGCTCGAGAAAGTTCCCAAAGAGCGGGGCGGATTGTCCCCCTTTGTAATGGCGAGGACGGTGGACTTGCTTTAGGTAGAACTCCTTCGAGAAGCCGCCATACCACAGCTGAGGGAACAGAGGCTTGCTTAGGTCCAGGAACTTGTGTGTTTGATAATCCGCAGCGAAGTCTGTCTCAACCGACAAATCCTCCTCGCTTGACATTCCAGTGCTCTCATATACTGGCCGGGACTTCCCAGACTCCTTGGCACCACCGTTCGCAGTAGTTTTCGATCCCTCCTCTGACGTGACAAAACCAACATGGCATTCCTCGAGGATCTCATAAGCGGCGTCGGAATGTTGATGAGAGGCCGCATCGCGCATGATCTCCTCCACGTCCTTGCCGGCGTGCTCGAGAATCAGGTCCGCGCCTCCCGGATGGTCGTCGAGAAACCCGGTAACATCATACACCTTGGAACCCAGGATGACATAGCAAGACTTGGCCGAGTTGTGTGCCCGGACTTCGGCCTCCGTGAACGTGGGCAGGCTTTTCCCAGACATTGTCGGAGACGGATATAACTGCTGGCGTCGACCGCGATGGTAGTCTCCTCCAGGATTGTCTGGAGTGTCGGTTTGTAAATCTGAGCAACCAGTCGCGCAAAGAAGTCGGATTGTCGATGGAAGGAGTCGGGAGGGTCCGCCGGGGATAAAACGCGATGAGGGAACGACGGAGCAAAACGACGGCGGATCCAAGTGGCGTGAGCGTCTCCTGAGTCCTGGCTGCAACTTCTTGGAAGGCGGCGGGAGGTACCCGTCCACTAAGTGGGTGTGCTCCGTTCCCTGCAGGAAAATCAGTGGTCCGACGGGCTCACCGCCCTCGATCACACCGGCAGAATCCTGTCCTGTCCGCGGGAAGTTCGAGCCAATCCCGTGACTCGGTTGCCATCACGTGATTGCACTCGTGCCGCTTTACGTGCCGACGCAGCACAGATAAAGCGGCCAGGGATGCGCCCGGCCCGACTCCCGGCCGAGCGGCCCCCGGCTCACGTGGAGCGCGCATCTGCCGACACAGGGAGCCGACCGGCCAAAGAAAGGGGCAAATGAGAATTATGTCGATGACAGCAGAGAGGCTTCAAAGACATGCAGAAATACGTACAGACGATCACAAGACGTGGTACCAAGTTAAGCTGGGCATGTTGACGGTGTAAGATGAATAAGAGCGACGATGCGACCTCTCAAATACTCCTCTCATGCTCCGTAGACCGCCACAATGGGAAGCAGGGGCTTATCATCTGGTGCCAACCCTAAAAGCTCGTGCCCTACACCCTAAGCCCTATTCCAGTGGTGCCGTCCAATGATGATCAGCAAGCGAAGTTATTGAATTAGAGCTTCTGCTATCTCATCAAGAGGATCATAACAGCAATAACATGGATTTTATATGCACACTACAGTCTCCATGGAAAGTACCTACGTGAATCCCGATCTTGATCCCGCCCATGTTATCTATGAAGTAGCGACTCGATAGTCTGCAGGTCCGGGTTACCTACAGCTACCGAATGGAGAAAGGCCTAAGTAATGCAGTATGATGTGTCTGTCCCGGGCCCAACAAGACGCCAAATGACCCAACTCGACCCATTTCAGCTGCATTCCTACGACGAAAAGAGTTTAAACTTGTCGCGGGCCGACTTCCGGCTTGGATGGCGTGCACGAACCACCGCCAGTTCAACGGCGTCCGGCTGAACTCACGGACCATAAGTTTCTTGAAACACCGAGCATAGCCATAACGCATTGGAATCCAATTCCCCGATACACTGTACTGTCCACTCCGACCGTGTGGGGTGGCTCCTTGAATTTCATGCGCGCCTTGGAGTTTTTGCTTGATGATCAGACCTGCTGCTTGATTGCTTCCAGGAGTTACGTATCAATGGATGCTAGCGGGACTTTTACTACTGAGATTCCTCTGCACATGGCTTGCCAACGTCAGCAGGGACCTAATCCAGCGCTGCTCGACTCACTCCGTCTCCGGCCGTTTCTGGGGGTGCGGAGCAGGGCCGGACTCTGCTAGCTCTGGCGCCGTGAACCCATTGCCCCGTTCCTGGGCCGCCCCGGCCCTTCTGCCTGCCAACCAGCGTCTGACGTGTCGCGCTTCACTTCTTGACTTGGCCTGGATCGAACAGACCATCCGTCGGCAAATTCGTCTCCACCCGTTGAGACCGACCCAGATCTCTACTGTGTCCAACTCAGGGCTCAGGGTCGCATTGTCGACTCGGGTCTCCGCCGCCCATGGCCCATTCCGTCTCCACTGATGAGAGAGCATGGGGGTATTCCGTACTCTGTACGGAGTAAGAGTCGGACATGGAGTTTCAGACCGGAGACGTGTTACAGCACAATAATATGACTGGGTTGTCAATGCAGCGAATTCGTGACATGAGTGTGGCTCACGAATGATAACCATTAACGCCTTCGAGAAGAGGGGGAAAAAAAACAAGGTGCGACTAGTGATGCCCCTACAGGCTACATGGCCTGACGGCTAACGCCAAAGGAAAAATGACAGGTTACGCTAATGCATTCTTAAGTCTTGTTTTCAGGGATCAAGACACCGCCCCTTCCCGTTGAGTTGACAATATAAGAGTTCCTCCTTTCGGCGGAAATTGGCAAAAATTAATTTCTGTATGTGCTTCATCACAAAATCCCATTGTCGATCTTCGTCATTTGTGTATGGACAGGGGTATTAGCAGTCCAACTGCACAAGACTTGGCTAGTCGCTCTGTTAATGTCAAACGGGGAATGCCTGGGGGAAGACTGAACAAGCATTTCTAGACTGTGATTGTTACCTCCACCAAGAACCTGCCATCTACCCCGGAGCTCTCAGCATGCCGACCACGCTGGCGGAAGCCTCATCCCTCCCGGTCAATCCGGTGACGGCCTATTTGCGCGAACTGCAGCACTCGAAAACAGGATTGCCTCATGGCCAGCTAGTGTGCGTCTCCGCATCCCCGACGGTCACGACCACAGACGCCTTGCTCCGACTGGCAGCCTCCGTTGGCCCTCACATTGCCATCTTTCAGGTTCACGCTGACATTATCGATGACTGGTCGTCATATACCGTGCATGAGCTCACGCTTCTTGCGAAGAAGCACAACTTTCTCCTGTGGGAAGGAGGGAGACTATTGAACTTCAGCTCCGATATTCCTTCAACATCACAGGCAGAATCGAGGGAACGGAGGAGAGAAGATGTGGATATGGTACGGAGGATGTACACCAAAGGTGTTGTGAGCGTCGCATCCTGGGCAGGTCTAGCAACGTCGTGGGCCTCAGCTGTCCCCGCCCAACAACAGGATTCTGATATCCTGATCCCTGTACTGAAGGGCGCGGCTCGAGAAGCTGTGGCAAAAAATTGCGCAGACCATCCGGACGGAGATTACAGCTGAAGGGACCCCTAACGACGAGCAGGACGGTGATGATGCTGGCGTTATGTACCATTTGCGCCCGGCGGACGTTGACGTTAACACCAATCTGGAGCCCCCCTGTCCGCAGAGCATCTACCATCTCTCTCACTCGGTCAATCACTCAACACTCCGAACCATCATCGCCCTCATCGCCCAGGGACACACTACAACCTTCGGAAAACATCACTGAAAACGGAATCTACGCAGATTGGCCCAATGCTCTCTCTCCTTCGCCCCTGCTAGCTCGGGGCCTAGTACTTTGCTTGCCTTCAGCCACCGACTTCCCTTTCTCTGTCGCGTACAGGGACAGCTGTCTGGCAGCTGCCCGCGCAAACCGTGATTTTGTGGTTGGTTTCCTTTGCAATGAGCCATGGACCCTGGTGTCGCAGAGATCAGATGTGCTCGATGTCAACAGGGCAACAAGTGGTGGAGACAAACGTGATGGGGATTCTCCTGCGCAGGAAGAAAGAGAGGAGTCGTTCATTATCTTCTCGCCGCTTCATGCTGACGCGGGTCCACAACCATCGACAAGAGACGGAAATCGCTCGTCGTCAGTGGATTGGGACCGTACTCGTTCTTCAAGTGCCATGGATACCATTGATGAATCATCAGCCTCAACACAGCCCAACGGCCTCAGCGCCCAAGCGAAAGTGCTGCATGCGACCATTTCTCGAGCCATTGAATCCAGAGATTCTGGACGAAACATGGAACCCGTCAGAGAAGGAACAAGCCCCGCAGGTCATGGTCTCCTGCACATACCCATTGTCACCCTTGGATTATGAGAAAAAAAAAGATTACCGATATGTCGACTTTTCGTTTTGGATCCATTTTTAATTGCTACTCGTTTTGGAGGTCTCAATCATGAATAGGAATCGCCAGGGACTATTTCCTACTACTCATCACAGTATTAACCATAGTTCATAGACTGATAGAACGGCATGTGGCGTGTGATGTGTCTACCTTTTATGTCCTCGTTCTTTTCTCTGTCTCTCTCTTTTGACTCTATTCCATTGTCTATCTACAACAGCAGTCATACATGGAAAGCCAACCGCATGAGCAAATATTATTAGACATCGCGTTAATCTTCGAAAGCAAACATGAAAGGTGGAAAGAAAGAGTATATATATATCTAAATAATTTTTAATGGTTTATGCAATCTCATACCCCTGTACAGCTGTTCCAAGTATCAAATCTAGCGTTATCAATCGGTCATTTGCTGCCCTTTCCGGCAGCAGCAGAAGGCTTTATCTCTGCAGCTCCGTACCAGCTAATGACTGCTAGTCCTAGGAATGCCGAAATGATACTGAACACCAGCGCAACGATACCCCTGGCTGTGAAGCCTTTGGGGAGCGGGGCCGGTTGGTAGTTTGCGTTCTGGAGGTCGAACCAGTCGACAGTGTTACCTCCTGCGTTTCCTTCATACAGGTTACCTCCCGCCTTGCAGGCAGCGATATGGTCGGCCGGCAGACTCAGGATGCCTTGGCCACGCTTCTGGGCCTGCAACTCGAGCGGGGCCTCGACCATGGTCACGACCAGCCCGCTGTTCATGTGCCATTCGATGTGGCAGTGGAAGAGCCACACACCAGGGTTGTCGGCGCGGAAGCGGAGGACAGCGTTACTCGAAGGACGAACAAGGATGGTATCTCGACGCATGGGGACTTGGGGAAACGTGACGTTGGTCGGGTCGTAGAAGCCAGCATCGTCGTCGGCCCGAGCGACCACCTGGAAGTTGTGTGCGTGCAGGTGGAACGGATGTTTTCCGTGGTCATCATTGTTGATAACCAGCTCGACGACTTCGCCGTGGTTGAGCACGAAGGAATTGCTGTTGACGCCGTAGATGCTGGCGTTGGTGACGACGTCTGCCGGAGCGGAGAGAGCAGTGTAGAGAGTGGGCACCTTCTGAGTGACATAGGTGATGTCGTTGAAAAACGCACTGAGCCGCCCATTCGGTAAGTACGTACTCTCATTATTCCTTGTGACAGTCATAGGAGGTAGGGGATGGACTCACTAATTCACACCGTCTCCGAGATTATCCATTTTTACTCGCAAGGTGATCGAATGGTCAACCTTGTCAAAAATCCCCAGGCCATCACTTGGGACGAGGGAGAAATCATCAAACGGGCTGAACTCATCCATGGCCTGAGGCGGTGGTAAGCTCTTCGTGCTGTCGTAGACCAGATAGCTCGTGACATTCGGGTTCAGTCCTGCAGGAACTTTATCAAACATGTCCTGCACCCAGTTAACAGACTGCTCTGTGGTGGATGACAAGGAATAGTGTTGCTGACCTGATCCATGCTGCTCACGATGGGGAAGTTGGCAGAGGTGTCGTTCTTCGTCGTCACCAGCACTCCGTATCTCTGCGCGGCAGCAACGTACAACATATCTGCTTCTGCCTCATTCGTCCACACTCCGTCGACTTCGACAATACGCATCTTATGGCCTTCAATCCAGAAATACTGGCCAGCAAAGGCGCCCATGTTAATGATACGGAAAAAATACGTCTTTCCCGGTTCAACGGCGATGGTCGCATTCTGCGTGTCGTTCATCAATGCTGACTTTGGCACAGGTTCCGCGCCTGTCGGGTTGGTATAGCTCAGGAATGATTTCAGCAGAGACCGCATCGGGTCATGGTACCAGTCTGACAGAGTCAGAACGAACTCTTCGTCGTATTTCCCCTTATATGGCGAGTTGGGATCTTCGACGATCAGCGGCCCACGCAGACCGTCCGGGTACTGGCCCATGAGATGCGAATGATACCAGTAGGTACCCGGTTGATCGATCTAAGAAACGTCAGTAACCCAGGTATCTATCGCTGGGTAGTCTCAAAGGCAAATACGTACGGTGAAGTTGTAGGTGAAAGAACTTCCCGGTGGGATGGGACATTGCGTAACCCCTGCAGGGCCATCCATCTCGGTGGTGCCATTCTGAAAGAGTCCATGGAAATGGAGAGATGTGCTCTCGTTTCCCAACTGATTGTGCACGTTGACGATAAGCCGGTCGCCCACTGAGGCTTTGATCGTGGGAATCGGCCATTGGCCATTGATTCCAATCACAGGGCGAGTATACAGGCCGTCTGGATTTGCTGAAACCCACGTGATGTTGAAATCATATATCCGGGTGTCTGCAACAGCTACAGAGGCCCAGAATATAGACCCCAGGAAGAAAGATAGCGAGGGAGCCATGTTGGAGGCTCAAGTGAGCGGCAGTAGCATGCGAAGACGGGAATATAGGAGAGAACTCAGACGCCGGCATATACCAAAAAGACTCAGCCTAGAGAAGAGGGCTTTTACCCAAGGACTCTTCTCCTCTATACTAGCGCCGGTCCTGCAGGGACTCGACGCGGAGATGCAGGGTTCGAGCGCTCTAGTGGCGGACAGCTCAAGAGATCATCAGAGCGTGCCCGATAACCCATGTCATACGACCTCGGACCAGCACTCCCTGCCAGATTGGTGAGAGCGGGGAATTTTTATAGGAGACGAACGTCGATCTAGTCGGAGATCAATGCGTTCGACTGCGTATCAGATCGCATAGGGGAACCAATCATCACCCTCGGCTCTCATTGCTTGTTCCAATTTTTCCAGGCCTCCCGCGCTACCCTAAGTAGCCAAGACATCGAGGGAGGAGGACTGTTGGGAAAAGCCGTCGTCCTAGTCGATGGGTTTTCGGTGCTATGTGGAGTGCGGCCGGAAGGAGAGCAGGGATTATCATTCGGCACACACGTTGAAACTTTGCAAAGTGCATTAGCCGAATCCAGGAAATAAAGAGAAACAGGAAAAGAAGGGGGCAAAAAAGAAGGCCAAAGCGCAGACAGAGAGAAAAAAAATCCCACCTGCGAGGAGCGGAACGGGTGCAGAGTGGACGCCTCATGGACCGCGAGGCTCGGAAGAATCGAGATGAATGGCTTCTGAAATTATCTGATCCGCCCTCGCGCCGCCATCCTGCGAGCTGATTGCTTGTCGTCGTGGCCGAGCCTTCATCAGATAAACCTTCCACCATGGCTCGGAGTCCGAGATCCCTCGGACATCCAGGGCCAAGACTGTTCCATGCCCATTGTGGCATCCCATCTCGGGCCTGCACGCGGGAAATTTGCAATGCAGGCTAGTCACTGTTGGCAGTCGGTGTCTGCTCATACGATTGTCTAATCTGATTGATTGATAACTTTGGTTCAAATGCCCCAAGCCCGATGACACCCGGGCCTCACGGCTAGACGGAGTTGCGGGAGAGGACACGGTGAAGCGACGATTCTGCGGGCGACATCCTGGTGGAGATCCCATCTGACGGGCTGATCCATGACTTCTTCAGGCGTGCTAACCAGTCGCTAGCATGGCAGCCAAGATCTTGGAAATGACGGCATGCCGGGTGTTATTTTAGTTCGCCCTCCGCACTGTTAGTAGTTCATATACTCCGTACGCCCTGCTTGTCCAGCCAGTCTTCCTTCTCGCGAGTTTTCCAGCAGTGTCGAATATTTATTTAATTAATGGCAGCATTAATGTTCTAGACACCGGCCGCTTTCCTCCAAACTGTACCTTTAGTTTTCGCCACCGTCTGTTGAGTTGGACGAGCTGCTGAGCAGCCTTTCGTCAAAATGGTCAATGTCTTTGCAGTACCTGGTAAGGGATACGCCCCAGAAGAGGCTGGAAGTAACTCTTTCCTGGGATGCTAATGGCGACCAGTCTTTTTCATCGTTTTCCGCGAGACGCTGGAGACCAGCATTGTTGTGTCGATTCTCCTTGCTTTCATCAAGCAACAAGTAGGCCCAACTCAGGATATCGTCGTATATAAAAAACTACGAAAACAGGTATGATTTTTTCGATCCAAACAATGTTGTGCACACAACACGACCCGTTAACCCCCTTAATCTAGGTCTGGCTAGCGACAGCATTGGGCCTGGCAATCTGCATCATTGTCGGTTGCGGCCTCATCGGTGCGTTCTATGGCGTCGGTGTTGATGGCTGGGGCAAGGCAGAGGAGATCTGGGAGGGCATCTTCAGCTTGATAGCCACCGTCATCATCACCATCATGGGTGCTGCTCTCCTGCGTGTCTCCAAGATGAAGGAGAAGTGGCGGGTCAAGATTGCCAAGGCCCTCAAGGCCAAAGATCGCGCATCGGTCGGGAAATTCAGCCTGAAGCGATGGGGCGAGAAATACGCCATGTTTATTCTTCCGTTCATCACCATTCTAAGAGAAGGCCTGGAGGCTGTCGTCTTTATTGGCGGTGTCAGTCTTGGAGTTCCAGCGTCCTCCATCCCCGTTGCAACCATTACGGGTCTGTTGGCTGGATGCATCGTGGGCTATCTGATCTACAAGTAAGCCGACCATTCGAGAAAGCAAGATCTTGATATCGCTTTTACTTACGTGTTGGAATCCCAGGGGTGGAAACTTTGCTCCAATCCAATTATTCTTGATCTTCTCCACCTGCGTCTTGTATCTTGTCGCCGCTGGTCTATTTACCAGAGCTGTCGGTTACTTTGAAATGAATACTGTATGGCACTTATTTTTTTTTCCCCATTCCCCCCGGTCCGTTGGTCAGAAGCTAACGAGCCAACCAGTGGAACCACATGACTGGCGGTGACGCTGCAGAAATAGGGGATGGCCCTGGTTCTTATAATATTCGACAGAGTGTGTGGCATGTAAATGTCCGTATCCCCTTCCCTTTGCGACCCTTTGTCTCTACCCATCGGCTAACTCAACAGACAGTGCTGCAGCCCTGAGCTCAACGGCGGCGGTGGATGGGGCATCTTCAACGCGATTCTAGGCTGGACCAACTCTGCGACGTATGGGACAGTGCTTTCCTACAATCTCTATTGGCTGGCGGTGATTCTAGGGTTCCTGGCCATGATGTACAACGAGAAGAAGGGCCACTGGCCGTTTATGAAGCCGAAGAAGGTGGCTGCTTCCGAGCAGCTGTCATCATCGGACGGAGAGGCCGGTGTTGTGGACACGGCCGAGAAGGCGATCGAAAACACGGACACGACGCCTTCTATGGCAGTTCGGCCTGTCGAAGTATGATGAAAACAAGATCATGAAATGGGCTTATGTGGGAGATGAGTCTTGTCTTCATGATGCATATAATAATGATTATATATCGTTTGTATATAGTTCTACGGCTGGTGAAAAGAAAAGTATATAGCATAAAATAGACGAAGAATACAATGATATTCGAGTATTTACTTCCTTTTTTTTTTCTTTCTTTTTTTCTTCGTAGGTGATTGACGAACTTGGTGGTTGGTTGATCGATAGAACTAAAGCCATCACGTGCGAAGCGATCATCCCACCGCACAGACCAGCCATGCCAGCCAAATCTTCCGCTTTTCCCTCTGTGGCAACAACCTTCCTGCTTTATTATCAACCATTATCAAGCATAAATCAGCATGAAGTGTGGCGTATGAGGCGATTCAATCCTATCTCAATCCCGGTCACTACTATTTATTTCCTATATTCCCCTTTACGTCCATATATTCTCGTCTATTAGTTGTCAGAAGTCCTCCGTCATGACGGTTTGCTCTACCGCAGTCGAGTCCGACGCCTCAGAGCCGCCACTTGCATGAGACGAGCCTATCTTGAGCGCCCTGCTGCTCGCCGGGCCTGCTGGAAAAGAACGAGCTTGATGGACCACTATCTCCGGAGAGCCCTGCGGGTGTTACGCTGTTTCCAGCCCAATGGACTCTGAATACCCCCCATTGCCATCCCCGTCTCCATCTCCAGCAGGACCTCCACGAGGTCCCACGCTGGCAGGCGGTCACTCCTTTGGAAAAGCTACAGCGTCTAAGAACGGCCATGGAGCTACTCCGGATGGCTCCAAGACTATATATAATAAGATCCTCTCGGACGACGGGGACGTTGTCCTCGAGTATGTTGACAGGCAATCTCACTCCTCGAGAGCCCCTGCAGCGCCAGCGCGGTATCGATGGCAGGTTTCCAGCGCCAATCTGATGCGCAATAGCCCCTATTTCTCCGCCCTGCTTGATCCCAACAAGTTTGCTGAGGGACGGCGATTTGAGGAAAGCAAATCCCGACTAATAACCCAGCCATCCTCTGGGGTCAGTTCTAGTAATGAAGCAAAAAGCGATTCTGCAGAAGTATCCCCCGCAGACGACCTGCCTGTGGTGAATCTCAACGTGAGCCGCCTGTCAGGGAAGCATAGAATAGACGTTCTTGAACTATTTCTCAAAGTACTGTGCCTGAACTCCCCGAGTGGTGGTGAGCGCCAGACTAGGCTGGACGAGGAGGTCCGACATCAGCCCGTGTCGCTCATCGCCGGCCTGATCGATATAGCGGATCTCTTCAACTCGCCGCAGATCGTGCGTGACACGCTCAAGCGAGCAGGGTATGCCGCCTCGGTGAAAGGAAAGGTGTCTCTCACCACGTTCAGCCCGTCGCTGCTGAAGCTCAGCGAAGAGCGTATGCGGCAGATCATATATATAGCCATGTTTCTCGATGAGCATGTCACCTTTCAGGTCCTCACGCACAGTCTGATCGTGCTTGGGTCCGCGTCCTGGGTGAATGGAGTCGGTAGTCCTGACGCCGAGAGCCCACGCTGGTCCTATCTACCGAATGGGATAGAAGGTACTGGATGAGAATAAAAAATTTCAAAAAAAAAAGGACTTGCAAGAACTGCTGCTAACGCTTGTGTTCTGCTTGTGTAGAGGAACTGTACTACAGACGACAATGCGTCCTGAACACCATCACGGATATGCAGGCCCATTTCCTTCGCCTATACGGCGCACTGGAAGACGACCCGTCCGAAGGCAGAACGTCGTCTGCACCAAAATCACGTCTCATCCAGTGCCGTTGGGGGTTCAGCAACTCCCGGGCCTGCGACTCTTTCCATCTCGGCGAGATGACCCGCTTCTTCGCCCTGCGCACGAAGACGATCTTTCTAGGATCGACGTTGATCGATCCGGGATTCGAGAATGAATTCTCTGGTGGTGAAGAAAAAGAAGAAGACGATGATGATGCCTTTGACTCTAGGAGTCATGATAATAATATTACTGAGGCCACAGGCCACGACGACCAGCAGCAGCGGACGTCCGGCGACAACATCCTAGTCATAACCGCCTCACTGAGGCAAATCCCAGACTACCAGATCGACTCGAATCACACGGGGTGCGGAATTCGGCGCCGACTGCTCCCGCTCCTGGACTGCATTGACCGATTCACGGGCGGCGGCCGCGGTGTGCTGGGTCTCGCCCTGCGAGCGTGGAAGTTTTCGCCATTGCCGTCGCCCTCGCCCCAGCCCTCAACCTCAACCACAACTGGGACAGCTAGGAGAAGCAGGGGCAAAAAGAACCCCAATTCATGGATGAACCGATCTCTGCGCAGGGCCGAGATGGTCGAGATCCGCGCTTCCAAGATTGTCGCCATCCGCTACGCGAGTATGTCTTGCACGTTCCCTGGTCCGTCACCTTCACCGTCACCGTCACCGTCGGCGCCGCCGCCACCGGAGGAAGAGGCGAGGTTGTTTTTCACGGCCAAGAAGCGGAATTGGGAGAGTTGAGTTTGTTGGAAGTGTTATATATACATATTTTTTCCTGTAAATAGAGTCATGTGTGTTGATCTGAAAATTGACTATCAACTACCCTGTAAATAAATACCTGAGTATGTCAAACAATTAGTCAATCAATCAATCAATCAGTCAGTCAGTCAATAAAGAAGGTTACTTATTTCCCACCCACCAAATTTCGTCATACCTTTTTTTTATCTATTAATTATAATCAAAGTTAAAGTTTGTTGTTAATATTAACCTAGCCTAACCTAATATATTGCCCAAGCGAGTATGCAGAGCGAGTAGGTATGTAGGCAGAGCGTCATTTGCACCGTATACTGACGTTATTAAAGCAATAACATAACACACTAACATTAACACACTAACTACGGTGGGACAGGACAAGCTTTATTGCTATTTTCCTTTTTTTTTCTTGGTTTGCAGGTGAAACTTGACAGATAAATAGATACCTAGATAGAAATGATGGTGATGACATCGTGACCAAGACCAACAAAATAAATAACAGCAGTTAAAGAAATTAAACACGTGCATTTCCTTCCACGTAGCTAGCTAGGTAGGTAGGTAGGTACTTGTTACAAGAAAAGACGAAGATAGAAAAAGGTCTAGAACGTGTGTTTCTTGTTAAGCTGCAGACGGGAAGAATAGTCAGAAAGGCAGCAGGCTCATGTAAATAATAAAGATACAATGACACATTTCCCCCCATTGCTTCAGGTCGAGAGTTCCTTGTGCTTGAAGAAGAAGAAGAATTTTGGCTTTTCGCTGTCCTATATTCCTAGGTACTTTTTTTCTTTTATCAGTCTTTGTTTCCGTTACTAGAAAAGTTCCAAATATCCCAGCTATTCTCGACAGAAACGAAAAGAGAGACAGGGGAAAAGTGTCTACATACACACTTTCCATGTATCGACAGGTCTCTTTTATACAATATGATAAATAAATATCCTCCCGACTAAAAAACAATGAAAAAAGAAAAACTTTTATCGACAAGGATAACCTTTTTTGTTCGAGACATGTATACAAATGAAGGATGAAAGAACACGGAGATTGACACACACGTCTTTTGATGTGTGCATCATATGTCTTCATATTCTAAGAGAATCCAAGATAATAGATGGGAGAACTTCCAACCTAGTAGACAGGAGAACTGTCCCACATATATCCCAGATCAAGGTCGATGTTGGTCGATGGAGGGAAGAACGATCCGGTGATTTGGCCGGTGGCCGGGTCATAAGGCAGATAGTCGTCGTAACTGCTGCTACGCAGGCTCGACTGTGGCTGCTGTTGCTGCTGCTTCTCTGGTCTGAGAAAATCGAGGCCGTCTGGCTGTTCCACGAACGGCATCGGCGTCGGGATCTGTTGATCCATCAGCGAGCAGGATACGCTGTCCAAAGCAGCCACGAAATTGACTGCCGGATCAATCGCCGGTTCATCGCCTGGCAGATCGCTGACGTCAATGCCCACCTGGGGCGCCAGACGCCGCAGAAAGTCGTCACACAGCTTCCATGCTCGGTGGGCCGACGAACTCGATTTCGACAGCTCGTGGAGCCATTCCACAGCCTTTTTGGCCGTCTGAGAGACCTCGACGCCCTTTTCAGGGACGTGCTCGGCTCGGAACGACAGCTCCAAGAGCAGCACCGTGGTGGCCTGCATGATGTAGTGCAGTGAACACCACCAGGGTGTGATCTTATTCAGCAAAACTGCATCGGGAGTTTCAGGGAGGAGCTTAATGATTTGAGAAGCCGATTCCACACATTCGGCAGCCGTCTTGCTGCAGAAGTCATAGGTTCCGTCGGTCTGACAATGCCGCTCCAGACGACAGAGGCACGGTCGCGTAATCGCGATCTTCGTGCTGTAGTACGGAAACGCGAGGCCCGTTTTCTGAGTCACCGTAGATTGTGATGTCTGTGCCGAAGTGAAATCATACGTTTCGGGGAGATTCAGCACCCACGAATTAGTCTCCGTGATGAGACTTTGGATGGTGAATTCGAGGCTGGGCCAAGGTGATTGCACAGCCTCGGCGCTGTACAGTTTCATGTTGACTCGTTTGGCGATCGAAGTGAGGGTCGCCAGGTGGAAGAAATATAGTGACATGCTTGGCGGGAGCGACTTGAGCCATTCACCAGCTGCTGTCTCTGAACCTTTCGACACACCCAGCTCTGTGGTTGGATCATCGGCTTGAGATGGACTGGGTATGCTGGAGCAGGGTGGAGTCCAATCTTGGACCCATAAACCCTTCCGCGATGGGTTACTGAGCAGCTGGGCCACCTCTTCCTTCTGAAATTCACTTTCGTCAAAGGGAATCGGGAGAGGTGTTGTGCAGGTACAGTCAATGATGCAAGAAGGTCGTCCAGTCATCACGCTGAGCAGGTGATCCATAGTATATAACGACCACCAGACACGATATCGGATTTCCTTGGAGGTATCAGATGTATAGATCCCGACGTTCCTCAGGTGAAGTCCAAGTGCCATGGCTCCTCGAACTGCGCTTCCGGAGACCTTCCAGGATCTGCAAAAATATCGGTTAGAAGAACTTAGAATACCTTCAGTTGGAAACAACACCTACCTGTTGATCTGTCCCGTTGCCAAGAGGTAAAAACATGTTAAACCTTCGACTTGCAGCTGCTGCAGATCTGGGTGATCGAACAGTGGATCTTTCATACTGAGTACCCTCGCCCGCGAAAAGTAAACAACATGGTCATTTTCTTCGGCCTCCCACTCGGCATGAACTAGATGTGAGTATACAGCAGCAGTGGCAAAGATCAAATTCAGAATCGCTAGCCACTTGTTCCCTGGTTTGACCGACGGTTGACTGAAGAACAGCTGGTACTGGGAGATAAATGTCGACATCCCAATAATCGGAAACGAGGGATGTACCGATGTGAGGTACGCACCGAACAGTCTATTGGCGACTTCACGCGGAGGGATTTCATGAGAGTCGACCTGTTCGGGGAGACCCATGTCCATATTGTCTGCATAATAATTCAGGGATGCTATCAGGGCGTCATTCTGACCATCTCTCCCCGGGGTAAGAGGAGGCGAAGATTGTCCAGTCTCAGCCAATTCAGTGCGAGTATCCGATTTTTTAGCAGCTTCACCATTAACTTCTCTGCACAGTCTCTGCAGCCACGATATTTCTGAGCTTTTCCCAATGAAACCGGTTGCGCGTGCAGATTCGTCTCTATTGAAATCTTCTTCCACTCGGTCAGTCTCACCGAGGGATCCCGCAGAGGGTGAGCGTGAGGTCCTTCGTTCCGCACCCTCGCCACAGAGAAGCTCTCGACCTCGCGAAATTGCCGATGTTATATCAGACTGGGAGCCGAGACCAGCCTGGCTTGCGTCCTGGTCTCGTTAGGCGGATCGACGAGGTGGATATACCGGCACGTACCACTGTCATTGCACTGCTCATCAATTGCTCATCTGAAACTCCGAAACGGAGACTGATCTTTCGAATGACTTCCTCGTAAGCCTGGACCTTTGCAGACAAAGTTGCAAGCTGCCTTTACTATCTTGTCAGCGGTCTATGGTCCCCTCCGTGTATGGGAAGCGGTCCTCAGTTACCGTTTGGACTTCTCCCTCTTACCGTCAGTATAGCAACAGATGATCCCGGCTTCCCGACAGTTCCTGCAGCCAGACTTGTCACCGGTACATTTTGTTTTCCGTTGGCGGCAAGATTCACAGGCTCGGCGGACATGGCGGCGGTGAAATCGTCCGAGGGAACTGAAGGCAGCCTCTGCCCCTTCAGGGAGCCTGGGGATTGCCATCTTCTTGGAGTTATTGGGTTCTGGCTCCTTGGTGGGACTCTTTCGGTCATCCTAGAGAAGCAGCTCTCAGTCTGATTCTGAATAATTCCGAGGAGTTAGGCAACCCTACCGTAGTTGATAATGGACTACATGTTTCTGTATCTTGATAAGATAGGCCATAGCATGGCTGTACCGACCATTTCTGGAAATTCATGCTATCCATTTGGGAATGTGGGAATAACGTTGTCTGTCAAAAGATATTAATTGAGCTCAGATGCTGCAAGTCTGTATTTGAAGCATTAGCAAGTGATGTTGAGAATTAATTTGAGACTTGTTATCTAACCTCGAGAGAGAGGTCACACTCTGATACCAAGTTACCCGGTCAATTACCAACGGAGTTGAATCCTGACAAGGGGTTGACAATTGGCCGCGTAAGATCCTGATAAAGTTATGAAGCCTTATTCGGAATCACAAAAAGATAGTTGTCAAGAAGTTGGTTTCTGGTCAAGAAAACGGAAAGAAACGATGCATGGAAAGTTCAAGCATCCAGATTCAGGTCGCTCTCGTGGACGCATGTAGAAGAGCATGCGTCATGTTCAGTAAGAACCAGATGTAGGTTCAGGAACATATATCATAGCATGGAACTCTCAGTAGACTGAGTTATTGCAAACAATATCGACTATAGATGCCCGGAAAGCAAATGCGAGTGGGGAATACTAACGCGTGGAAGAGCTTCTGTTAGGACAAGCAAAGTCATTGGCATTATAAACTCACGATTAGAGCTCTAGGCTCTGGGGCTAGACCAGATAGACGCGACGTCAAACCGGGTTGACTGTCGGATTAGAGCTCCGGTACTTCGATTGTGCTCAAGAGGCAACGAAAGTGGCAACAAAGCAGTGCAGAGATTATTATTCACCATCGTTATTTTCCAAAGCTCGAGACCTTGCCCCTTCAACGAAGGCCTTCGGTATAGAGAGATTCAGTGTAGTCGTAAATCAACTGCCTTTTTTAGTGCTTTGCTTAGAGTTTGCAACTAGCTGCGTGATGTACTGCCTATCACTGGGCCAATGGTTATATCGCTCGCGAGCCTCTTATCGAGACTATTCTCCTAGTCGGCTTTTAACATCCCTTTGACAATGTTCTTGGACAAGCCTTGGCTTCCTCATTGGCCAGGGCCCCAGATCAAGATACAAACCATCCCCCCACTGATAGGATGTCAGGGTCCACTGATAGGATGTCAGGGTCATTTCAAGCATGGTTCTAGCATCTGAAGCCGTTTAGGCGATTTTGGATAGACAAATGAACAAAGGAAGTGCTGGCAGACAAACAGTTGATCAGGTCTCCACAGGCGACTGTTGAGACAGTTGACATCCCTATGCGCCTCAGTCCAAGAAAGGGCAACTGGCCGAACTATTAGTAAGGGATCTGGCCTCCAATAGGCCCTGTTGTCGGCGGAGCGAAGGATTGTGAGACGATGCTTTCATTGTTGTTGTAGGCATTTGCTTCATCTCTTCCTTCCCCTTTGCTCCGTGTCTCTATATTAGTACCATACACCTGGCACGCGCATCAATAGGTCCCTGGTTGTCCCGAGTCCGACTGAATAAGCTCTAGGAGATATGTAGCTGTCAGCAATAACCTTGGAAGTTGTTGACGACGATCCTGTGTGGCGGCGATAAAACTGAGGTAGACTCAACCGACAGTTCATGCATCCCTACATTCGGATCCACCTCTGTCAATTCGTTAGCTCTCTATGTCAGGGTCCAAACTATGGAAAAGCCCCAATGCGTGGTTTTGGCGCAGTTGTCGTGAGTGGCACAGCAACTGGCCAGACCATCACAGATGACTGGAACTCCATGTGAGACCCCTGTCAGCGTTCGACCACTTGATCTGTCAGCAACGCAACACATCCACCGATGCGTCGAGGGAGCCCAATCAGTGAGCTTGGAGCAAGGATTGCCATGCCTCCCCGATCCGTGGTTGTGTGCGAGGCGGAACGGAGGATATAATCTTGACGTATTCTATTGTTTAATTATGGCGTTATCTGTGCTGTAGGTATGGCCGGGTATCCTCCGGTTCGACCTAAGTTGGGTATATTGAACAAGTTGGCATCGAACAAAAATTAATGTCATGCAGAGGATCGACAGTACCTCTTTAGTGCTCACCACAGGCTGCTCTACGAGAGCTTCAGTATCACCTAAGGCCTGTTCTAGAGCTGTGTAGCAATAACACGCTCGATATGGCTGCTGGCAGAGTTGAAATCACCGCGGGGTTTTCCAAGCGGAGAATGGAAGGTGTGACTTGCGTGACGACGAGTGCTGCGGGGTTACAGTCGCTCATCTGGCGGATAAATTGCTGGCAGTGATGGTGGCACATCCATGTCTGTCTGGGTGCCAAATTTGAGTCAGTAAAGAAGAGTGTGGGAGGGTTGGTGTCTGCGTTATTAATCCAAATGGAAGTAATTTCCACCCCACACATGCCCACCACCATGATCCCAGAGAGCTCACCGATGTTGATAGCCGATCCTCGATTGCAAGGGTCTGTGCTTGGAGAAGGGTTCGACGAGGTTGCAGATTCAGAGACATTAATCCATTAGGAGTGAAAGTCTGCTATTATTCCGGCTAAGGAAAGAACCAGCCGGCGACCGGCCAAGGGCGCTCTCCAACAACTGAAACACTGTAAGATGGTCATGTCCCATTTTTGAATGCAAGATAGGTTTATCACTAGTAGCCGCTAGTCTAGGAGAAATTCACTTACTATTAGCGTGGACATGATGGGAAAGGGGAGGGTCACATCGATGGAATAAGGAAGCAGCTCATTTCATCTATGATCATCTGACGAAGACATGTGATCGGCAAGAGAAGGAACAGACAGCCTGGTAGAGTGCGAGTGTGTAGCAGAATGAAAACGAAAAAAGACTGGATCTAGGCAGAACCCGGATAAGGATATAACAGAACCATAATCGAATAGACTAAATGCAAGTTTGCAGGCTGCACAGCGCACTGCCTATCTCAATTTGACTACATGCATGCGGGACTGGGTTGTTCAATATGAGAACGATTGGATCTGCATATGCCTGATGGGGAAAATAAATTCTAGCGGGGAAGACAATCGTTTAGGAAATATATGCATAGTTACAGAGCTCTAGCAAACTTATTAATTGTGAATATGGTATGAGTGGCATTAGGTAGAATATTCGCCACAGTTAATTAGTTTATATTCCGACTTTTAGTGATTTACACAAAACACGGCATTCATGCCAATTTCCTTGAAAACATCTATGACCTTCTGACCAGCCATTGCCCTCTTTGTTACACCTCTTGTCACAACCTGCTCTCCGTTGTCTGAATTCGACCTTCAGGACTGAATCGAGTAACAAACGTCGAATTCAACCCAAGAGTGGCATTGGGTATGGTTCCAAATCTTCGTAGAAGGAAAGGATAATCTCACAGAACAATCCCGTATGAAAACAAAGAAACGAGCAATCCCAACATCATTAATTGTCCAGCTATCAATGGTATCCTCATCCCATTCACTCTATCACATATCCTTCGGCGACGCTCTTCACTTCCTTAGAGAAGCCGACGTTCTCGTCCATCTCCAGGAGAGAGACATTAGAGATATCAACCTCAACAAAAGGGTTTGTCTTGGAGAAACGGACGCTCATGGGGAAGAACTCATTCTCGTCACCGTCACCGCCCACGGACTCGAACTCAAAACTGCCTGAAGCGTTGGTTGAATCGACAGTGCCGATGTTCCAGTCAATGCTGTCGCCTGATACTTCGTACACTGCATCGAAGCTGGAGACAGTTGGCTCCGTGGTACCATAAGGAATAGTGACAGTCACATCACGCAAACTGTCCGAGCCCGTGAACTCGTACTCAACAGTAACAGTAGTCGAATCTGAGCCCTTGTTGACCCACACGGTGAATGTGATTGGCAGGATATCTGCATTTTCAGAACCCGTGCTGGCAACACGCCATCTCAGAACACCAATGGAGTTGTTGGCAGGGAAACGTTTGGACGTGTCCTTGAGCTGGATGACGTTCGAACTGGTGAAAAGGTTTTTATCCACATTGGGATGAGTACGGAACTGTGCACCATGTGTTGGGTTTGCAATCAAATCCAGCTTGATCTTCGTGAAAGAGGGGTCGGAGATGCGAAGCTGGAGGTCACCCTTCACTTCGAAGGACTTCAAAGCACCCTCCCGGGTCAATCTGGCGGATATGGTCTCGGCAACCGTTACGTGAACAGCTTCTCGGTCGGCGGACACGGAAGGACGAGCAGATGGCGACTTGTCGGGAGTAGCCGCCTGTGGAGTGACAAGAGGAGCGGATTCTTCAGCTTCGGGGCCCAAATCTCCGCGAACTTTCTCATAGATATCAGTAGACTTGGATTTCTTGCCAAGTTGCATTCCTTTCCCACGAGTCGGGAGTGGCCTGTTGTCGGTTAGCAAAAGACGGTGGCAGGTGGATCTCGACAAGAAACGTACTTGGCAAACGATTTCTTCTTCTCTGCTTCGTATGTGTCGTAAGTTTCCGGAACCGACGGGCGGGAAGGAGGTGTGTATACAGGGTATGTGGGCGTTCGGGGAGCGATGCCACGGCCGGCGCGGGCAGCCTCTCTGCGCTGGAGCTCCAGCTGTTTCGCCTTTCGCTTTCGTTCCTCGCTTGCCTCGAGTTCCTTGTTCTACACTATTGTTAGTCAACCGATATTTGAGGCTGTTAGGAAATTGCAGTACCCTCTCGATAATCTCCTGGATTCTCTCCTCATGACTCTCCATCTCCAAGAATGTCTTGATCTGGCTGAGAGACAGGTTCTCTCGGTACCCTAAGGTGACCAGCTCATCGTATGCACTGAGGAGTTCGAACGCATTTCGCAAGATCTCTCGCTCATCCAGGCTCTTGCAGATGCTCGTAGTCACCTGGGCGAAAAGGTGTAGACTGTCTATATCCTGGAGAATGTTCGATTGGCGGTTGGTGATGAGCACCATGTATAGCTCGTCCAACGGCTGGTAGACAAAGCGCACATTGTCCTGCTCGACTGTTGTGTGCTGCGTCCCAGAGTCGGCGAGCTTAGGGAAAGAGGCAAGCAGAGCTTCGATTCTGGACCGGGCAATCTCTCTGAATTGTCGCGAGAGGACAGCCTTGCCGCCGCGGGTGCAGATTGAAGCCGCGAGGACGACCTGTGTGCGGAGCCATCAGAAGGCATGAAGTGAGCATCAGGGAGTATAATGAGACCAACCATGATTGCGCAAAAAGGAGATCAGGGGCCCTTGAAGAATACTGGTCGTCAGGCGTGGGCGTTGAAGGTGACTCGGGGCTGCATGGAGGCCAGGTAGACCATCCCGCTGTGTTGTTCACTCCGTCTGCCTGTTCCGACCGGTGGCCCGTGCACGCCACTAGCCGCTCGCTTACTGCAAGAGAGGCTGCCCAGCTCGACTCTTTGCCTCCCAACCCTCTCTGCTGCCTCCTCGTCGTTCAGTTATGGCTTGATCTATCGGTTCCATGGACCTCGAATTTTGAGAGAACCAGACGGTCGTCCGATAGCGTGAAAGAGAACGCTCTTCTAGTCGGTTACGGGGTGATTTCCCCTCCGGTCCCTATAGGAATTCTGACGCGTCGAAGCTGAAATACGCTGAGACCGCGAGTGGGCTGCCGCGTCTCTAAGCGTCCTTACGTTCTCATCAGATCCGTGTCGAATTTATATATGTCATGAGCGCGGCTTCTCCAATGGCTTTTCCCACCATGGAAGATCCCCTTGGTGACTCGATGGACGTGGCGTCCCCGTACCCGGGGCACGCAGATGACTTTGAGATTGATATTGATATCATGGAAGATCAAGCTTCTAACGCAGACAACGACTTTGACGTCAGAGATGCTTCGCCAGAAGCAATGCCCCAGCCGGAAGATTTGGTTGCTACGAACGATGCCGATATGGACGATGTCGCCGAGCCCTCTGCAACCAACACGTTCGACAACGCCGAAAGCCATAACCAGAATAATAGCACCGTCTACTCAAGCCATGTAACGTACGAGTCGGAGATGCTAGATGAAGACTACGAAGAGGATATCGATGCCCCTATTCCTGACTCCGAGGCCCTCGCAGTGGAAGCTGGGAAGACGTTGGAACCCAGTGAGGACCTTTCTCGAAAACAGAATTTAGAAGAACAGCCAGGTCCATCAAGGGACGAGAACCAAAAACTCTGTCGAGCCTGTTGTTGATGAGCATGAACAACATGTAGACGTCGAGGAGCATGAACCGAACGCGGCAAACGAGGGAATAAACCAGGATGATGCAGAGCGAGTCCCCGAAGGAGTTCATGAGAACGAGCATTACCACCAATACGACGAAACACCCAGCCATCGTGATGATACTAACAGCACAGCTCACGTTGAGTCACAGCAGGCCCCTACTTTGAGCAATACTGAAGCCCAAACTCCTGACCAGCCTGAAGGAGGTGAGCCTGATGATGGAGGTGAACCCGACGAGGCTGGGCTGGCGCATGACGTAGGGGAAGAACACGAAGAACACGACCAATATCCTCAGGCCGAGCATGACCCCGAAGGCGAAGACCAACACCCAGAAACAACTCAGCATGAGCGATATCTACACCCAGTTAAAGTACTGTATCAAGACAGCGAAATATCTCTGTTTCCGCCGCGGGAAGGTGACTCTTCGGAAACGTTCTTCCTTGAGGACGAAGGCTTGGCCTACGAAAATCTTGACCACCTCCTTGCGGCATGTCGTCAAATTCTTGGCGAACATGTTAGCGAGGATGAGGTATTAGTACTTGATATAGAGTCGTTAGGTCTCCAGCTAAGTGAGGTAAGTATTGTCGTCCCATTGCGCGTTCCCTGGCTTACAAAATATAGGATAATCTGCACGTTTCCAAGATGACCCTGTCTCAGATCGTTGATATATACCTGCATTTGTGCCATAATGACGGTGTTGATGAGCCAGAACCTTTGTATCTTACTTTGAGCACGAGATCGACCCTTCTCGCTGAGGTCTCTAACCTAGCTATGGCCGCAAATGAAGGAAAGGGTATTTCCCATATTCATTCATGGGACGAATATGGAAATCAAGAAGAGGAAGAAGAAGAGAAGGAGCAGGCTGGTGATGACACCGGAGCCGCAGATAATGAAGACTTTCAAGAGAAGCAAGCTGGGGTGTCGGACGACCTCCCAGCGAATGCTATCTCTGAGCCTCCTGTCCAGTCTGAAGAAGGCCAAGATGATGTTGTGCCCGCTAACCATCAGCCTGAAGACTACGTAGCAGACCAAGCTTTGGATAAGGGCGTTTCTGAGTCAGATGGCTCCCATGTCGAGCACGCAAATGATGCAGAAACAAACCAAGAAATAGCTGAAGATGAAGAGTCGTCACATGAACAAGATAACAGCCCTGCTTCTGCTGCTGAAGCTAACGAGGATGACGGCAATGCCGAGAACTTTGACCATGCTTCCCAGGAAGATGTCCAGGACAACCAACAATCAGAGCAGGCGCTTTCAACTACTGATCTTCCTGCGGAAGGCCCATATGATTCCGAAGAGCAAACCGAGTCCACAGCCACACTAGCACATGCTCCAGTAACGCAGTCCGACGAGCAACAACCAAGCCAAATAATTGATCCGAGTTCTGGTCAGGACCACATTACTTCAGACCATGAAGGTCATGAGCATGATGCAGGTGAGAACTTTGTTGACGGTGACGAAGATGACGCTGAAGAAGACAATTTTGAAGACCAAAATGTCGAGGAAGGAGAAGAATATTACGGTGGAGAAGAGGAAGAGGAAGAGGAAGAGGAAGCAGCAGCAGAAGCAGCAGCAGAAGCAGCAGCAGAAGCAGCAGAAGCAGCAGAAAATCCTGAAGAAGATTTTGGTCTTCAAGGCGGTATTCCGTCTGACTCGGGTGATCTTCAGGCTCCTGCAACATTGTCTCACCATGAAGCCCCTTCAGATTCTGGCCAAGGCCATTCGACAGATCACCAGTCGTTGAATGCGATGCCAGATCCGTATGATGACACGGAGGGTGAGAAACAACTACCTGTTGACCACCTCGATCATCCGGAAGAGACCACACGGAAAACACCGGAATTGGCCGATGATCTTTTGGGTGTGGATGAGGGTCTCTTTGCAAGCCCTGAGAAAGGTTCAAAGAGCGCTGACTCAACGCTTGCCGGACAAGCCGATAACGATCCTGGAGATCCTGGAGAAGTCCAGGATAGTGCGCAGGACAACACTCACTCATTGCATCAATCCGGAGATGACTTTGAGGAGCTGGAATTTGATGATGAGGATTATTTTGAGCTGGATGACACCGAGCATCCGGCAGATGAAAGTGGAGAACTTGGTGCCGATAAATTGCAAGTTCATGGAAGCGGTCGTGGAAAACGCTCTCGTGAAGCGGATGATGAACTTGATTTTGCCGAGACCCCAACTCCGGATGCTAAACGGTCCCGTTCTTCGTGATGAGGATTTCCTTGCGCCTCCTCTCTTAACCCTTGTTCCAATTACCCCCAGCATTCTTGGTGTCTAACCAGGCCACTTTCCACTTGATGCAGATTGCATCAATGGTGCCAGACAGATCTAGGGCGGTTTCAGTACGACATTCGAACGGCGATTGAAAGCATCCCGGATGAATGAGTCATCGTGAGATGGAAGTCTATGATCCGTTTCTCTATAAGCGAGGTAAGTCACCACCCAGCATCCCGCTTTCTTTTGCCTAGGCAATATATCCCGTCCGCTTCCCACTGTTTTCCACGCTCTCAAATCCTTTCCCCTACCACCTCCTGCCTGTCATTTGACTGTGAAGGCTGGATGGTTTAGAACTCCAAGTTCTTTACCATTTGCTCCGACGCGGTCTTGTGTTATTGATACTCTTTTGCCATTTCTGAATGGTTCTGTGTTGTGTATGATTGTCTGCTTTGAAGCGGCTGTCATCAACCGGACAGCCTATAAGTAAAGCATTCAGCATGGCGTCAGGGTTTGGATGTTACGTTCGGAAACTTTTTTTCTCGTTGATTTATTCGGTTAGGTGTTTGTGGTCCGGTGTTCTGGATGCTGTAATGGATGATACCGAGATTCGCCCCTTTTTCTCGTATAGTCCGTCAGGTACCTGTTCTTAAACAGCTACCTGGCATGTGGATGCAGGTCTGGCAGCGTTCCGTGTCCAGGCTATTCACACCAGCTTTCCTCAATTTCCGCATTTTTAGGTTTCTCTTTCTTGTCTTTTTTTCTTTTCTTTTCTTTTTCTTTTTTTTTTCGAGTTGATAAGCTACGCCATGGCGGAGAGATGCGATCGTGCCGGTCGATGAGCGTGTCGGAGTGATTCTGATTGCTTTGCTTTTTTCCCGTTTCTATCCTGCGTCTCTACTGCAGGGCGTACTGTATGTATGTATCTATGTCGGGTAGGAGTTTCCGTTTCTAGGTCCAAAATGTCATCTGTTGTCCCGATCGCATCGGTCTTGCACTATTTATTACGGGGAATTTTTAGAACGGTGATTTTCGAGGCGGAAGTTATCGATAAAATCGATCCACAGGGCAGTGGAGACTATCCACGTAAGTGAGATTTATATTATGCAAGTCATAGTGGGTGGTAGGTCTCTATCTGTCCGGATGGTATTGTGCTGTATGATGATCGAGAAACTGATCTCTGCAGACTCGTCTGCAGTGATACAGTGTTGTTATCTGCTCAATATCGCGAAGGAATGTGACCCCTACCGGTAGGCTGCTGGGTTGGTGCAATGGACCGCTGCACGCAGCAAGAGTGTGTGCGTGTCCAGATCCAAGTCCAAAATAGCAGGCCCTAGCTCGTTAGCGAAGGCATTAATATAATTATTATTAGATCAGGCGACGAGGCGATGCTAAGCTGCTTAAACGGACGATCGCAGGCGTGCCGCGGGATCAGGCGGCGCCCCTGACCGCGACAGCCTATGAGGCCCGGATGCGAGCCGGAATGCCACCTTTGCCTTTTTCGACTCCTGGAGCCGGCCTGCACCTGTCGACCACCTTGCGCCCGGATCTGCCATCCAAATCTCCTATCAACTACTCCCTCCTCGTCCTGTACACACACTGCCCCGTCCAGTGTGTCTGCTTCCCTTCAGCACCTGTTCTTCGCTTCTTCACGCCTCCTCGACGCCACCACCTCGGTCCTTGGCCACTCTCTCCAGGCCCGAGCGCTTCTCCCGTCACTCGTTTGAAACACGCGTCCACCGGAACGAACTTGATCCAGGACCCCACCCATGGTGCGATAGCTCCGGACCCTGGCCAACTCAAGAGTGCCTTCTCATCGTCCACCGAATCTGTGCGCAAGACGGCGACGCATCGTTATCGTTGACCCTGCGCGCAACTTCCCAGTGCTGCAGAACGTGGCTGGCTCACTTCCTGCAAGCCGACCGCACCCTCTCTTCCCAGAATCGCTTCCGCAAGTCGCCGGCCGTTCGGTCGATACACCGTGCCGTCAGTCGCTACACGTCGATCTGTCAATGCAGTCGCTTTTCGTCCCTGGCTGCTAGAGAGATTGCTCCGGACCGAGTCCTCCATCCATTCTTCGCGTCCACAGACCAGTCTCTGCGTTTCCTGCCTGCGGTGCTGTTGGCCACTGTTCGAGTTGGACATATTCGAGAGGCTGGAGCAGTCGGCTCCCGAACAATTACGGGATGATTTCGGACAAGTATGGAATTCTCTGGTCCATTTTTCGCGTTGCAAATCAGTGTCGTGAGAGTATCTGGTCAGGTTGGTCACATGGTCTGACGCTTTGTTTTTGCTAGGTACATTGGGTTGGCGTTAGCCATCCTGTCCACGATGGCTATAGGTATGGCCCCATTGAGTTCCGTCGCTTTCCTCCTCTTTCCCACGTGCATGTCTGACAAGCTTTTTAATAGGAACGAGTTTCGTCATTACAAAAAAGGTCCGTCTCTACCATGTGTCTTCAGCTACGATGACAAGTTTCACGATGCCATTAATCGAACACAGTCGCTGATAAGTTCATAAACAGGGTTTAATGCACGCATCAGAGAATCATGGATTTGCAGGGGACGGGTTTTCATATCTCAAGAGTCCCATATGGTGGGGTGGCATTGGAACTTGTATGTCTGCTGTCAAGGCAACCTTACGACAACAACCTAACTCGTACTACAGTGGCCATTGGTGAAATAGCAAACTTCGCCGCCTATGCCTTTGCACCTGCCATCTTAGTCACACCTTTAGGCGCCCTCAGTGTTTTAATAGGGTATGTGACCGACTACGCCTTTCTATGTTTCCGAATGTCATTGCTGACAAGGAGGCAGTGCTGTTCTCGGCTCCTATTTCTTAAAGGAGAGACTTGGCACCCTCGGAAAACTTGGATGTGCGATGTGCCTCCTTGGTTCTGTCGTGATTGTGCTTCATGCACCTCCTGACAAGCCGGTGGAGACTATCGATCAGATCTTGGAGTTTGTCCTAACGTCAGGTTCGTTCCCAAATAATTTCCTCTCGAGAAAAAAAAAGTTCACTCGGGACTTACGCGTCATAGGATTTCTTTTTTATTGTCTAGCCGTGGCGATCTTTGCGACAGTCATGATTTATCGCGTTGCACCTGTCTACGGAAAGAAGAACCCGCTCATTTACATCTCGATCTGCTCTACCGTTGGCTCCGTTTCGGTTATGTCTGTCAAAGCATTCGGCATCGCATTGAAGCTTACTTTGGGTGGAAACAATCAGTTCACTCATGCTTCGACCTATGTTTTCGCGATTGTAACTTGCTTTTGTATTCTGACTCAGATGAACTACTTCAACAAGGCCTTGAATGAGTTCTCAACCTCAATGTGAGTCCAGGGAACCTGTGTTACTGAAGCCACTGCTGACGATCGGTTCAGAGTCAATCCACTGTATTATGTCACATTCACAACCGCTACGCTGTGTGCTTCTTTCATTCTTTTTAAAGGCTTCAACACCACTGATGCTGTGAGCACAATCTCGCTGCTTTGCGGTTTTCTTGTCATCTTCTCTGGTGTTTACCTCCTTAACCTGTCGCGACACGACCCCGACGGGCGAAAGATGCTGGCTGGAAAGGACGATGAGGACGATGGTGTCCCCACCGACGCAATCGCGAGCTTTTCCACCCGGCGTTCCATGCAAGCGAGGAGAAGTCTTGATCCACATCGGCGAAGTTCCTCCAGTATTGCATTTTTGAACGGCCAAAGCGATCGTGAAGGTCTCATGCGCTCTTACGACGCTGAGAATGGAGTTATCGGTTTAAGCGAATTGAGAGAAGACGATGGAGAGCCCGGGCCAACTCGGAAACGGAGCGAAGATGGGAATGGTACCTTGTACCAACCTAAACAAGATGGCCGATAACTTGGAGGGAAGGGGCATGGCTCCAAATTTGACCAGACATTTTCCTTTTATGATTTTATTCAGCAACATTCTGATACAAGGCAAATCTAACACGCCTCGGTGGACTTTTCCTTACTTTTCTGGATTCTCATTTTCTTAACACCACATGTTCTCAAAACGTTTCTGCATGGAATTGCAAAAGCCGCGGGAGAATTCCAGTGCTCCTATGGGACGGTTACGGATTTTTGATCGGAATGATCAGGTACCCTTGGGATAGGGTCGGTTACGTTGTTGATGTTGGAATACAGGCTGACTCTTCAAGACGCGGGTCAGTATGCATATGCTGGGATATATCTCCTACATGTCGCTTACGCGGAGATGCAACGGCTATTCCATGGGCTGATGGATATTTCTTTCTCCATCTCTTTTCCTTTTCTGTCGGGATTCAGTTTTCTTCTGCTCCTCACTACTACCCGATTTTCTTTGAATCGTTGCGGGTGTCAGGGAGGAATGTATATAGTATCTGTACTGTATTTTATCGTACTGGGGGCAGCTTGGTGCGGTTTAGGCGGTTTCTTAATTGTGCAATTGCTTTCATGGCATTGATTTTGCAGTATATTTGAAGGCAAAGCGGACAAAAGCCACGTGATCTAATTACCTTTCTAGTTGGGGTATCCCAATGTAGACACCCGATATTGGACATTTGCGAGGTAACAGGGCCCAAGTCTGATCGATTCCAGTGAGAGGCATAGAATCGTACTTTTCGTGACTTTGATAAACAGACACGCCTTTAGATGTCTCTTTTGGATGGGATAAATGTTTGCGGAATGTCCTTGCCGCCTGGGGCGCGCGGGGCCACGTGCGATGATGTAGTTAGTAGAGTGGTAAGCAGACCAGGTCGCGACTCGCCTCTGCGGGAACTATCAACATTCTCGACGGTCGCGTGGACATTTGGGCTAGGAAGGGTCGTTGTAAATTGCGCCAGGTGCCAGCTGCATGCTCCAGCTTAGAGTTTGTCCTTGTACCGGGCCAGAAGCAGTGGGAACTGCGCCATGCCTGGTTTGGTGAGGAAACTGGTCATCTTCGCCGCCGTGGATGGACTCATTCTACAACCAAATGGAAATAGACACCGCAACGGCGACAACACACAGTGTCCAATTCAGATCGAATACCGGACGCAGAAGATCTCAGCGCGTCCAGCGACCCCAACGGGGCTTCATGAGAAGAAGAGCGTAGGCTTGGAGGCCTATGGTATTGTCGGTACGCAACTGTCGCCCTTTGCTAATATTAGGAGACAGTGAACCCCCTGCCTAGCAGACTTCCATCTTAGCGGGCATTCCGCAGTTCAGAACTAATAGTAGAGCGATATGTGTAGGGCTCCTGACTGTTGCCTCCTATTCGTTCCTCATCTCCATAACCCAGCGCGAACAGGTCGCGCAAATCTTGGGCAAGCCCATCTACGCGGTAACGAACGTCGCGGTTATCCCCTTATCTTCTCAGGCAGACGCGAGTCGCGCGATACTGCAAGCTCGTGAGAACCTATCTCAGGGAGAGAAAGGGCCGGGAGAGACTGCACCCGACGATGCTTCTTCCCTCAGTGAAGCCGAGACCGATGTCAGCGAGGAAAGCGCAGTGGCCTCCCCAGCAGATGAGACAGATCACGTCGAAGGCAGAAGTGACATAGACAGTGGTATCGCTGAGGATGTCATTGGAAATAAGGGTAGGTATGGGAGGTTTGTGACCAACTGGCTTTCCAGAAAGCGCTGGGGTCCTGCAGGCCCCTTCCTTTCTAGGCCGAAAACCGGCGCAGATGCAGACATGAAGGGTAAAAGCGTAACAGCGGGGGAGAGTTCACAGCCCAGTATTCCAGACGTGAAGGAAGAGGCAGAAGCTACATCCGCGGTTAGAAAGCTCGCATCTGAGGTAGCGGCTGAGACTGCGACAACTCCTGATCAGACCATCGATCTGATGCCTAAACTCCTCCGATATACGAAGCTGCTTTTTTCATCGAGCAACTTCTTCTTTTCCTACGATTATGATCTGACGAGGCGATTTGGCACGCAAGATCCGCGGAGGTCTCATCTACCCCTTCACTGCACCGTGGATCCTCTGGTATGGACCTTTGTGCACCTAATTTCTACTTGGACTCCCGGCTAAGTTTTGCATAGTACTTCTGGAACAGACACTTGATGAAGCCACTGATTGAGCACGTAAATGGCGCCCATGCTTTTGTATTACCTTTGATACAAGGATTCGTTGGGCAGCGTGAGTTCACGGTTGCTTCGTCGGGACAACGATGTGAAGAGGCTCCAAAATCCAATGAGACGGCAGTTGAAAGCCGGATTGTGAGCGAAACACAGCAGGACTCAGTCCCAGACAAGAATGACCACAAACGCAGTTTTCTTCTGACCCTCATCTCTCGACGGTCTATCCAACGTCCCGGACTGCGGTACCTCCGCCGTGGTGTTGACGATGATGGCAACACCGCCAACACTGTAGAGACAGAGCAAATCTTGTCGACGCCATCATGGGACTCGTCGCACAAGGTGTACTCGCTACTTCAGCTGCGCGGGTCGATACCGCTCTACTTTTCTCAATCACCGTACTCCTTCAAGCCCACTCCCGTGCTTCATCACTCGACTGAAACAAATCAATTCGCTTTTAATCAGCATTTTCGAAACCTGAATAGAAGATATGGGAAGATACAGGCGGTCTGTCTTGTCGAAAAGCACGGTGGCGAAGCCAAAATCGGCGAGGCGTATGAGACGTACGCTCGCACTTTGAACGAATCAGGGGGGTTGGATGGCTCTAGTCTAGGCTTCGAGTGGTTTGATTTCCACAGCGAATGCCGTGGGATGAAGTTCGAGAATGTGCGGCGACTTGTAGATAAGCTAGAAAGCACTCTGGATGATTTCGGTGAGACGGTTGTGCAAGGTAACACTATTCTCAAGGAGCAGACGGGAATCGTGCGGACCAACTGCATGGATTGTTTGGATCGTACTGGAGTCGCCCAGTGTGCGTTCGGTCAGAGAGCCTTGGAGCAGGAGCTGAAGAGCGAAGGGTTCGACATCGACCTTCAAGGTGATCCATCCACGCAGTGGTTCAACACTCTGTGGGCTGATAATGGAGACGCGATCTCGAAACAATATTCTTCAACTGCCGCGTTGAAGGGGGACTACACGCGAACAAGGAAGCGGAACTATCGCGGAGCCCTCAACGACTTCGGACTGACGCTGTCCCGGTACTACAATAACATCGTCAGTGACTACTTCTCGCAGGCTTGTATTGACTACTTGCTGGGGAACGTGTCGATCCAGGTCTTTGCGGAATTCCAGGAGGAACTGCAGTCCGCCGATCCCGGGATTTCGGTCCAAAAGCTACGTCAAAATGCTATTGAAACCAGTAGCAGACTCGTGATTGGTGACCAGAGGGAGGAGCTCGTCGGAGGATGGATAATGCTCAGTCCTCGTCAGCCCAATACATTGAGAACCTTACCATTCGAGGAGTCGGTCCTTCTTCTCACCGATGCTGCGGTCTACAACTGCCGATTTGACTGGAACACGGATAAGGTCCTTTCGTTTGAGCGAATCGACCTGCGTTCCATCAGCCAGATTCGTTACGGGACATACATCACATCGACCTTGACCGATGCCCAGACCGACGAACAGCGGAATGTCGGTATGGTCATCGTATACCAAGATGATGAGACCAACGCTCTGCGAGTGAACACCAGGTCTCTCCAGAGCCTGTTCAAACAAGATGTGCAGGACCCACCAGATCCTGGCACCGAGTGGGATCTTTCCTCCTGGCTCAAGCGCACAAGGCGTCCCAAAACTCGATTTATGGCGTTCAAGGCGCCCCCAGTCTCCAATTCAGTGACTGCTAATCATCAGCAGAGTGTCCCAATAAGCGAGCGGGACACTGTTCGGTCGATCTGCCAGGAGATCGAGCGTGCCATGATGTCTGCAGACGGGCGACCTGTCGAGAGCCAGTCGATCATCGAAGAGAAGGAGATTATCTCGTTGGCCGAGGCGAAGAAGAGAACGGGGTATCTGGAGCAGCTTGTCTATGATGTCAAGAAACTGGTTTGGGCATAAAAAGGCGGATTGTTTTTGATGATGTTACGTTTTATAAAGATATAGATGTGTACATGTACAGACATCAATGCATAGTTGGTTGGCCCTTTGAGAACTGGGACTGGCTTGTAGATCCCTAGCAAAAATACATGATTGAACATGATGGTGCCCAACATGTGCATTATTGTTATAGCCAGGTGAGTTGTGTCCATTATTCAGGCCTTTTTCTCTGTAGTATTGATTGACAAGGGCGGTCTGCCACGGTGTGGCACTCCCTTGCTCAGGCGGTCACCAGCCACGCCACCGCGCCGCACTTCGCGCACTCGTCCAAACATTTTCCCTTCCCCTGTCGTTACAGAGATTTTCCAGCGCCCTCAGGCGGCCTCGAGGATCCTCATTTTCCTAGAGCGTTTATTTCTTTTTCTTCTTCAATTTCACCCCCAGTCTAATATTTAATTTTTCTTCTCTTATAAAAACATTTTATTTGTCTTATCCCATTGCACGTCCCCCTGACCACCGCGGCGGGTCACTGTTGGGTCCGAAAAACCCTATTCTGTCCTCCCACATTGGGCGTCGTCGGAGGCGGTCACTCACTCCTATCCACCCTTCACCCCTCCGCCGCAACCTTCGTCACCCAACTCCGCTGCTGTCGGGTTGCGTCCCGGTGCACTATTCATCACAACGCGCGTGTGTTTTGATACCGGACGGTGTCAAGGAGCTGCTGTATCTCCTTCCTGGAATTAGCCCTGTGCTGCGTTGCCACTGGCGGTCCCTGAGAGCTTGGCTGCAGAAAACTGACCCCTGTTCGCGCTGTATACTATAGCGCAACTGTCGCGTCAGTCAAGACTTTCTGTTGAGATTAGCCAGATTCTTTGCCGCAGGTACCGTTGCAGAAATCACATTATTCCGCGTGCACTCTGATCTTGCTCTTTGTCCACCCCTCTTTGCATATCGTTCCTTATCTGTCTATTTGAAGGAGGGGTTCAGGACCGCGTTCGCACAGCTACTGTGCGGGGTTTCCGATTTTCACCTTCCCAGACTTCGGTCCTTTTTTTGACGCCATTTTCCCTTGACAGGTTTCCAAGATGGAGTGGCAACCGCAGGATGAGCCATTGAGGCAGCTGGCCGGCTACCTCAGGGACTCCCTGAATTCATATGACCGTGCGGTCCGGAAACACGCTGAGGAGGTAAAGTCGGACATACCTGCTTCATGTCTTTCCTGGACGAAATGAACTCATAGCTAACTGCTGGTTTCGTATCAACAGATGCTTATCCAGGCCACCGCTAACCCGGATTTTGTCAACTACCTCACATACCTTTTCTGCACCCCTCAGGCCCCTCCAGCAGTGGGCCTGGACCAGAACACCTACAATGTCGTTCGATTTTCCGCCGCCTTGAATATGAAGACCAAAATTCGAGTAGCGTACAACACCATCACGCCGACTAGTCTAGATTACATTCGAAGAGCTACCCTGCTCGGTCTGCGAGACCCGAGCCCTCAGATCCGCAACTCCGCTGGAAGTATCATAACGGAACTTCTGCAGCAGGCAGGATTGCTGGCGTGGCCCGAGGTGCTGCACGAACTTATCACGCTTGTTGGGAACGTATCTGGAGATGTGCCTGTGGTGACCCAAGAGGCAGCCATGTCTGCCCTGTCGAAAGTCTGCGAGGATAACCGAAAGATCCTCGACAAAGACTACGGAGGACAACGCCCTCTGGATGTGATAATTCCACGTTTGATGGATTTCACAGGCAGTGAAAGCCCCACCATCAGGTCGACCGCCCTTGGCACCCTCCAAGTCTTCCTTCCCCTCAAGCCCCAAGCGCTGATATCGTCCTTTGATTCTTTCATGGCGAATCTGTTCCGTCTTGCCAACGACCCCAACACGGACGTGCGGAGAACTGCCTGTCAGGCATTTGGGCAACTGGCTGAGGTGGCACCAGAGCAACTGATTCCTCATATGGAGGACCTGGTGAACTACATGATTATACAGCAGAACAATGGGGAGGATCCTGAACTGGCGCTGGATGCCGCGGAGTTCTGGCTGACGGCCGGTGAGCAGCAGAAGTTACAGCAACCCCTGGGACAACATATCCATAAGATCATCCCACTGCTGCTGAAGAGCATGGTCTACGATGAGGACGATGCCATCCGATTGGCGGGTGAGGAGGATGATGCGGAGCAGGAAGACCGTGCGGAGGACTTGAAGCCTCAATTTGCCAAATCGAAAGGTGCTCGTTTGGAAAGCAAGACGGATGGTGCGGCTAACGGCAAGGCGGCCAATGGAGCAGATGAGGAAGAGGACGAGCTCAGCGAAGGGGAGATTGAGGACGAATCCGACTTAGACGATGATCCCGAGGATGAGTGGACACTCCGCAAATGCTCCGCGGCAGCGTTGGATATTTTCGCCAATGTCTATGGTCGGCCAGTCTTCGAGCTCATCTTACCGTACCTGAAAGAGACCCTTCGGCATGAACAGTGGCCCAACCGGGAAGCAGCTGTTCTCACGCTAGGAGCTGTTGCAGATGGTTGCATGGAAGCTGTCACTCCTCACCTGCCTGAGCTGATTCCTTACCTGATCTCGCTCCTGAACGATGCGCAACCCGTGGTTCGGAAGATCACTTGCTGGTGTTTGGGCAGATACTCTGAGTGGGCATCACATCTCGAAGATCCCGCTCAGAAGGCACAGTACTTTGAGCCCATGATGGAAGGGATCCTTCGCCGGATGCTGGACAACAACAAGAAAGTACAGGAGGCTGCCGCTTCTGCGTTTGCCAGTCTCGAGGAGAAATCAGATTCGAACTTGATCCCTTACTGCGAGCCGATTCTGCGGCAGTTCGTCCAATGCTTTGGCAAGTACAAGGATCGCAACATGTACATCCTCTACGACTGTGTGCAGACTTTGGCTGAGTGCGTCATGGGAGAGCTGGCGAAGCCCGAGCTGGTTAATATTCTGATGCCCGCTCTCATTGACCGCTACAACAAAGTGTCCGACCAGTCTCGGGAACTCTTCCCTCTCTTGGAATGTCTAGGCTACGTTGCCGCCGCATACGGAGATGCGTTCTCGCCGTTTGCCGCTCCGCTGTTCCATAGGTGTATCAAGATCATTTACCAGAATCTGCAGGAATCTATTGCCGCCGCACAGAATGACGCCCTTGACGAGCCGGATAAAGACTTCCTTATCACCAGCCTGGACCTGCTGAGTGCCATTATCCAGGCGATCGATTCGCAAAAGAGTGGCGAGCTTGTGGCAAACGCGCAGCCGCGATTTTTCGATCTGCTGTGCTATTGCATGAACGACCAGAACAATGAAGTCCGTCAGTCGTCGTATGCTCTTCTGGGCGACTGTGCTATTCACATCTTCCCTCAACTCCAACCTTTCATTCCGAATATCATGCCAAGCCTGATCAAGCAGCTTGACTTGGATTTGATTCCGGACGAGTCACCACAGACTGGGTTCAGCGTGCTCAACAATGCTTGTTGGTCTTGCGGAGAGATTGCTGTGAACGAAAAGGCCGATTTGTCGCCTTGGCTGGACAAGTTGTATCCAGCGCTGTTGACTATTGTCAGCAACGAGGAAGTTATTGATTCGGTCAACGAGAATGCTGCCGTGGCTCTGGGCCGTCTTGGCATAGGATGCTCTGAGCAGCTTGCACCACACCTGCAGGAGTACGCGGGCGTGTTCCTGAAGTCAATGGCGAAGATCGACTTTACTCGCGAAAAGGCGACTGCCTTCCTCGGATTCAACCGAGTTGTGATGAGGAATCCACAAGCGATGGAGGCGTGCCTCGGCGACTATTTCCAGAGCATCGCCACCTTCCCCCAGAAGTCGCTTAACCAGGAGGAGCATCGTGATATCCAGCAATCTTTCCAACAGGTGAGTATTCCCTATTTTACAGGACTTCTCGGATGTAAGCTGACTGATTCTGTTCAAAGGTTCTGCAAGGTTACAAGGAGTTGATACCCAGCTTTGACTCTTTCCTTTCTCAGCTTCCGGCTCCTGTTACCCAGAAGCTTCGTTCTGCTTACCAAATTTAAAGGTCATAACTCATAAGTGTCTTGTTTCGCCATTTAGCCAGTGGATAATTACAGAGACATCATCCTAAGTCTCACGCATATGCATGACCAAACGTGCCCTCCGACATTCTCGTGTGAGCTCATTCCTTTTTGACCTCTTGATACCTTCCTTCTCTTCTACCCTTCTCTTCCTTGACGGGTTTAGCTTTCATGTGATTAGTTTAGCGGACCCTCATGTCGTAAACTTTATATCCTCTTCTTTTTCTTTTCCTGGAAATATGCTTCTTCTATTCTATCTTTTACTTTTACGCTATTGATGCTCTCCATCGTATGATATGAACGACTGTCTTAACGTTTTGTTCCTTGACAGATAGGGAACAGAAATAAAAAGCTAATATGATGATGGATCGAATGAGGTGTGGGATATGGATGGGCTTCTTCTTATTATTTCTTTCCAATATTTTGGCATTTCCGATGGAGTGGGTAAACTGCATGCGATTTCTTTTTTTTTTCCTCCCCTTTTCTTTTTTCTTCTTTTCCGTCATGATATTTTCGACGCCGATCCATCCATCGATCAACGCATGCATGCATGAAGACCATTCTCGACCAATTTTTTTTGGTAGAGAATATTGCATCTATCTTGTTGCTGCTGATTACCCATGCCTTCTTGCCTTTTCCTTTACTGCATTAGATAGACAGACAAACAGACAGACAAGACATAGTGACTGACTGAGTTGCCTGGGTCCAGGCAGATAGTCAATGAACGAGCTTATCTCTTCACGTACTTGTCAAGGATATATATATCCGAAAGGATACCACCTAAGTCAGTAAAAGAAACTAGATTTTATTATTTTTTTTAGCACCCTTTACATTTTCCTTTACATTATTTCTCAAGCCTGAGGGGAATAGATATATTTAGTACCAGGTATTTGAATTATACACGTCCTGCTGCTCTGGTCATTGATATATATATATATATTCGCAGAATTTCTCTCGACGAAGATCCCGAATCGAATCCTGCTACTCTGAGTATATATAATAATTAGCTACTATGTACCGAGTTGGATATGAATGATTAATTGATTTATATTATATGATTTATACAATTTTTTTTACTCTTTTTTTTAACCTCTTCTATGCTTCTCTGAGGGGAGGGGGCTTCCCTTTTGTAATGATAAGCCTGCCCTTTTTTACGTCTTCCTTTCCGAGTTGTTCACTTGGTTTTGGTTTTGTCAATGCTTAATGCAGTATGGCATTGCTATGAAGGATGAGCCATGAGATGATGATGATGGAGGAAGGATCCTCCGACTACGTACAGTACAGTACACGAAATGGAATATCCGTAACGCGCCCAGCCCGAGTCACTAACATCCCATGTGATTGGCATTAGGTAGATCCTCCATACTCCCCATCGGGCATAAGGTAGGTACCTACTTCCGTCAAGGTGCAAGGTTGTACCGCGATAGTTTCTATCGGCAACTCATCTCATTCATTCATGGGACATATGTGCCATGGCTGGCATTCTGCCTGCTTCCCTATCTATCTACCTACCTACCTACGAGGCTAGCTAGGTATGTATATACTCTACGAGACGTCTCATCTCTCCTGCCCCTTTTCTTCCCTTCTTTTTCCACACTTTTTTTTTTCAAGCGAATATTAATACAAGTTCCTTATTAAATATTATTACTCGTTACGGAAGGTAGGGAGGTAGATACCTTACGTACTGTACGTAAGCACAACCCAAACCTGGGAATCTAATCTAAACTACCCAGGTACGTAACCTGCGCCCCCGATATTGATTAAAAATCAATTTATTATTAATTATTAATCCTAATTGTATTCAGCCAGCCAGCCAGCCGCAACACGTGCGATGGACATTCCTTACCTTTTGCTTTTTGCTTTCTACTTTTGCTTTTGTTATAAAGTTCTCTCTCTCTCTCTCTCTCTCCTTTTTTTTTCAGTTTAGATGTTTTTTTTCCTATACGGAGTACGGAGTACGGAATACGAAGTATTATTGATAGGTGTTTGATATGCATGCTTATTCGAGAAGTCAGGAGCTAGATTCAGGATAGGTAGGGGCTGGACAGGGTAGTGTATGGTAGGGCTGAAGATAGTAAACGATTAGTCACAACTACGTGGACATGGAGGGTGAGATTCTGTTTTTTTTTTTGACTCCTCGAGGTTACTATCATGTTCGATTTTCTACGTGTAGTTTGATGGATGGTAATGAACATGACGGATTTCGGTTAAATTGAATAGATATATATAATCTCCACCATGTACTCTATTATATGTACTGTATGGTGCAGAGAGACGCTTCTTGTCTCCCTGCAACTTGCTCTCCAAGGTTATTGAATTCCTGGATAGTAGTAGAGGTGTTATAGAAAAAAGAAGTGTCTCTACTATATTCTTACTCTGCACTCTGCCATCAGCTGACAGTGTCTATATCTGCTGTTAGCAGTCTTTCCCTTCTTGTTCTATTCTATATGCAGCTTCTCTACGGCGTAGATTCCAGCTGGACTAGTGCAAATTAGGCTCTCCTTTCCTGAATATGCAATTAGCTGGATACGGACGACGGAGCATTTCATCCTCCGAACCTATCAGGGGTACGTACGTACGGTAGGTAAATTCCAGTCCCAGCACCTCAGCGTTGGGGAAGCCGTTGCGACGCTAGCCACGGAGCAGGTCCGTAGGCGGCCCTGGCAATAGCACGCTAGGCGGGGCGCAGGAGAGATTCCAGGTAGGTTAATCGAGATATTGACCTGCCCGGTCTGCTTTTCTTGACCCATGAGAGGTCACCACAAGCGAGAAACGTCCTATAAGGTTCCACCGCGTTGCAGGGCTTGCACTATATTAGCCCGCTGCAGCCACCTCGACCATGCTCCAGAAACCGTTAGTGCGGGTGTACTCCATATGGACTATGGAGTTGTGTAGGATGTTGTCGACGACTCGATGGAACTTGAAAGTTGAAGGTATATACATATGTATCATTCAAGGGGCTGACAGCTGACTAGTCCTGTTTGAGTGCCCGACTCTGCACAGACTTTCGTTCTTCAGTCTTATTCGAAGTTGGGACGCTTGTTATGCTTACCTGGTCACGTTGAGAACGCCATGTTTGTGAACTGGGGCTGACAGGGGCTTGGTTCCCAGGCTCGTGCGCTTGGACTTTTCCAGAAGCTCTCAAGTTCAAAGTAAAAAGATTGATTCGACGGGCTGACGCCGCTCTTGGCCCCCCACAAACCCTCAGATAATACCTGTCCGGACGACCAGACCCGGCCACTCGATAGGCTGCCTGCTGGCCTCCTTTTTGAGGCTCTTCTCTTCCTCCCATCTCATTTCCGCTCGTCCGCAGGGGTCCGTATGGAATGGTCATTTCTGGATCCTCTCTCTGGGGCCCTTTCTGAGTCTCGACTCCTGGTGGAAGGTGGGGGTTCAAGCTGGTCGTTTTCCAGCTGAAAGCTACGTTGAAGTAAACACAGGTAGGCACATATGTAGGCGCTTAGGTATCAGCATCGAGTCCCTTTCTGGGCCTAGCCTCTCGTCATCGTCCATCATAATGACTAATAACGTTATCCTGACTTCCACTCGAGCACTCAGTAAACGTAGGTACCTGGTGGATGGATCCATTGTGGATCAATGTACTGTACTCTGTAGGCGTGTGCCTCGTGGACGGTGGACGACTTGGGCGAGAAGGGTTTATTTCTTCAGTACGGAGTACAGTGTATACCATTAGCCATCCCTGATCGTGACCCCATTTGTATGGTTTGCACTCGACTTTTCGCAGATGGCTTGAAATGCCCAGAGTGGTAATTAGTTCCCTGTAATCTGTATCATATCACACTCCCAATTCCAGGAAATTGGGTATGGCCCCCATGTTGCTGAATCTCTCTCAATACCGCTCTAATGAGCATGTTCAGCTGAACAGTGTCACTTCATTTCGGCGCGATGGCATGAACCCACCGACGTGGGCGGTTGATCATGCGGCTCAAATTGACAGTACACTGGTCGATCCCAATCAAATTCGATGTCGACAGCTGCTTCATCGACCTGTATTGGGCCGCCGTTAGTGTACCCACAGGTGACAGGGTGCTGGTCTGATGATGATCAACGCCGTCGGTTTCAAACGGTTGATCATTGGTATCATCAGACGTGGGATGCCCTTTTCATCATTGTTTGTATTGTTTGTAGTCCAAACGCCGTATACTATCTTTGACTACGGATTTTAGGACCATCTGCCTGGAATCGCGATGATGAATGGCTGGCTGCTTAGGCTAGTCGTGCTTTTTCCGTTCTTGCGCTTACCTTATCGGGCATCATCTCGCGATAAGCGACGCTAACAAACCAAGCAGCACTCGGATTGCCCAATGACACACAAGATGCATCCCCAGAGAGACTGTCAGATGCGGAGAATGGCCGGCCTACGACCATTGGATGCCAGGGGCACCCGATCAGGCATCCTGGACCACCGGGTACAGTACCCGCTCCAGGACAGGAACTCTTAGTGCTATCCGCCAGACTGGGAGATCTGAATAAAGCCCTTGCTAGCTCCGACACCACCTGCTCTGGCCCCACCTGCACTGTTTTTCCGTTGTTCTCAGCTCTGATGGTGACTCTTTGCTGCCTATCGGGGAAAGAAACCGTTGGCCGGAAGATTAACGGCATCCCGGAAGTTCCGGGGCTGGCCGTTCTGATTCTCCAGTATTCAGGGTTAGCGCCCGAACTGATCTGGCAGATGTGGATGCGTGCCTGGACTCTGGAGTCAGGGGCCAAGACACAGGCATTATGGCAGAGCTCATTGCACTTAGGCTTGGAGAATCTCACCGCAGGCTTTATGAGGTACTGGAGGGTCAAAAGATCAGCATCAACGAATAACAAAACGGGGAGAGAAATTACTTGTAGGCGCTCTTCTGTTACTTGCACCGTGATATCAAGACCGAAGTGGCTGCTGTTCTTCTCAGTCTGTCTGCGAGATTCGCAGAAGAGAAAGCTGTGAAACAGTGGAAGTGGCATAGCTTTGACTGATAAAGGAAGGTGGAAACGTGCACCAGCTGTTCTGGATTGGGAAGTCGCTTGCAGCTGGATGGTTGGCCAGTCGCGACGACTTGACCCCACCCACGATCTCCAAACAGTCATTCTTAATTCTACTACTGCGTACTTCGCCTCAACGAGCGCAGGCCCTTCCCTTGGGTGACTCATCTGGGAATCACTTTTCTCGGTTTGGAAACCCTCCTAGGTACAGAGGCCTAGCGCCATTGAAGAATGCCTTTCCTACGAATCTACGATACACCAACACTATACCAAGCCTGTCTATCTAGACTAGACACCATCGCCGACACAAATGAGGCCTTCATCAGCGGAGGAGAGTCTTGACAACAGAAACAAGACGTTACAACGTGACTTGGCCCTGGTCGTGAGGCGTCACGGGTATTTTGATTGAAACTAGCAAAGCAATAACGCTGGTGTAAAAATTGCTAACGTTTACGATAGAGCCAAGAGGAACCAAATGCGCCTTCAACGTCTATGATGAATACACGTGGGCTTCATTGCAGGTCTCTAAGTTGAGAAGCGTTCTCGAAATAAACACTACCAGCTTAGTGGTGGACGCAGAACACATAGCCTTGCGTTGTGGACAGCTCATCAACACGTCACGAACATTCTTTCCCCTGAAGTCGACGACCCCTCGAGGGACCAGAGACCGTGGAGGGCTGGCCCCCATTATCTGCATAGAAAGAGAATTCCAGACTATGGAGACAGGGCTTCAGCTGAAGCTCTCATATCGATCAAGTTTAGGCAACCGTTGAATATTTATGACCAAATTTTTGGATTCCATGTCTGCTGATAGCGACGAAAATTAATAGCACAGCGCTATCGCACTCCTGCAAAGATTGCAAATCCTACTTTGTAAGTACACCGTGAGAACCTTACCTTGTAGTTAAATGCAGAAACTACTCCAATTCAGGTAGGTGCCTACCGTTTGCAAAAAGCAACCTTGATCTAAATTAGCCCAGGTCTAACTCTGTTCGGCATGGATAGAGGACCAGGCTACATAGGGCGCAGAGGGCCCCGCAGGCCATGCGGCCACGTTGAGACACAATGGCAGGGATGCGGTTTGAGCCACATGCTGATTCGTGCTCGCAGCGGAGTCCTGGAATGTGGCTGCTGCTGCTGCCTGCATGCCGTAAGTATCCTTGGCCCTTGGGCTGGTGTAATTAGTTAATCACCATTTTGACAAGAACTGGCTCAAAGGAATCAGCCTGGCAGTGCGCCTTGTAAGTCATGATTATTCTCCCTCATTAACCTACCAGCTGGAAGACAGACTAGCTGGTGGGACACTTTTAGACCCATGAACGTGTCCGCTAATTTCCAAGCCAGTCTTGAATGGGTATGATTTCTTTTTCGCAGACGGGACGTTCAGCCCGCTGGCCAAGCCGCCATATGGGATTGTCCCCGGCACGTCATTGCATGTTTCTGGAATTAGGTGTATGCAAGTTTCGGAAATGTCATTGCGCTTGCTGCCAAGAGCTGAACCTCAAACTTACTCCGGACTGGAGAATGGCCCGGTGGCCGCTTGGCAGAGGCAGAGGCTGGAGTCTGATGGTTGTCTGTATCCATCTGACTGTCAGATGAATCTATCAAAATCAGGGGATCATACAGGAAATCTATTGCAATGATCTCCTTGCTCTGTGAATATACCGATGATAGCAAGGTTGATGCTGCAACACGATTAAGTCGACCTGCTCTATCTTGATAGAGCACGTTGAACGCAAGCAGCCAGCATACGGAGAACGGTGTAGCTATTATTTGCCCCAGGCATTCATTGTACTGCGCCTCATCTCTCATCAAGGCTGCCAAGCGCCCGTCGGCATGGATCACAGAGGAGTAAAGTTAAGCTCAGAATGAGTTCAAAGCGTTGATTGCACCCTGACGCGGTTTCTGGCGATTGGCAGGTCATTCGGGGGCTGAACGGAGCATATTTGCGTCCGATGGCTGATAGGAGGCGTTCTTCAGAGAGCCCAACGCCAAAACCTCGTCCTATGATATCTGTCTACAGGGTTTTGAGGGATGTCGAGACTGCGAAACAATGGGCAGAGGGGAACTTCTTCTTTCCTTTAAGGATGATTTCGATCTACCTGTGTTTTGAAGCGCATCTCTACATAGAAGCCCCTGGATCAGTTTTCCCTTTCGAGATGATGTATTCAGTCCCCGATGTCGTGGGCTGTGCTGCTCCAGAGGTGGAGCCACACTAAACATGGGCCGATCCGTCAATCAATCACGGCCGGTTCCTTTGGGATCCTCGATCTTCATTCTCTGGCACGGACGGGCCCATGACCCACCATCCAGCCGTGCGTGCTCGATGCGCTACTGCAAGCGCTTAGGGTCATCCCGCGCCCAGAAATTCCCAAGCCAGTAGTCGGTCGAGGCCTGGCAGGCCCTGAATGGACCCTACAGCATTAGCCTACTTTGCGAAACGGTGACATGGTTAAGGGTCTTGGATCGAGATTTGTCGGGTCCCGCTAGGCCAGTCATGGCTTCCTTTCTGCCTAATGCGGCCGCTAAGCCGCAGCTCATCCTCGTCCTCGCGTGGAAGAAGAATCCACAAGCTACAACCTTGCCTCCTTTGGAACGTCCATGCGTCAGTAGTCGCGCGATGTCTCTGGAACGCCTATCACGCGCCTGTTGCTGGCGTCCAGGATAGCACCTGCCAGAAATGCAGACCGTTCCAAATGGCCTCGACAAGACGCAGAAGCTGAAGAACGCAGGGTGCCAATCTAGGCCTACCCGAAACGCCCAGATTCTCAACTGACGGCCTCCACAAGTTAAGAACAAGATCCGTTAGGGAGACTCATGGCGAGCTAATTAGTCGATCCACTAATAATAGATTGCATGTCCGGGGAACCAGCTCCTCCCCCCCGGCGTGGCGGGTGGATGTCTCGACCATCATGCAGCCGCTCCATCGTTTGGATCAACTGCCTCCAAGCTTCTTAAGCAGTAACAGCCGCCTCTTCATCCAAACCATCAGCTGAACTGCGAGCCTGTCTTGGTTGCGCTGCCTTGCTTACCTGCGCCATTCCCGCCCCATCGCAACAGTTGCAGCAGACAACGATCCCCGCGGATTTCACACGTTTGTTCTCGTATTACAAACACGTGTTGCACTGGTCCTTGCATACGAAGTACGACAGCCGGATCTTCCTGCCTTTTGCAGCGGAATTCCCTACCTGCCAAGGATTCCAAATTTGGTCTCGTCTTCAGGGACTCAGCACTATGTGATTGGGGCTTGATGAATAAGGGAGGACCTCTTGTGTCATAGCACCGATTATTTTCTTGATATAACCCCTGTGAATTCCGACGTGGTTTGTGGTACACTTGATCCAAAGTCTCCATTGATTGAGGACTCCTCAATTTAGAGCCTGAGCTTGATTTGTGTGTCGTTAGCTTTTCTCGTCGAAGACTCGTTCTTCCTACTGCGTTGTTTGTCTTTTGTTTTCTGAGAAGACAAAACAATGGCGGGACCAGGTGGTGGACCTCCACGCAAGAGTCATACCAAGTCCAGGAACGGTTGTAGGACATGCAAGAAAAGGCATATTCGATGTGACGAGACCTTCCCTCAATGGTACTGGTTTCTGGGTCATTCTTTCAGTTTGCGGAAACTGACGGATTGCTATAGCCGAAATTGCACCAAGCACAACTGTCGATGTGACTATATGGATGTGGCAGCCGCCAGAGAAGACGCGAACCGGAGTCCTGGAACGCCTAATCTAATGATGACTCCAGAAATTGAGATGGAAATCGAGAACTGGCGCCGGACCGGCATCCCTCCATTTCCCGAGTTGTCCCAATGCCCTCAAAACAACTGGTACCAGTTCTCTCGGACTGATCTTCGTCTCATCCATCACATTGCCGGACTCTCCATCGACTTTCACCGCCGAGGTTTGAATAACAGCACCATTTGGGCCCCTAAAATGCCATGGTAAGGGTCTCCTGATCGATTACATATTCTTGGTATTTACGTATTGGTTCCCAGCTTCCTCGCCATCGCTATGTCGAGTCATTTTGTGATGAGTTCGATTCTGGCATTTTCAGCATGTCATCTAGCGTACATGACTGGAAGCAAAGAGACGGAGAATTTGTTCTATCATCATCGAGTGGTGGCAATTAAGGGCTTGCAGAAGGCAATTAGCTCATTCTCCAAAGAAAACTGCGATGCGATTCTGGCTGCGTCAATGCTGTTGTCCTGGCAAACTACGGAGTGGTTAGTACATATGACCTCCGAAGTGAAAGGCCATCCTATTTTAACGCACGCATCAGGAGGTCGTGGGCATCTCTACAGAAAGGTCTCTCATCGGTAAGGCTGCCGCATGGGGTTACTATGTATAATGGAAAGAGCATTTTCTAACGCATAAATTTGGTTAGGTCCTGGACGCAATGCACCCTTCTTGGAAGGAAGCGTCCGAACTTGCACACTTTCTGGGGGGGTCAAAGAGCCTTTCGCACTCTGGGAGTTGCAATGACTCCAGGATACCTTGGGACCGCTAGTCGGTTTCAAGATAATCTAGAAAGAATTGACGGTGCCCTTGCAGACCTTCACACTACCTGGGAACGCGTTCAACACAATGGGGAATATTCAAGCAAAATTACGGATCTTCTGGGTTTCGTTCAGAAGTTGCGCAACGATTTGCCGATCGAGTCACCGGAAAAGGCCTTTGAGAGACTGCAGCCCCTGCGAATGTGGCTGTTCTGGCTACCAACCAAGATGCTTCGTGGTGGAGAGGCCGATATTTCTGCGTTGGCCGTCTTGGCCCAGTTCTTTGGAACGGCCTTGGTCCTTGAACCCATCTTCCCGGAGATTGAAGGCTCATATCTTGGTTCCATGGCCGTTGCTCCTCTTGAGGACATCGACAGAATTGTTTTGTCAAGGAATGCAACACATCCTTACGTACCTGAAGTCCAATTGGCCGCCAGTATCATGGACTTCCCTCGCCGTGTCCTCGCCGATTACAAAAGTCGTGTTCAGTGGGGCCAACAATTTCGACCGATGGATCACTTGATTGCAACTCCACCAAGCCCATATCATGGCTTTACCGATATACCTTTTGCCACTTCTTCACCGTCTACAACCTCCTCCACCTATACGGCGTACACATCCTCCATTCACTCACCCCCGGTACTCGCCACCCCGGACTCGCCTTTCCAGCCGCCAAACCTCTATGCTCATCGTCCCAGCTTCTCTCATTTATATGCCAGTTCTCCCTTACCCTCGGATCATGGGGACGATGCAGCCAGCCTATCCGACTACAGCCAACCTGGAACTCTTGCACATTCGCCCGCTTTTTCGGCACCATATGTAGATGATTTGCCTGGCGGAGGTTTTACCGGGCCGGATGGGTCAGCTGGACTGGGCATGGGCCTCCTGCATGAGTCACCCATGATGCCTCAAGGGTCGGTTGCTCCTGAACTCTGGACATGATATGAAACCCCAGTCTTACAGAATGACGCGTTTTCTTTCTTGCAAGATTGTGGGCTGAGTTCTTCTAGCGTTCCACCACTGCGTGGAAGCTCCAGGGTTGCTGTGCCTGCGCGGCAAAGTCGGTCCTTTCCAGACAGTGGACCGTACATGTGAACCCGAAGAGGTCTGACGTCGCCTAGATCAAACCTCTACCAGATGGCACAGTTGCCGTCTGTGTTTCGTCTCTGCACGCTTTAGTTTACAGCGATTTGCCAGGCTGGTGGCTAGATTATCCTTAAATTCACCAGGGTCTGCGACGGACTAGTGAATCGTACAATAAAAGGTATGGTTATGGGAGATACCCACAGATGTCGTTTTGTGATGCTTCTGGCTTTTGTTTTTATCTACAATATACGTTGGATGGTTACGAGTCTAGGATGGGTTATTTCGGGGTCTTAGCGAAACGACTTGGACGAAATATACCACATCGCATCTGATCAATGTAGAAGCTATCTTTTTGTCGACAAGTGTTTGACTTTGCGAACTGGAGAAATTTTGAAGTCTGGTTAAGGAAGTCTCTGGGCGAAGGAGTCAAATGAGCGTGCTTAGTTAATGTATGGATGCACTGTACTGTACATTGTCTGGAGGACAAGTTCGAGATGGACAAGGAATGGGATATTAACTAAAAACTAATGTGGGCATGGTTCTCTTCCCAGTCTATCCTATTCTACCTATCTTGTATTACTCGACATCCTCTCTTCTCTTGAACTGTATCAACCTGAAATCATGTGTTTCATGATGCCTGGCAACAATCAGTTGCCCTGCCAGACACTCAACGACAGCTCTTTCCATTTAATAGAATAGCCCCGTAACGTTCTTTGAGCTCCTTCTTCTGTTTCTTCCATCTCTGCATCCTGAGCTCAGCTCTCACTTCATCGACTATCTTCTTTCGAAGACGAGGTACTCTACTCTTTCTCTCTCCCAGGTCGACACTTATCCAACATCTCAGTCTGTCTTAGAGAAATGTCATCACGTCCTATTACTCATTCTATCCACTCATTTCGCCATGAGGAACGCTTTCGAACTACTGTTCAGGCAGTACACCAAAGTTGGCGTGATCCAACTTCGTTGGGAGAATGATTTTCCGGATCGGGAAAGATCAGGTACCGTGGGGAAGGCCATGACAACCATTCAGTACGGAGTAGACACGGTCAGAATGTACCCCAGCAGTATTAATAGAATCCGAGAAATAGACAGTGGAAATACTTTAATTGTGACGTATATTCAATTCTCACAGGTTGACATGTGCCATGCAGTAAATTTCGCACCAATCAGGAGACGGGCTTGCAGTCTCGGTGAAATTGACCCCGACCTGCCTATCTCTCACGGGTTATCACATGCTTAACCTACATATGTCACTATCATGGACGAAATCTACTAGCCACACACCTCCTCCAAGTCTATTGCAACGAATCGCCATGCTGCAGCTGGTCTCGTCGTCCGACCTGGCGCTCGACGCCAAACGACAGCACCGCATCAACGCCAATTCCTTCCAGCAGAACGCCATCCTCTCCTACCGCGGTTGGCAGTATGTATGCTTCTACTCTAACAAGGACGACCGGGTGTCTGGTGGTCCGTTACTGGTGAATATCAGCCGAAGACGCCCTGATGGCCCATCGCCATCCTGGGAGACATTGACTTTTCGCGATTACGAGCAGACTGTCGACGATGGTCATAACACCATCTCCATAGGCATCTGTGCTGGAGATGGGACGATCCACGTCTCGTTCGACCATCATTGTGACCGGTGTGTCTCTTGCCATGCATCGCGTAACCCGTCTTGATATTGATGATTGCCATCCTGATATTCTCCTCCAACTCTAACCCGCTGACACTATTTGACTACAATTAGATTACGATTTCGCGTGTCAATAGAGGGTGTAGCAAACCAACCAGATGCTTTCTCATGGACTCCAGCTCTGTTTGGGCCGACTCTACATCACTTGCCCAGTTCCACCTGTCCGGAATCTCTTTTTAGAGAAGTCACGTATCCTCGATTTCTCTCCGTCGAGAATGACCTTCTTCTGGCTTACCGGGTTGGCATGTAAGTACAAATCATAAAACACATAAGTGAAGCCGTAGAAATCTGACCAGTACTCATTCCAGGGCCGGCGCCGGCTCCGAGCTTCTTTTCAAGTACACGAGCACTACCCATGAATATACATACCTGGGACAATTCCTCACAGGGCAGGAGAATAGCCCTTACACCAATGGTATCGATTATGCTCACGGTCGGATTCACGTCTCGGGCACCTACCGCCACTTCATCGAGTATGAAGGTGTCCACGATCCCAACTCGACTAGACACAAGGCCAATGCCGGGCCCAATGGGCCGGAGAACAACTACAATCTGTTCTACGCATACAGCGATGACATGGGAGAAACGTTCCTCAACTCGGAGGGCCAGGTCCTCGCGTCGTTGCGGCAGGGCGAAAGCATCTACCCTGATGCCAACGGGCTGATCGTATTTGATATCCCCATGAACAGCGGCATCATGAATCAGGAAGCGCAGGCCGTGGACCGAAAAGGCGGCTTCCATGTGTTGAACAGGGAACGGGAAGTGTGGATCCATTACTACCGAAGATCAACAGGTTCGTATGTCCTGTCTTCTCTCGAGAATAAAGCGGCGAACAAAAGGCAACTGACAAAAATTAGGTCAATGGAGCCGATGCGCTCTCCCCGGACCTCGACCAACAAATACAGGCGCACGAGGGGCTGTTGTCGCGTCGTTGGACACGGACACGCTGTTTTTCGCCCTGCCAGGCAATCGCGACGACACGCTGACGATCGTGGGTGCACAGCTGGACGGAGAAGCGCCAACGTACCAAATTCTATGGACTGATAATGGATTCTCTGGGGAGCCGCACTTGGATGTATACCAACGGGACGGTCGTCAGATGCTGTCAATTTTCACAAGGACAGAGCCTGCAGACAATACAGATCGGAAGGTCGTTGTGATGGATTTCGCTATTAGTTAGTTTTCAACGGGTATATATATACCTGTTCTACGACAGGATGATTTGTTTACTGCTGTACCAAACTACAGTGAAACTCGACTTTGTTGAAGTGCACGTACATGCATCCAGTCCGCTGACTCGTCTCGATAAAATGAAAGTGCTTACGTATCCCGAGTATCTCTCTCGGCCAGAGCTAGACCGAACCCGAAGGCTGGGGTCCGGGGAAATTGCGGAGAATCCCCCACGCAACGTGATCTTCCCCACTTGCCTTTCGAAATGGTGTGCTCGTCCCTGGCTTAATGAACTGAGCTAATTATGTGCGGAGACTGGAGAGGTGCGGTGTATGGGCTAGAATTCCATCTAGATGGAGCTAGCCCAGCTGGAAGAGCTGAGCTCACTCGCCTTGGTACACGCGTACATATGTACGTGGCCGTTTACTTCCCCTGAGACCGTCATAACAGCATCAATTCTTTTTCTGAAGAACTGCATTGATATATACAATGCTGTGGAAAGCAGAACAGAGCACCGCAGATCGCCGCGCCCTCGAGGCCACTACGCCGCTCAACAACAAGACCGTGCCATGGTACAAGGACCCTGGCCTGCGGCCGTTGAATTTCGGTCTTTTCTTCCTCCTGTTCAGCGAGTTCACGCAGGGGTATGACGCTTCGCTGATCAACAATGTTCAGCAACTCAAACGGTGGCAGAATGGTACTTACTACCTCTCTCCTTTCCTCTTTCGCACCTGTTTGTTTTTTTTTTCTTGAATTCAACTCGAATTCTCCTTGTTCCTTCTTCCTACTGACACTGTGCTCCATCGTAGACTTCAACCACCCTCACGGCAGCCTGCTCGGCGCATTCAGCGCCGCATACTGGGTCGGTAATGTTGCCGGCGTGATCTTCATCGCCTGGGTATCCGACCGCTTCGGCCGGCGCATCAGTCTGCACTTCGGCTCGGTATTGTGTCTGGTCGGCGTCGTCGTGTGCACGGCCACGCAGAGCGACGGCGCTTTCATTGCTGGCAGACTGCTCCTGGGCATCGGCGGCGTTATTGTCGCTGCCATTGGCCCTGTTTTCATGGCTGAGCTGGCGTATCCGGCGCATCGGGCGACGGCGACCGCCATGTCGAATACGACGTACAGTGCTGGCGCTATCCTGGCGTCGTGGGTGACGTTTGGGTCGTTTCGGTTGGCGAGTACATGGTCAGAACACACTTATTTGACGTCTGTATATCCATATTCATGCTGACTGCTCGCGTAGGGCGTGGAGAACGCCAACGATCATCCAGGCCCTGCCCTCGATCGCCATTATGATCGGAGCACTGATCCTTCCTGAGTGAGTAGCCAGTCTGCGAGTATCTGATAGCGACTGACACTGACCTATCTGATCCAGGTCTCCGCGATGGCTAGTCAGTGTCGGCAAAGAAGAAAAAGCCCTGCAGACGCTGATCAAGTACCACGGAGCTGGCAACCCGGACGACGCAGTGGTTCGCTACGAATTCGAAGAGATCCAGAAGACGATCGAGCTCGAAATCGCCAGCAAGAAGACGTCCTGGAAGACGCTGTTCAGCACGCGCGGGAACCGGTGGCGCTCGTTCATCCTGATCTGGTGCGGCATCTGCAAGCAGTGGTCCGGCAACGGCCTGGTGTCGTACTACCTGGGCAGCATGCTCAACTCGGCGGGGATCACGACGCAGCTGGACACGACGCTGATCACCGCGACGAGCCAGATGTTCAGCTTCGCCTGCTCGGTGGCCTTTGCGTTTCTGCCCGGCAGAGTCGGGAGACGGCCGCTGATGATCTGGAGTATGGCGCTCATGTGGCTCGTTTTCTCGATCATCACCGCTACGACGGGCACTTATGTCGAGACCAAGAGCCAGTCGGCCTCGTATGCCACTGTGGCTTTTATCTACCTGTATAATGCAGTCCACAATCTGGGCTGGACGGGCGCGATGATGGTGTATGGTAAGGTCCATACTCCATTCGTATGTAGTAGCAACACACTAACTTTTGAACTAACAGTGGTTGAGATCCTCCCCTACACTCTTCGTGCGAAAGGCATGGCCCTTTTCTGGCTCCTGACCGGTGCCTGTGGCGCATTCAACAACTACGTGAACCCGCTCGGAATCGACGCCTTTGCGTGGAAGTTCTACTTCTTCTACGTAGGGTGGATTCTTGTGCAGTTAGTAGTCATCTACATCTTCTTCATCGAGGTGAGAAAGCACCAGCAGACATTCCCATCTCTTCGTGGTTAGATAGAGACTGACTGATCTTTTTTTTTCTATCAACAGACCAAAGGCCCCAGTCTGGAGCAGATCGCTCTCCTGTTCGATGGCAAGGACGCGACGATTGGCAAGGTCAATCCGGTTGCGGAGGAGATTTTGGACACGAAAGCGCAGGAAAAGGTCGAGCGGGTGGAGGTGGAATATGCGAGGTCGTGAGACATCTTGCTGTGTGTTATGGAGTTTCTGAGTAACTTTAATCATGTAATCGTCCCCTTATACCAGCAGCTAGTATTGTAGTGACGGTAAGAGCAAGCTAGGCTGCCGGAAGAGGTTGCGTCACACCCGTTTTCCGATCCGAGATATACAACACACCTTGGCCGTACGGGCTAGTAGCGGTGAAGAGCTGGTTGCGAAGAAACATTCCCGAGCAGCGCAACTGGTCCCCCCCAAAGCCAGGAGTGATAGTGGCCCTGACTCGAGTAATGTTTCCAAAGGGAGCTCCATTTACAACAAGCTGTACTTCCAGTTCGATTGAGCGCCTTGTCACTAGACCGTTTGCAGTATCCAATAGCACATTGGGCATCCAGAAATGGCAGCCTCGGGTAAGGCTAAGCCATTGGCAGTCATCATCACGGAATAGTTCAAGATATGTCGAACCTGTATCATCCAGAATGTTACGCAGGAATGTAAATTGTGCTGATCCTATCAAACGAGCCCTAAGTTCGAACTACATTGAATGAGAACCAGACAAATTAAAGTAGTTGATGTAATTTAACAGACCATGTGGTGTGAATGCTCGTTAAACGGCATAATAGCCGCCGACTGCATTTTTGCGATCGCAGGAGAAGGCTGTTAAACCCATCAGAACTTTCACATCTTATAATATCATATTATCATGATGACATACATCCTCAATCCAGATACGACCCGGTCCAAACTGCTCCGTCCACTTTGGTATGTTGTCGATGACATGTTGGAAATCGAAATTATTGCGTGACAATGGACCCATTGTCAGGTGTCCTGCAAACCACACTGTGATCTTGTCATCTACCTTCAACTCACGTTGACGGTAGGCTCTCAGCACTGCATCCCGATTCTTCAGTTCCCCATCATCGATGTCCTCTACATCGCGATATGTGTACTTGATAACACGCATGCGCCATTGAACGTCCTCGTCTAAGTCTTCAGGTTCTTCTGGATCGACCCTATATTATATTATTTATTAGAGACAGACATGGGTTTTCGGAAACAGGAGTATAAATCCATGCGGTGGCGCTGGAGGAGTAGTTTTCAATAAGTTCTCTAGTCCTTCATTACATGTTTCAGCATTAATTCCTTGACGGATCTGTTCTTCAAACTGGCGGATCGTCCGCTCTCTACCTCTAATAAACACCAAGAGGTTAAGTCAAACGTTCATATAATAGGGAAGGAATTTTCCATACTCCTTGTACTTCCTTTGGGTCACGGCTTGTTCGACCTGACGCTTTGGGTACTTGGTGAGCATCTCATCGAGAGTCATACCGGCCGTCGCACTCTCTATGCCATTCCGCGCCTGTGGCGTCGACATGTCTATCTCTAGTGGGATGCACTTTGGAAGGCGGGCGAATGCGCATGCTAAGCGATTTTGACTAATCCCTTGATGGAAGGATCAAATCAAGTCAATAAAATCGATGGAGCTGTTGGACGAACGAACGTGTCTTGGATAGCTCCATGGATTATGCAACTAGTTGGTACGCAAAGAGATGGAAGCCTCTTAACCGTGACAAGGTAGGTGCTAACTGCGCTAGCACTTTTCGGAAAAGCGCACTACGTGAGTAATCCAATATTCAACAAAGCGGCGAGAAGCCTAACCATACAGGGTAACATCACATGGTCACTAAACTTGAAAAAGTAGGTACTTACCTAACTCCCCCGCCTGACTTGGGGTTTACCTAAGTAGGTAGGTAGTAGGTACGGAGTAGTTAATTACCTCCACAAACAAACATGGAGATATTCCGTACGGAGTACATGGCTATAATTACACCCAAGTCCCGATGACAATGATGCAGGGTCCTCTTTCTCGGGATAATGATATATATACACGTATTTATTTCTCGAGTATCGCTTCACTGCCGGCAATGCCATGGTCATTCATTCCATGATATCCAAGAATTGAAGGAGATACGTATACGTACCGTTCCTCAGAAACGCATTCCTATCTAGACAGAAAGAAATTATCAAAAATGCCTCCTCCAAAGCACATTCATCCTCGCCAAATTCTTGCCCCAGTCCTTCTGGGATTGCTCACCTCAGCAACAGCAACAAGTCTATCCTTCACAATCCCCTCCTCGGTGCCGTCGAATGCGAGCGGGATTTTGGACCCCGCTCCTGTCGGAGTTTCGTGAGTTGATGACCTTGTCGTGATTTACATTATAACTGAAAGATTTACAGTACTGACTTTTTTATAACGTCAGATTCGAGTTCTTCGCGTTTCCGGAGTACTTCCAAGGCGTGCCGGCGACGAATGTCTGTCTCGAGAATCTGAAAGATGCCGCAGGAGGAACTAGTCCGCCGATACGGATTGGGGGCACGACGCAGTGAGTTTACCTCCTCTATCCTCCTCTATCTATCTATATTTTTCAAGAATGATGAGATGTGCTAACTTTTTTTTTTGACGTCTGATTGTAGGGATCGCGCAACGTACAACAGTTCCCTGGCTACGCCGGTGTCGTACTCGGTCTCGTCGCCTTCGGACGCGCCCACGTCGTTGACTTTTGGGCCTTCATTTATGGAGTTGGCTGGAGATTACGACGGGTCTGTAACGATTGGTAGGGCTGTCAATTCTACTTTTCTATAGAATGGTTTTTATTAACAGGCTGTATCAGGACTCAACAGACGTCTCAACAACATCACCAACACCATCGAGGCTGCCCACGTGGCAGTGTCGAAAATACAGAAGCTGTACGCGATCGAGCTTGGCAACGAGCCGAACTGTAAGCCAGCCAGGCTTCACGTCTAGTATTTCTTTACACGCAGAAGTCTGACCTGAACGAATTACAGTCTACACTTCCTCAGACCCGATCGCAAACTCCAGCGCTTGGACCCCCGCAGCAGACGCCGCATCGCAGGTCTCCTGGCAGAAATCCGTCGGAACAGCCCTCGACAAGACGGCCATCATCCAAGCGGGTGTCTTCTTCGGAAGCGATGAGTGGAACATCGCAGAGCTGGCGCCCAAGGAAGGCGACTCGGCACCGTACGTCAAGTCCTTCTGCGACCATTACTACCCGCAGTCCGCCTCGACGGCGAATTTGCCGCAGCTGATGAATCATTCTGCTATTGTCCAGGGTGTAGTTGGCTTTGCGGCGGATGTTTCTGCGGCGGATTCCAAGAATGTTCCTTTTGTTTTTGGAGAGACGAATTCCGGTACAATTAACCCGAAGCTTCTCCTTGTGAAATTTCAGACTAACGGCTATTCTTTGCTGAAAGCAACCGGGGGAGGCGGTGGGATCAGTCCCACGTATGGCGCTGCTCTCTGGATTCTGGACTACGTGATGCAGGCGGTGATCTTAGGAGCGAAGGTGACTCGCACCCAGGCCAGCTGCCCGGTCAAAGACTTACCTCGTCACAGCAACTCTTTTTCCACCAAGGCACGATTGGCAACTGTGAGTCTAGCCAGCTGCACGTCACTTCAGACACCGGCTAATTCAGTTCCTCCAGGCCAATACTGCTGGTGGGGTCGCTATGACATGGGGGCCCCATATTATGGCGCGTACACGGCCGCCCTGACCTTGAGCGGTGCATCTCGACTCGCCCAACTCGACGCCGGTGACAGCCCATACGCCGTGTACACCGTCTACAACGAAGCCGGCAAACCGATCCGCGCCTTGCTATACAACTCGGAGTACTACACGACGGGGACTCGGGACTCGGTGAGCGTCACACTGAGCGGTATCCCATCGTCGACTGCCTCTGCAAGACGGTTGACTGGAAACGCCGCGACGGCACGGGTTGATCAGGGCGGAAATATCACGATCGCTGGGCTGACGTTCGCCAATGGAACCTGTGTGATCCAGGGGAGCGAAGTGGTGGAAAAATATGCCGTGGACAACGGCATGGCGACGTTCAATGTCGCAGCGTCGGAGGCACTGTTGGTTGATTTCTAGTAGACTGATTCGTAAGGCTGTCTCGATGCGATTGCGAGGAATTATCATGCGTATTTAGATCATCCAGATACTCTGTATTCAGATATCGATTGTAACAATGTACTGAATTGAGTCTAGACACAGTTTGCACCATTTGCAGCCTGTTTGCATGTTTGCACCGAGGGCGCTATCAATATTCCCCTTTCGGGATTAGCCCGCGGGCAGGACCAAAACAGAAGGAAGGGAAATGACATCGCCCGCGCTGCGCTTTTCGCCTTGAACCAGCTTACAGCTCACAGCTCCCTTTGCTCTGGGAATTGGACGACATATCATACCTTTTGCTGGGGGCGTCCAATTCCGGGGATTTATTGTCTTCGATATTTGAATCAACGGCTGTCGATACGGCAGCAACCAATACCTACCTACCTACTTAGGTATCAGCACAGGTGCATATTGTGAATAGTTACTGCAATGGCAGACGGCGGGGGCTGGAGCACGATCGAGTCCGACGAGGTGATTCCCTCATTCCGAATTCTTACTCAGTGCAGGAGGAGCTGACTTTGTCATCTGCAGGGCGTCTTCACCTCGTTGATCGAGAACCTCGGCGTCAAAGGCGTGCAGTTTGAAGAGCTGGTGTCGCTCGATGCCGATACGATACGTTCGCTAAGGTGGGTTTGACTGCGTCGGCTGGAAGAACAATACTGAGTGACATTGCGACAGCCCCGTCTACGGCGTCATCTTCCTCTTCAAGTGGATTGGAGGCCAATCGCGCGACGCGACCGCCCCTCCGGACGGCACCTATGACCAGAACGCGGCCGACAACGGCGTCTTCTTCGCCGGGCAGACGATCCAGAACGCCTGCGGCACGCAGGCCATCCTCTCCGTGATCCTCAACCAAGACACCGCCGCGTCGACGCCCGTGCCCATCGACATCGGATCCGAGCTGGCCTCGTTCAAGGAATTCACCACGGGCTTCCCCTCCGACCTCCGCGGCGAGGCGCTGTCCAACTCGGAGGTCATCCGCACCGCGCACAACGCGTTCGCCCGGGCGTCGCCCTTCGTCGACGAGACACAGCGCACGGCCGCCGACGAGGACGCGGATGTGTATCACTTCATCGCCTACACGCCCGTCAACGGCGTGCTCTACGAGCTGGACGGCCTGCAGCCGTTCCCCATTAGCCACGGGCCGTGCGACGTGGACAGTTTCCCCGAGAAGGTCATCGAGGTGATCCAGCGCCGGATCCAGCGGTACCCGGAGGGCGAGATCCGGTTCAACCTGATGGCGGTGGTGCGCGACCTGCGGATCCGCGCGCGCGAGACGGGCGACACGGAGCTGCTGGAGCGCGAGGAGCGCAAGCGGCGCGCCTGGGCGTGGGAGAACGCGCTGCGGCGGGCCAACTTTGTCGGCTTCATCGGCGAGGTCCTGAAGGGGGTTGTCGACATGAAGGTGAAAGACGGCACGTACAATGAGTGGATCGAGGCCGCCAAGAAGGAGACGCAGCGGCGGGTAGAATCGCGGAGGGGAGGCCACGGACTAGCTGGACTTGAGTAGGGAGTTCATCAAGGAAAATGATTCTATATCTCGACGAGACGAGAGGAGACAGTATTTATTAATTACTCATGAGCGATCACGACGATAACGACGCAAACTTTCATACGTGTATACGTGTATACAAACAAACTTACCATACATGAATGAATAGATGAGTGAATGAATGATAATGATGACCATTTATCCATTCATCTCGATCCAATTTTTTTTTCTTTTTTTCTTTTCTTTTTTTTGGCAGCAACTTTCCTTCTCTCATTCTGATCAAACTCAATCTATTCAATTCAGACCAAGTAATATATACAGTACATGTACAGTACCTAGGTAAGTAGTAACTACCTAACTGTACCTGTATTACCTGTACTAGACTAGACTAGTAGTAGTATGTATGTACGCAGTCCATGAGCATTGCATTGCATTAGGAAATAATGGTGACAGAAGAAGAGAGAAACAAAGACGAGACGAGACGAGAGGGGGGAGAGGGTGAAAGAATTGAAGAAAGATGCTGATGATAATAAAGGAAGGGGTAGAGGTAGGGGTATCCGCTGTGCATGTATGTATGCCAAGTCAGCCAGTATTTTGCAAAGGCGGATGGATTTATTTGAGAGAGAAAATAGGCAGAGGAAGGTAGATGACAGTAGAGTTAAAACCGGATAGATACGACTATTGATAATTCTTATTCATCTCGACAACTGTGCGGTACCGTAATTAAACAGAACAAAACAAACCGCTCTTTTCTTCTATCTTCAACCGCAAACGTCGCTCTCGTAGTACGGCTACTGGTCAGAATTAGTAGTTGACGATCCGCGCCTTGATCGGCTCCCGCAACTCTGCCGGCAGCTCATCTTCTCGGATCAGTCCCAGAGACAGCAGATCGGCCCAGAAGAACAAGGCACGGTCCTGGGCAAAGGCGAGATAGTCGAATTCGTTGTCGTCCACTTCGGTGACCTCTGCTTCTTCCGGGGCAGCCGGTGAAGCAGGACGCTCTGTCGTCGATGGCTCTGTCGGCTCTGTCGACGCCGCAGTATCGGATTCGGCGCTTTTTTGGCCGCTGCCGCTGCCAATGCCTCTTCCATGCCAGGAACCTTGGCCTGGACAATCCCCCATGCCACCCACTGCGCCGAGTTGGCCACCCGCCACAATCTCGTCTGCCGCATGAGGTGCTGCACTTCGGCTTCTGCAGCCTCCTCCTGGAGCCTCTCGGCTTCGGCAGACGAGGATCCCGACGGAAGGCTCATGGCAGGTGCGTCCAGCGAGAAAGGTGCCAGCCGTGGGGTGCTAATTGACGACGGGTAGATTTCCGGCGAAACACCACCAAGGTGCGAATGGTGATGCACGTAGGCCGAAATGAAGCGGTGTTGTTCTTCGGGTGTTGGATAAGCGCGGGTATTGCAGGCCCAGGGCCTCTCGGCATGATAATTATAACACCATTCCGTCTAAAACCAGATTAGTATAGGACAGGTTCGTCCAGGACGAAACGAAACTTACAAAGTGGTTGGCGAATTCCATGCCCGGAGTGTTCGCTGAGGCATATTCGAAATCGATCACAACCAGCTGCTTGTGCTCGTTGGCCGGCAAAAGCAATGGAGACTCTTCGCCAGGTTCAAGTCGAAGGAGGTTGCCATATTGAGTCTGACAAGTCAGTCGACGATCAAAAATAGACAGAAGACATGGGCTCTTACATCGTTATGCGCAAAGACCAGCTGCTTGTTGATCTCCTGCGCACCACCACAGTAATCCGTAAGCCACTTTCGGTACTTTTCAAAGGCCTTCCGAAAGACAGGCCACGGCACTCCGCATACGAGGCCTCGCCTGCGCCACGGTTCTGACTTCATCTTGCGTTCGTTCTCCTTGGACATAATCTCCTTGTCGAGCCAGGTGATGACCTGCTCACAGCGCTCAACCCATTTGTCCCAGTTTCGGAAGACAGACGGGCCTGCATTTCGTTCCTCTTCGAGGAGTTCGATGCCGTCATGCAGTTCCCTCATGCGCTTTGCAATCTGATTGGACGTCTCGGGGATCCGTAGCTCTCGCGCCGTCAGCGGATTTGCGTTGAAGTACTCCTCAAACCGGCCATTCTTGAACGTCCCAAGAACGCGAGGGCCGATGTTCTTCTTTCCCAGCCGACGCAGGGTCTGCAGCTCGTGGTCTCGATCGATGAGATGATCCACCTGAGGGCCGTAAATACGAAGAAGTAGTTTGCTGTGGTATGTCAGCCACCCTGAATGATAAACAAGGCGCAAACCACTTACGGAGGAGGTCTTCTGGGCGCCAGATTAGGTGTGCCATCCGGATTCTTGGGAGGCGGGATATTCTTTGGAGGAACGACGACGTAAACGGCATTCGTCAGGGCACCGCTGAGGCGAGTCACGTCCATATCTTTACTGCACTCCATCGGCACTCTACGCCATCCCTTGAGCCTCAAGGTATGAGTTAACCGAAGGATTTCAGACTTGAAAACGAGCCAATGCTCTTCCTTGGCTCGTTTGATTTGCTGTTCGTGATCCCCTCCAACGTCGTCACCCGCGGCACCACCCGAGTAGCCAAGGGTCTTGGAATTATCCAAGACAGCATCCACGCTCGGAGCAATGGGCTCGTAATCAAGATGGTCCGAATCTGAAGCAGAGCCTCTCCGGAGCCCTTTGTGACGGCTTGGGCGGCGCCGAATCGAACGCTTGGATCCAGCATGAGAAGGATCTTTCATTGTCGCGGCATATTGGAGAAGGATTTTCTCCAGCTTGTCAAGAGCCATGACCCCGTCTGAGGCCTGAGACTGCCTCGAGCTGCTATCCTCGCCTTCGGGAGCAGCCGTTGAGGAAGTGTCCGCCCCATTGGGTTTCCGTTTGGCCTGCTCCTGGCGCAGCCAGTCCAGGACTTGAGCGAACAATGTGTGCTCCGACCTAGACTCGTCGTCCTCGTCAGCCAGCGAATCCAACTTCAGATCCGAGATCTGGCTGCGAAGCGACAGCACTGGCGAAGGCTGCAGCACGGGGGAGCGTGCTGCAATCCTTTTGCCGACACTGGCGCGAAACTGCTTGGAGCTCCGAGACTCCTTGACGGGAGCTAGATTATCCCCACTGCTGGCCTGTGAGTGTGGGTGAGATGGGGCATTCTCTACGGCCGTGGAATCACCTTCTGCTTCAGTCAGCCGGAATGTATCAACGAGGACACACAAGCACGCAGACAGTTGTGTAGGATACGACAATGGGTAGCAATAAAACTATGGGGATTCTTCTTTAGGACAGCAGGAAAAAAAAACAAAGCAATCCGAAAAAAAAAAGAAAAGCCACTCAAACAAGTCGCCGGCACACCAGCATCACACATTCTACATCGAAACAATACTTAAAAAAAGCAGCAACACGAGACTTTATAACTACGCGTCCAATGCAATGTCAACGTACCTGCAGAACCATCTCGACGCTCCGGGTCGGGGCCTTTATCGTCGTTGGGCAAAGTCGGCATCTCCCCCCGGCAAGGCGGTCGAAACCCTCTATACAGCACGAGAAAGGCGTCCCTGCAGAGGACAGCGAATGTACACAGCCGGTTCCGTGGAGTGACGAGGGGGAAACATGGAAATTCAGCAGCAGAAAGTGCGCACGCGAGCGCAGAGGGTGGTTGTTTGACTCTCTGATAGCTCGCCAGCGAGGAAAGCGCCACCCGGGTGGGGTGCCGCGGTTGCCGATGGCCGTTGGTCGCTCCTTCCTTCGTTGACTTTTTTCTGGCCTGCCGGATCCGTGCGTCCCCCACCGGTCCCGAACTGCAACGGGAAAGAGTGTTGGAAGCGTTGTTGTTGACGGCTGCGATGGCGGACGAGGCAGGAGCTGGAGCGGCAGCAGTAGACTCGTACGGAGTATGCACTGTAGCAGCACAATCTGATATTCAGGCCGATCTTGGCGGGACCGCCGATCGCTGTTGTGTGGGCGGAGAGCCAGCGCAGAAGGAAGGACAGTAACAGTAACAGTAAGTACTCTGTTTCTTGTGGGACAACCTGGTCCGGATTGCCCTGCGATCTTCAACAGCCATCTCTCGCGACTCCATAGACACGTGAAAATACCGCCTGCTGCACTGCTCGACCCCAGGATCCCAGCGTGCAGGAACTGGACGGAGCCACCGTCCGTTGTCGCTAGGGATGCGGCTAGCCCAGCGACCGGCGACGCGGCCACCAAGCGATTGGCTCTGGCGACGCTGGCTCCATGATAAGCACCCCAGACGTCAGATTCAAGATAAGCGTTGGAACTGCAAGCTGTACCTTCACCGTTCGTTGTCATTTCATTGGCGGGCCTGTCGTGATGCTATACGTCATCCAGTGGGAGCTGCTGTGGTAGAGGCCCTGACGTGAACGCAGACCACCGTGAAGCTCGTCTGATGGAGCTGCCTGAAATATTGTATTTTAGATACCCGTGCCACGAATGAAGGGAAAGCTATTTCATAATAATTCCAAGAGGATGGAAGGAAGTGGAAAGGAAGAACCATGATGGCCATTGATTGATTGGGACGGCGAGTTTGTCTTTTCAATTCTCTACAGTACTGCGTGCTCACGTGCCAGGCTACTGTCCACCGTGTGAAAGGAAGGCGCACCTCCTACTAATTTCAGAGCAAAAGCGTCTGCTCTCAATGGGAATATGCAAGGACCTGGAGATATGGATGGTCCATCAATTATGTACTGTACGTGCAATCGATCTCTTCTAATCTCTATACAAACAGGATCATGGACATCATAACTGACTCGAAAAAAAAAAGCAAAGAAAGCCAATGACGAATACGTTCTGCCTGGCGACTAGTCGTGGTACGAAACACTCCAGATCTTGAAGCCCGTCGGTTTGTTTCGTGCATCGTTGGTGACAACGCCCTCGTTGCCAACGTCGACGACAGACGAATTGGTATCGGCATACTGCACAGTGTACCCGTTGCCATTCCCCAGGAACGAGATCCGCACGTCAGCGGCCTGAGCCTGCTGACTTGACGGCAGCAGGCGGCCCTCCGCGCCGATGTATCGCCCGTCCAGGGCACTCGACACCTTGAAGATGCCGCTCTCCTCGCCCCGCGTGTAGTGGATCACCCAGCGCTGGTTCTTGCTGCGGTGGTCCTTGGTCGCGCGGCTGACGGTCACCTGTCCCGTTCCATTGGCGTTCGCGGATGGGTTCGTCAGTGCGACTCCGTCCTTCTCGAAGACGAGATAGCGCCCTTCGGTCAGATACCCGACAACCTCCTTGAAACCCTCCTCAAAGTCCAACGCAGTCGTGATGTTCTGCTCTCCATATGGCACGGGAGGCCGCGTGTTGGGGTGCTGCGCCTCGCAGAGGGCCGTTCCGTCCCAGCCGCCGTTGGAATTCACGTGAGGCTCAGGCGCCTTGGGGATCGACGGAATGCTGTAGTCGGGCTGTTTTTCGTCCCATGTTAGTCAAGATGACTGATCGATGCAGAAAGGTATCGTGGCAAGGCTCACGTGGTCGAAATCAAACGCGTTGACCAGGTTGGACATGTGCTCGCGGCGCCAAGCCACCATCTGATCCGTCTTGACGTTCTGGTATCCCTTGGCCGTCAGCCATTCCTCAAGGAAGAGGATCTGGGAGTTGTGGTCCGCTCTCTCGGTGAACACCCGGTTGCCGCGGGTCCACGGGGAGATGATGTAGAACGGCACTCGGAAACCTGCAGAGTCGTGAGTACAGTGAGGTGCTGCAGGACAAAATCGGTTTGCATACCTGGCCCGACAAAGACGTCTCCAAAGTAGCCCAGAGGATCTTCAATCCATTCGCCGGGCGTGCCTGGAGGGGAGTGGAACGGGGGGACGTGATCACCAAAACCACCAGTTTCTATTCAGCCGTCAGCAACCGACCTCCAGATCTGCGAGTCATGGGCAAATTACCATCGTAGCTGATCATCAGCACGGTCGAGTTGTATTTCGGGCTGTTGACCACCGCGTTGACAACCTGCTGCTGCAGCCAAGCGCCGTCCTTGGGCATGTACGGAGGATGCTCAGACAGCTCCATGGGCCCGACAATGAAGCTGATCTGAGGGAGATCCCCCTTAGCAGCAGCGTCATAGAAAGTGTCGAGACCGACGTACGACATGCCCTTTTGAGCCAGGGCAGAGCCCTTGGGCGCGTTCTGGAACTGCTCGAACCAAGCGAGAGGGTTATCGTCGAAGTTGTCTGTGTCCTGGTAGACCTGCCACGAGACCCCAGCCTCTTCGTAGAATTCATAGATGGTCTTCCACTTGAGCGGGTAGCAGGACACATTAGGCTTCTCACAGCCTGGTCGACAATTGACATGATTAGCGGGTGCCAATGGGGGATCGATCAAGGAGCCATCACACCTGGAGTCTCATTGTTGTCGATATAGACACCTCCTTGGTCGGGGCTCTGAGGACTGCCAGGAGCATTGATAGAGCCACTGACCAAGGTGACACGATTCGGGTTGGTGGCCGTGACTTGGCCCTCCTTTGCAGATGTTAGCTAACGGTGAAGAAGAAAAACGACCAGAACGAAAAGAGAAGGGCTTTCTCAGACCTGATACATGTCGCCACTCGTCCAGCCTTCAGCAATAGCGAATTGGACGGGGATATCGCTTCGCTTGAGGTAACCCCAGCTCCACGGGGTGTTGTTCCTGGCCCAGTGGTTGTTCAGGCCCGAGTTCAATGCGGCATGGTTGTCTTGATAGCCGTTGTCTCCGGCCACCATGCACTGGATGGCTTCGGGCCAGTCACCGCCCAGATATCCCAGATACCACGGCAAGAGGGTCTTGGTCTTGTTGGACATGTCTGGATCAACTTGTCTGGACAAGAAGTCAGAAATCAGCATTCAATTCTCTAATCTCTGGCGGCTGCTGGCACAGACTGGTACCACACGGGCAATCCATCAGGATTGACCTGGACGTTGGGATCGTTGAATCCTCTGACCCCGGCCATGGTTCCAAAATACTAAAGAATAGTCAATACAGCCAATACATTTACTTTTTTTTTCCCGACTCGACAAGACCTACACTGTTCCAGGATCTGTTTTCCTGCATGAAAATCACCACATGCTCGATGTCCTTCAGCGACCCTGCGTACACCGGGCCACTCGCAATGAGCAGACCCAGGACGAGGCCTAGCATGATGGCCATAGTATGCGATCAATACTGGTTGCTGTGGTGGAGAGTGAAACTTGCCCAGCAGAGCAGGCCACTACACCGGTCAAGGTGAGCTGGTAGAAGACGACGATATTTATTTATTTAGGTCTTCGGAGCTCGGATAAAGGGAAAGGTCATATCAGTCAGATCCTCCTCGACGAGTCAATCGATGCCCTAGCTCGAGCATTATTATAATATAAAAGCTGGATGGAGACGGACCCTTCCACGTGCCTGTCGTTCGTGATGGAGAAGATCCATCACCACGGTGGTCGAGGGGATCCAACCCGCTAAAATGCCCTCCATCATGCCTGGACCAGGGCCCAGAGCAGGGTTACATTATTCGATAAGGCGTGCGCAACGTGAGTGCGGAGAAGCCGGCAGGCTGCAGCAAGGAGGAGCTGCTTTGGTGGGCACGTGCATGGAAAGGGATCTGCTATCTGGCCGTTGAAGCTGCAGATCCACCCGCTAAGGAATTTAGCTATCTGCGCGCTGACATTAGGCTGGTAGCTAGCTGCATTGCAGTTACTGGTTCATTATTAATGATCTTGACAGCGTTTCTTGAAAAACTCGACGACTCACCTGCCTAGGTAGGTAATTCTTCATCAGCGTGGGCGGTGCCGTGCCATAATAGTTGCACGATCCTAGGGCCATGTCCTAAATGTTTACTGTACAGTTCCTCCCTGGCTTGGCAACGCTCCACCTTGCATGCACTAATTAGGGTTATGGCATTCTGTACAGAGTATGTCACATCAACCGAGATAAGCCACCGTTCAGATTAAAGCGAATGAATCTCGGTATTGAATCGAACGGATATGGAAAGGCAACCAAGCCGACGACGAAAGCGCATGGCATCAGAAGAAAAAACACCGACAGAGACGAGGAGGATCAAGAAGAACAATCCTGAATCTTCTTCTTCAAATGCGCAGTCTCGAAAGCGACGTCTTCTGATCCTTTCGCTATTAATATTGCCTCTTTTCGGCATTTTTGTCCTGTTCTCACTCATCTATTACTATCCCAGTGTCGGTGGTAATGATGTACCTCTCCTTGGGCCATGGTTTCCAGCACAACAATATCACAAGGAGAATAATGATCTTTCTTCGCAGTCTCAGGACATTACTATTGCAGATGACACCCTCACTGCCGAGTGGCATCTCCATCCAGAAGAGCATGTCTATCGCGAACCGACAACCCACCAGCTAGACTGGCGGATAAGCGCTGGCTATCGTCGTCCAGACGGGGTCCTGAAACGGGTGTATTTGATCAACGGTGGGTCGTAGCTAGCTGTCTGCAATCGATCAATCAAGCTGAGTGTTGTCTTTTTGCAGACCTTTTCCCCGGTCCGACCATCGAGGCACGATCGGGCGACAAGCTGGTGATTTCTGTTCATAATGACCTGGAAGACGAGTCCATCTCGCTCCATTGGCACGGGCTGTATATGAGGGGTATAACTTTCCCTTCTATGAGAAGTCTTCCTAATCAATGGCTAATGACTGGACCCAGACGCCAATGCCATGGACGGCGTCATTGGAGTCACTCAATGCGGCATTCTCCACAGAGAGTCATTCGTGTACAACTTCACTATCTCCCCCGACCAGAGCGGCACGTTCTGGTATCACGCCCACTCCGCTGCGCAAAGAGCGGACGGGCTGTACGGGGGCCTGGTGGTTCATAAACCTGCACCCAAACCCAGGATCCGCGGACTGTGGCCGCGCGAAGATCAGCTGGGAGCAGACAGCTTCAAGTACGGATACGACCGGGAAGTCTTGCTTCTGGTTGGCGACTGGTACCATCGCCCAGCAGAGGAAGTCTCTGCTTGGTATCTGCGGGCGGGATCGTATGGCAATGAGGTGCGCACGATTGATCATGGATATATATGAGTGAGAACACTGACAGCGTCATCAGCCCGTTCCCGACTCGGTGCTCGTCAACGGCGCTGGTCGCTTCAACTGCTCCATGGCTGTTCCAGCACGGCCAGTGGATTGCATTGGCGAGGCAGACGACCGCCCAAAACTGTTCTTGGATGCGAAAACAACGTATCGAATCCGCGTGGTCAATACCGGGTGAGAAAGCCAATCCAATTAGACGATTTTTTTTTCCCTGCTAACGAATCCTCCGGACTAGGTCTCTGGCTGGATTCACGCTGACCTTTGCCCGGGAGACGCTCGAGCTAATACAGCTGGACGGGGGGATTCCTGTCGAGCCGCAGCTGGAGAAGGACAACGTCAACTCAGCCGGAATCCTGTTCCCAGGACAGCGCATGGACTTTATTCTCCGGCAGCCAGCAGGAAGAACTCGGGAGAAATGGTCGTCGTTGACGGTGGATCTCGATCAGGGGTGAGTCACCATAAAATAAACCGCATACGTCTGATAAATATACAAAATTGACCGACTCACCGCGAAGGTGTTTCAAATACCCCAATCCCGCCTTGACTCCCCGGCACGTATTTCCCATTATCAAACAGTCGATAAATCCTACCGCCGAAGGCTTCTTCACAAAAGAGCTAGAAAGCGAAAAGCAAAACCCAACCCAAATTATTGACATCACAAAAATCCCCTCCGCAAGCTCCGTCCTTGCCGTCCTCCCCCCAAAAGCACAACAGACGCACGTCGTCTACACCAAGATCGAGAAGCTGTCTCGCCTGCACAACGTTCCTTACGGGTTCTTCAACCGCACGACCTGGCGGCCGCAGAGCGATCCTCCGGTGCCACTGATCGGGCTTGCGCGCGAGAAGTGGGACGAGAACCAGTTTGCTGTGTCCGTGTCGAGGACAGGGCGCGAGGAGCCGGTGTGGGTCGATCTTGTGGTTAACAATCTGGATGAGGGGGCTCATCCGTTTCATTTGGTACAAACCCTCTAAGAAAGCATGCAAGAATAACAAGAAGTATATTGGTTTCTGACTTATACGTCTAGCACGGGCACAACTTCTACATCGTCGCAATCCACGAATCCACCCAAGGGTGGGGATCATACAATCCGTTTCTCAAAAATCGTCCTCCGGGCCTCGAACTCTCCAGCAATGACAATGACAATGATGAGGATACCGATCCCTACGACCTCACCCGCGCCGTCCTCCGCGATACAGTGCAGATCCCTCGACGCGGATACGCCGTTCTCCGGTTCCGGGCTGACAACCCTGGTATCTGGTTCTTTCACTGTCATATCATGTGGCATCTGGCAGGGGGGATGGCTATGCTTGTCGATGTTATGGGTGAGGAGACGAGCGCTCATCAAACGGGGATTTCTTCGTGTCGGACTTGATAAATCAAATAATTCCTCACTTTTTACTTTCTGTCTAGGTCGTATGTATGGATATTGTGGCATAGGAATATGAATATGTATACTCATGTCTCATTCGATCGATCCCTACCCATTATTCAATAATGGGTTACCGTTTCAGAAATTTCGGACACCAAGTCACCAACAGGGAGTGTCAGTGAGTGCCGCACTATCTATCTATACAGGGAATGAATGGAGGAGAAAAATAGACACGACACAAGGTGAATTGTACAGTACAGAAGAAAAGGTTAAAAATGCTTCGTTTGCTTCGTTCGTTCATGGTGAACCTCTGTCATTGCTCTCCCAATTGACAAGAAACCCAATCAATCAATGGATATCAAGTTTGCAGAACCGAAAAAAAAAAAGACGGAATCAGACAACACAACACCAAACGCCATCACATCCATATCGAGTCCTTGCCGAGTCCTCTCACTACCTGCCGGGAAAGGGAAAGAAAACGTCTAGGTAATAGGATAGGTACAGTACAGTACAGTACAGTACACCTTTCTATCTATCTATTTCAGTAGTAGTTGTCAAAACCCGTTCCAAACGGTTGATTTGATGAGTTATGAGTTATGGCTGGGTAGCCCATTCGACCACCTCAAGAGCACACATGACCAGCACGAGCGTAGAAGGGAGAATCCTGAATCAGAAGTCAGCACTCTCAGTACAAAAGCAGCACGAGCTGGAGGATGCTCACCAGACTACGTAACTCTGAAACAGCAGCTGCGACATCGCACCCATGTACACATTGTTGATCTGACAGATCTGCGCCAGCTGCAGAGCCGACGGTGCGCCCGTGAGCAGGAAGCAGACGACGATGAAGATCGGGTCGTCCAGGATGCTCACGGGGACATACTTTGCCAGCAGCGCAAGGATGGGCGCCATGATCAGCGTCGGGAGCAGCATTCGCGCGATCAGTGACGCGACGATGAGTTTGCGCTCCTCTTGCGGATCTTCCTCGTCCTCTGCGGCTTCTTTGGGCAGCGTGTTCCGCGCCAGGTTGGCCCCCAGGACGACCAGAATCAGCGGAACGGCCACCTGGCCGTTTTGGTCGATGGCGCGAGTCACCGAGTTGCGCACAAATGTGCCTTCGTCAAAGAAGAGATGCTGCAATGACGGGACTGATGCCACTATGATGGCAACCAACATCGCCCACAGAGGCGGATTCATAAATTCCCAGAGGCCGTGGAAGAATCGGCCTGTCCAGGACGTAGAGACCGTGAGACCTCTCCGTACAGAAGCTGGTAACGACTCGAAAACTTGGTGGCCCTTGTCCTTCACGAAACGCGCCATCCGGTTGCGCAATTGCCGTGCCGACCGTCTGTATCGATAATACAGACCCTTCACACCACTAGCCGCCGGCGCGTCGCGTCGTCGCACCTCAACGTTGGGGAAGGTCAGGATATCTCCGGTGGAGCTCTGGCGAGGCAGGAAAGGCCCACTGGGAGGAGGCCCGATCATCGAGAGCGGCCGATCCTCATCCTCATCATCATAGCCCTCCTCCCGATCCTGTGGGTTCGTATCGAGGGCGGGCAGTTTGGTATAGGAATAGGCCCGGTCAGTGACCGGAGTCTGACTACCAGACCCATACGCGGTCGACAGTCCGGAAAAAGACTGCTCTCCCGGGCCATCGTCGGACGTTCTGGTTCGGAGCAAGGGCTCATCCGGGTCTGTTTGTTCAGGATTATCCGTATAGTGTGCCTGGCCACTCTCTATCGAATGGACGGTGTCTTCTTCGGCATATCGCTCTCTGGGAGCCAGCAACACATGGTACCCCCAACTCCATCGAACCAGCTGACCCAACTGCTGGAAGATCAGCAAATACAGGATGCCCCGAGCTGCCACTTCGTCGTCAGTGTCATTGGGGATCTGATCCCAGTGTAAGCCTTTCAGTGTCTGCGAGAGAGATATAACGAGGGAGATGGGTAGCGAGTTGGAGTTGCCAAAAACCTGTCGACAGGGTGTCAGTTGGAACCTGACAGAATCGAACCTCAGAAGACCGAGACTCACCGCCATAGCCGCGACAAAGTTGGCCTGTCTCTTCTTGAATCGGAAGCATCGCGAAACGACGGCGGAACAGAAGTATGAGACGGAGGTCTGGATGATGAAGATGACGGGTATGATGGCGAGATCGGTAAGCTTCTCCGCGGTGAGCTGCGAGGCCAATTTCGTAAACACTGCCAGGTGGTCAGTCGCGAAGCACGTTCCTATTCAAAGGAGGCGATTGTGGAAGGATTTCGTACCCAGACAAGGCGTGAAGAGAGCCACGTTCAGGTTGGCGACCAGCTTCTGGGCATCGGCATCGAACATGCCCTGCCTGGCGGCGATGTATCCCGGAAGACTGACGCAGACGACTTCTAGCACGGCTTCGAAGACCAGGAGGACGAGATGGAGGAAGGAAGGATGGCTGGAGTGGGTTCCAGCGCCGGCCTGGAGGAGCCTCGTGGCGCCATGCTGGACGGTGTTGGAGCTGAGATAGCGGCGGCTAAGCTGGGCAGCGGCGGACTTTATGTCATTCGCGTTGCGCAGGGTGGGCGTGGTGAAGACTGCCATCGATCTGGACGGGTGAAACGGCGAGTCTGTGTCGCAAGGGAGAGATGGATACAGGAAAAGAGAGGCGTCTCCCACAGGAGAAGAGATGAGAGTCGAGTCTGGGGGAGGGTGGGATGATGAGATCACGTCGGGGAGGCGACCCGGCCCAGGCGGACGAGACTTGGCGTGTCACAGCCGCGGGCGATGCGACAGATCCAGCCTCACTCTCAAGTCTCAACCCTGCATCAAGTCTGCCAAGATTACAGGATGTGGACAAACTTGAAACGACAAGGCTCGAGGATCAGAGCTTGCTGCGAATTGCTATCAGCAGAGCGGAGCCTAGTCTAGGCATGCCTTAGGTCGACATGCATATGCAGAGCTATCCACTGCCGCATACTAAACGGGCTGTTATCAGTCAGCCAAGACGAAATGGTCAACGCAGCCAGCAGACTGCCTGCGTGGTCGAAGATAGACAAGTCTAGGCATTGCACAATTACGACCTTCACAACCAACAGAACTCGATGCGCTGGCGTGCTCTATGCTGCACGATAAAATAATGCCCAGGCGATCAACACCAATCAGGGCCTTAGCAGGATGTCGTGGAACCAATCACATGCAGCGACTGGAAATCGTGACGAATTGGAATTGGATCCGTGCAAATCATCACTGCTATTGGTTCGTCTGCTGTCTTTCCATTCGTCGTTTATTTTCCGTGTTATTCATTCATATTCCAGATCTGAGATTACTCCAGGATAACCATAAGCAGTATGCTGAGAAGTGGCGACATGCACATTTATCCTACTGGACTCGTGTAATCCTTGAGACTTTTATTCTGGTTAAGCCTTACAGGTCTTGCCTGCTCGAGTGGTTTGAGGGAAAATATATATTTTTTACCATCTACGTTCCCAGTATATAAATTTGGCAAGACTGTATACTGTACGTAGACAGCTTACATGACATAATATTCCCTCTCATATTCCCTCTCTATAAATTCTTCTGACGCAGACAGAGGGAGCAAGGACAAAGCAAGGAATCGATTTCAGCGACAACAACTCATCGTCACATTCATCGCCGTCGACGCCTGGCTACCACCATTCTCCATCAACGCAAACGTATACGCGCCCGGCTCCACAACCCACTGGTACGCTCGATCCAGCACCGTCAGGTACCGCGCCACGTCGAGGTCCATCGTCGCCGTCGCCGTCTCTCCGGGGGACAGGTACACGCGTGTGAAGGCGACGAGCTGCCGCACGGGACGCGTGATGGACGAAACGCGGCCGAGGAGGTACACCTGCGGCACGTAGCTGCCTGCTATGTCGCCTGTGTTGGTGATGTCGACGGAAAAAGTGATGGTTGAGGTCGGTGTGAAACTACTATTAGTGGACGCAGTAGTGGTGCTGTTTGGCGATGTAGCGGTGGCGCGGAAATTGGAAACGCTGAAATTCGTGTACGAGAGGCCGTAGCCGAATGGATACTGTTTGGTCACGCGCGAAATGGTAAGGATCATCTGATCGTTGAGAGGCGAGAGGGGCAGGGAGCTTACAATCGGAGTGTAAGGGATGTCGGTGTAGTCACGAGGGTATGATGGCTTGTAGCTGTGATTGGTATGATGTTAGTGGCAGAGTTCGACCTAGTAATATCACATAATAATATAGAATGCCCTGCATACTTGTAGTAAACCGGCAGAGTGCCTACGTCATACGGAACGCTCAGAGGAACTCGTCCGCCAGGGTTGGTTATTCCAAAAATCGCATCTGAAATGGCTTGGCCGCCGGATTGGCCGGGGAAAAACTGCAACGTGTGAGACAAGTTCTAACGACACAGGAAAAATATGGTATAGACGTACTGTATTCAGGACAGCAGCAGCTTGACGATAGTATTGCGGAATAGCAAACGGACGGCCTCCCTGCAGCACGAGAACGACCGGCTTCTCGAGGGCGAATATCGCATCGGCAAGGGCAGCTGAGAACAGTCCAAGTAAGCCAACGTGCTACGCTTAATGACAGGGGGACAGATTTCCGTACTCTGGTTTGGAGACAGGCCCAAGGTCGCCCGGTCTCCGCTCTCGCCGTCGCTGTTCCAGTTTGCGCCAACTGCGAGCACAATGACATCAGATGACTTGGCAATATCGACGGCCTGAATGATTAGCGAAGAAGTTCAGTTAGTAGAAATTCAAGCTATCATGCATCTTCTTTCAGGATGACGACTGGCGCGCTTACTTTACCAACTGGATCATTCCGATCAACAAGGTTCCAAAACAGCAAGACCTGAGCGTTGAGCGAATTCACGTTCTCGAACTTCTGGACATAATTCCAAGCCTGGTATTCCAGCCGGATATGATGCCTAGCGCCTTTGCGGAAGGTGAAGGGAGCAGATCCAGGAGGGGCCATTGTCCCGTTCGCCATGGAGTACGAAAGCGGCATGATGTTGGATAGGATGTTGCCCGAAGGTGTCGCTTCGGCTTCGACCAGGAATTGACCGTCGACATATAGCTTTGCGGTGGTGTTCGCGTAGACTGCCACCCCGAGCCAGCCATCGACCTCCGCGTCGACCGGCACGGTGAGATCGCCCTCCCATGTGACGCTGAAGTTGTTCGACGGTAGGCCGTTGGGAGGGTAGAGTCCCCAATCGAGGCTGGGAGTCTCCAGCTTCTGGAACCTTGCATCGGTGAAATTGGTGTCCGCATAGTAGGTCGCCAGCAGACCACCAGAAGTGCCATTGGCAGAGAGGTGGTAGGGAGGGATATTGTACTGCCCATTGTACAACCACGAGTTCGCACCCCAGCTGGAGACGAGTTCCGTGCCGGACGCGTTCACCGCGAGATACTGGGACATTGCCTGGCGAATGGTACTGGCGTTGGCCACGGGGTAACCTCCCCATTGTCCGGAGTAGTCGCCATAGTTGAAAGTATCACCGAACGGCCCAACGAGCGCAATCCTTTTGATCCCTTTCTCTTTTGGCTTCAAGGGCAGTGTCACATTGCGGTTTTCCAAAAGAACAATGCTCTTCTGTGCAGCCTCGAGAGTGAGAGGAACGTGTGATTGCGTGATCGCCTCGGAGTCGACATCGTCCGCGATGTAGCGGTTTTCAAAGAGACCCAGATCATACTTGACGCCCAGAATCCTGCGAACCAGCGATTGCAGAGTTGATTTGGACAAAGTACCGTTGGCAACCAAGTCCACCGTTGTCTGGGATGACGTTAGTAAAAGTCATAAGTGATCATCAACACATCAAGATCAAACGTGCATTGAGATAGACTTCCAGCGGAAAATCATAGTATTGCACCATGCCGCCAGCGTTGTGCCATTGCGCAATCGTATCGGTGACGGAACTGGTCACACGATGCGTTTCGTACAGCATGGAGAGACCTGTCAGCACTATAAGTAAGATTTCTCTACTACCCAGCTCTTCGGTTCTCACCTCCATCATCAGCGGTGACATATCCTACAAGTTGCCATGGGCTATTAGTAAGTGTTAAACGAGAAGAAAGAGAAGAAGAACAAACCGTCGTATCCCCAGCTCTCGAGAGCTTGATATAAAATTGGATTCACCGAACACGGGACTTCATCAAGTTCGCTGTAAGCCCTACCCGAAAGTAAGCACTTGCAAATGATATATTGATGGTCGCAGAAGGGGTTCACTCGCTTACATCATGACACCTTTCACACCTCCCAGGTCTACAGCTGCCTTGAACGGGACCAACAGTTCCTGGAGAACCTCTCTGACTCCATAGCCCATGAAAGGAGCGGCATTGTGTCCGGCTTGAGGGCTTCCATGCGCGGCAAAATGCTGTCCAGGACGGTTATCAATGAACTTATTAAAGGTATGTGGTACCTAGGCTGCAAACCTTCATCACGGGTACGACGGCATCGGGGTCAGACAATGATCCATTCTTTGACAGGCCAGAGGCATATGCAACGCCCATGTGGGACGTGAGAACCATGTCTTCACCCCAGGCCTCTGCATACAGGTAAGGTCAACATGGCTGTCTCATTCAAGACTTGGGTGAAACACTATAGCGATTCGCACCTTGAACTCTCCCCCAACGAGGATCTTTCCCCAGATCCAGGACCGGCGCAAAGCAGGCATGGATGCCGATGGAGCTCGCCTCAGTGCCGATTGCTCTCCCGACACGGTGCACCAGATTGGTGTCAAAGGAGGCTGCCATGCCAATGGACTGCGGCAACATGGACTGTTTGAACGAGCCAACGCCATGGAGGCATTCTCCAGTCTGCAGGAAGGGGATATCGATGCGAGCTTTTTGGGAGTTTAATCTCTGGAGGTCGTTGTACTGAGACTTATTGGTGGGATACCAATCGTGGATGATTCCGATCGGGGCGGTAGGCGCGAGACGCATCGTATAATCTGAAGATCTGTCAGTCAGGCGTGCATAGGTGTCTTTTGATCACCATAATGGGGATTTACCATACAACCCATTGTCCGATTTTGGCCCGATGATGTTATCTGCGAACATGAGGTGCATTTGCAGGACTACAGACTCGACGTATTAGGACAGCCCTACCCAGATCACTAAACCGCAATCGGTATTATCGATGAATGTACCCAGCTCTGGAACGGTGAGGTTTGCCACCAGCTGATCAAGAAACGCATCCCTCTCCACTGCCTTGGCGTCTCGAGGACATTTTTTGCTGGTCAACTGCGGATTGAAGCTGAATCCATTAGGAAAGAGCTGTGCCTGGCATAATGCCACAACAACAGTCGCCCCGAAAAGAAGCCGGGGTGAAGCGAGAAAGATCATTGCAGACCCGTTCTGTTATTGGACAGAGTGTCCGGCAACCACGTGGTTGGGCTGGCGACACTGAGATCGAGAGTGCCCGTTCCTTCGTCATCGTGCTTGGATGTACCGTACCTGACAGCATTTTATATCTATGCTTGCTCTTCGGAAAATTTAAGGATAAACGCAGAGCGATGATCATTCAAGATCCATCAATCAAGAAACGGAGGTAACGGTAGCAGCGAAGAGCTCATCCCCGCAGTCTTACCCCGCAAGCTATCTCCACGTGGCTGCCACGCCGTTGCTATCCAGAGAATTGATCAGCGTGCTGGGCATCGAGTTATCGGTATATCTGTTGCCGAAGATAGATCTGATCTGAGGATATGATCCGGATAAACTGAGATTTGGTGCTCCTCCAGTCGTACAGAACTTTTCCAGACGTTTCTTTTCGAGGCAGTAAGACGAGCTTAGTTATCAGAAAATAAGGATCTCCCTATAGCGGATTTTCTGAGGTATACAGGCCTTGAAAGTCGTGCTTGACTCCGCTGGCTTGTAAAGAAGAAAGAAAAATTATATTGGTCTATACCATACTATATATTTTTTATTATCTACTTTCCACGGGAACTCCCACCCATTTCTCACTATATATTATTTCTCGTATCAGGTTTCTTATGAGCCGTGTTCTAGGTGGGTTTTCTGTCCGTTATTCCTTGCTATACTTTTATCATTCTCACGATAGTTACTATATTGGCGTTTTTATAATAGAGGCTGTCGCCGTACAAGGTTGTACCTTGACGGATGGGGAGTATGGATATCCATCCTCGGATCACATGGTTGATCCATAGTCATCACGTGTAAGGATCTCCATGTGGATCATCCTTCATGGATCCTCCATCAAGCTTCCTCCATAGTCAATGGTATCTCCAGTTAGTCGCTACAAGGCGATGAAACGAAGCACTTGTGAAAAGGTGACAAGTAGAATTATGGTATAGTTCATCATAATAATGCTAGGATCGATAATAGCTACAATCTTATCTCCTCAAGCTCCTAGTGGCTAGGTAGCCAGTCGGGTCACATGAGTCGACTGAGCCTTGTTCTGCATTGGTTTCCTGTTGTATAGATGCGGATTGTCTCTCCTTTTCCTGCGAATTGACCTAAAATAATGAACTTTTAGCAAATACCGTGGAAAAATCAGAATTTCTACCAAGATAGACCTGTATATGACCTAGGTGTCACTTGTCTCTTTCCACTAGAAGCGGTAGTGACTGGTTCGATATTCCTGTCAGGTGGACGGGGATAACGTCGATACTGGCCGTCGATCTGTGTAATCATACAGCGTCAGAATCGTGACGATCCTCAATATTGAGTCAATTGATTGACTATCTCTGTCCCTGCCATCTTAGTCATCCTGTCATGTCCTGCTCGCGGGCGCATCCGACGGGCCGAGTCGGGCAAAAGTGGCAGGCCGGAAGCAGAGCCCGCGAATCGCAGGGCACGATCGAGGGCGAGTTCCTGAGAGTGCTGGGAGCTTCAGCCAGCAAACAGGCACGTTCTTCCCAGATGTCGCGGTGGCAAAAGCTCGCTACCACCGGCGAGCGCACATGAATCGGCCATCCAAGGGTTGGCGGCGCCACCAGGGTGGACGCGCCGGGCGGTTTCACAGCGGAAGCTTCCTCTGTTCCTCTTTGGGTCATGTCGCCGGCGCTGGCACAAGGCCTGGCAAGCACAGCTCCCACAGGCGTAGACCGGTTGTCCCATTAGGCGTTGTGGCGTATGCAGCCGGATAAGACTAGAAAGCCCGAGAGCTTCCTCGCGGCCTCTTTTGTGCCTTGACGCAGTCACAGTCATGCCAAGTGCAGGCAGCAGCCAAGTTTTGCTGCTGAAAGACCCATAACTAAACCAGTCATGGCAGCGGTGTGAGCTGGTGGGATTCTGAGTCCTTTAAGACAAAAGATCTGCTCGTCCAGCGACCAGCCTAACTGCCACCGCCTGCGTCGTCTTGTCTTCTTGATGGTCTTTGCCTGGTGTTGAATTCCGGCACGACCCCAACCCCCGTGCAACGCCCGCCAAAGGTCTTTTTTTTTTTGATTTTTGTTGCCCCCAAAGCCCACTGTGGCCCTTGGAAACCGACGACAGCGCCAGATTCGCATCCACGGGTCGTGCCACTCGCTGGACGCTGGCAGTCGTGAAGGCGGAACTGCAACCTCGCCGGTAGCTTTTCCCGCCCGGTCGGGACATTGCCTCCCCTCAGCGAGCTCTCTGCTCTGCTCAACTCTCCCTCCCCTCGACCATCTCGAGGTGTCCAGGTAGTCCCCTCTGTCTGTCCGCTTCTCCCTCCTGCATAGCCCCCCATCTTTCCTCCTCCATGGTTGGTCCCACTCGTTTTGGCTGCTGTGCTGCTGCTGCCCGTGCCTGTCTCTCATTAAACTCCTCTTTCGTCCCGGGAATCCTTGCTGATCCGCCCCAGTAAGCTCTGCGCGCTGCTGGAGCCCCGCATCGGCGTCTCTCTGCAACGCCCCAGAAGAATTAATTAATTACCAGACTCCCCCGATCTCTCTCCTCTCTCCTGTCCCTCCGAGCGAGATAAACCCACCCTCCGAGACCTTAGGTCGCGTCGAACGAGACATTGTTCGGGGCACAACCACACCGGTGGATCCGAAAACGGGATTCGTTTCCCGTTTCAAGGAGGAATCAACCGCGACACAAAGAGAGCAGGATTCTTCGAGGACTACGCTTGGGCTTCGTGCGGGGTTGACCGCCCACCGCCATTCGGCAAGAACAAGATGGAGGACGATCGAAAGACCCCTCTGGTCGAAGATATTCCGGTGTCTCCTGACAGCGACAGGGACCACGATGCGACCGACTGCCTCCCGTCGTCTCCCCCCTCCTCCACACGCTCGCCTCGTCATGTTTCCGTACCTTCTCTTCGCTCTGGATCCGACCTCTCCAGCGGCATGACGGCCTCTTCGACTCCCCTGGGCCAGTTGAACGCCGCGCGGAGAGGAGGCGCGCCTGCTCCTCCTGCTCCTCGTCCGGCGGCGTCGATCAGCGGGCAGTCCAGTGGTCTAAACCAGGACATATTGGCAAAGATGAAGGCCTTCTCTCTGTCCAGGCAAGGTGCCCCGCCGGGCATGCCCCATGCCGCGTCTACGGGGGGAATCCCGTCGTCTACGCAAGGAACAGGGCCATCCGCGAACAGTGGTATAGGAGGAAGCCCCGTACCGAAAGGCCAACATCCAGTACCCTCCGGCCCCATCACAGGCGGTCTGGCGGGCAGACTACCCCCGACCAGTCGCCCTCATGCGCAGAATTGGTCCTCTGCGCCCGCGGGCGCAGGACCAACGCTCAACCAGAAGCCTGGGGGGTTAGCCGCGAAGAGACTCCAGCCCGGATTGAGACTGTCGGACGTGACGGGGCAATCAGAAGACGGCCAACGGCAAGGAGACAGCTCAGCGCAGGGAGGAAAATCCGGTGACGCCTCGAACCAGTCAGCCTTCAGCAAGTATGCCGACTTTATTGACACGAAGGCTGGAACCTTGACCTTTAAGAACAAAGCCCTCCTTCACGGGGGAGGCATTGAATTTTCTTCCGGTCAAAGTTTCAGCATCTCTCTCGACGAGGTCGATCGGCTGGAGGAGCTGGGCAAGGGGAATTATGGTACTGTTTACAAGGTTCGACATAGTCGCCCCCATATGCGAAAACCAGGTCAGGGGATATCGGGCATCGTCAGTCGGCCGGAAGGGTCAAATAATTCCGTCTCCTCCCCTCCATCGAAGCCACCGGATAACCTGAGCGGGGTTGTGATGGCCATGAAGGAAATCCGGTTGGAGCTGGATGAGAATAAGTTCGCTCAGATTATCATGGAATTGGACATTCTCCATCGCTGCGTTTCGCCGTTTATCATCGACTTCTACGGGGCCTTCTTCCAGGAGGGCGCGGTGTATATTTGCGTCGAGTACATGGACGGTGGCTCTGTGGACCGGCTCTACGAGGGCGGGATTCCTGAAAATATTCTGAGGAAGATTACGCTCTCTACCATCATGGGCCTGAAGACGCTCAAGGACGACCACGAGATCATCCACCGCGACGTCAAGCCCACCAATATCCTCGTCAACACCCGTGGACAGGTCAAAATCTGCGATTTCGGCGTGAGCGGCAACCTCGTCGCCAGTATCGCCAAGACGAACATTGGCTGCCAGAGTTATATGGCTCCAGAGCGGATTGCTGGCGGCGGGATGCAGCAGTCGGGCGCCAACACGGGGGGTACTTATGGCGTCCAGAGCGATATCTGGAGCTTGGGGCTGTCGATCGTCGAGTGTGCCATCGGGCGGTACCCCTACCCCCCGGAGACATACAACAACATCTTCAGTCAATTGCAGGTGAGTAGCTTCACTCCGGTGCTGTTGGACGATCTTGTTCACTGACGGGTTTCCCCAGGCGATTGTGCATGGCGACCCGCCGACGCTGCCTGAAGAATCATTTTCGGCTGAGGCTCATACGTTCGTGCGCGGATGTCTGGACAAGAATCCGAAGAATCGGCCCTCCTATGCGGCGCTTCTCCGGCATCCATGGCTGGCACCCCTGATGAAACCGCCCGCCGATCCCGAGGCGAATGGCGAGCCGTCTACGCATCCACCGCAGAGTGAAACCGAGGACGAAGAGGTGGCCGCATGGGTCAAAGACCGATTGGAACGTCGCCAACGTGGACAGCTAGGGGAACCTCAGAAGCCCGCATTGCACACGGTGGCGCTCGATGCCGTCGGTGGGAGCCCTCTTCTGGACGATCCTTCCAGCATCTCTCCCAACAAGTGATGTTGTGTCATTCCCGTTCTGGAGTGAGCAGGTTTTGCATACCTTTCATTCCGTCCTTTGTTTCGCTTGATTGTGCAGGGGATTGGCTGTAACTGGACGACCGAGGCGCAGGCGCCAAGGATCGCGGTTGGCACCGGGCGATTAGATTGTTGTGTTATGGAAGGGCCAGTTTGTTCGATGTCCAAGGGGTTTCACATTTGTTTCTACTATTATCTTGTCGCGATGATTTGGTCTTGGCTCGAGTGCCCTCTGGCATGTGCAACTAGCATTTACATGTGCATCTCCTTCTTGACCATCTCTCTCCTGTGACCTCTGGGATCATTGGCTCATTGAAGTCGTTCTTGTCCTTTTTTTTTCTCGTCATGTCATGAGCATCTTATGGCTGTATGGGGTATGTATATAGGATCAGCATGAATAGAGCTACGCAGCGCATCTTCACGAATGGCAGCATTTCTACAGTCTGTTCTTGATGGTGAAGTCAAATGACGTGCCGATGGCGGGATCGAGTGATCCTAGTGGTCGATGGCGTTATGCTGCTGATAAATCAAAGTCACGTGCCGGCTGCCATCGTGAATGCTGGCAGAGAAGCCCAGAATGACCCTTCAGCCCGAGAAAAGATGACAAATGATGGAAAAAGTACGAAATAGTAATAATACTACTGTAGGAGTTCGCAATTGGCAGCGTTGGTGGCATTACTGAGCATCACTCAGTCTGACTAAGGTGGTCGAGGCTAAAAACATCATCCCGCAGTTGCTTACAGAAGCGCTGCAGCACCCAATAACTAATCGATTCCCCAAACCAAAGCCCCTCCTCTCCCCGCCGCCAGCAGCAAACCAGCTCAGTAGCATTGCTGACTGGGCGTCCTCTTGTCCTTGTCCGCCGCGCGCTGTGTAAATAGCTGCCTTTTCCCATTCTTCTCCCCAGAGGCATGCTCTCCCCTCCCCTCCATACTACCCATCCGATCCGAGCTTCCAGGTTCTGGCTGAAATCCGCCCTCCGAACACGATCATCGCCTTTGCTATCGATCTCTTCTTCGCGAGGAATTGCCTCTCTCCGCCAGACGAGTCCCGCACTGGAGTCTCCCAAAACGCTTTCTCCCTCTCTTCCTCGCCTAGCTTCCCTGTCGAGACAGTTTCCGTCCCCGGCCGTCGAACGAAGCTCGCCGTTCTCAACGATGGCTCCCGTGGAGACGAAAGAGTACGACTACATTGTCATTGGGGGTGGTAGCGGTGGCAGTGGGAGTGCCCGAAGAGCCGCGGGTTGGTATGGCGCAAAGACGTTGATTGTTGAGTCCGGCCGAGCCGGTGGTACATGTGTCAATGTTGGGTATGCATGATTTCTTATTTTCTTTCTTTCTTTCTTTTTTTTTTTTGTTTGTGTGTTGAGTGACATGCAACAATAGCTTCAGTCATCCTGACCATTCGACAGATGTGTGCCGAAGAAGATGACGTGGAACTTCGCCTCGATCAACGAGAACCTGCACGCTGGCCGACACTACGGCTATGACATCCCGCACGACGTCAAGATCGACTACACCCACTTCAAGCGCATCCGCGACGCCACGATCGAGCGGCTGAACGGGAGCTACGAGCGGAACTGGAACAAGGAGGGTATCGACCTGGTGCACGGCCGCGCCCGCTTCGTCGAGCCCAAGACGATCGAGGTGACGCTCAACGACGGCTCCGGAAAGGCGCGGTATACCGCGAAGCACATCCTGATCGCCACGGGCGGGCATCCCATTGTCCCGGATGTGCCGGGTGCGGAGCACGGCATCACCAGTGACGGCTTCTTCGAGCTCGAGGAACTGCCGCGCAAGTGGGCGGTGGTCGGCGCGGGCTATATCGCGGTCGAGCTGGCCGGAGTCCTGGCGGCCGTCGGCGTCGAAACCCACATGTTCATCCGCGGGGACACCTTCCTGCGCAAGTTCGACCCCATGATCCAGGAGACCATGACCCAGCGGTACGAGGCGGTGGGGATCCACATCCACAAGGGACACAAGGGCTTCAAGGAGATTCAGCTCCTGCGTGACGGCAAGGGCGCAGACAAACTGCTGAAGCTGATTGGGAAAGACGGCGATGAGCTTGAGGTCAATGAGCTGCTGTGGGCTGTGGGACGTGCGCCGGCGGTGGAAGATTTGGGTCTCGACGTCGCTGGGGTGAAGCAGACTCACACCGGCCACATCATTGTGGACGAGTACCAGAACACGTCGGTGGATGGGATCTACGCGCTGGGAGATGTGACGGGGCAGGTTGAATTGACGCCGGGTAAGCAGAACTCTCACTCACACACACTCTCTTTTCTGGCGTCTGACATTCCGTAGTGGCCATTGCGGCTGGTCGCCAACTGGGCAGTCGCCTTTTCGGACCTCCGGAACTCAAGTCGTCCAAGCTGTCGTACGAGAACATTCCGACGGTGGTCTTCGCCCATCCGGAGGTGGGCACGGTCGGTCTGACGGAGCCGCAGGCGCGGCAGAAGTACGGCGATGACAAGGTCAAGGTGTACCAGACGCGCTTCACGTCCATGTTCTACGACCCGTTCCCCGCGGAGGAGAAGAAGAAGAACCCGACGCAGATGAAGATTGTCTGCGCGGGGCCGGAAGAGAAGGTTGTTGGGCTGCACATTTTGGGCCTGGGCGTGGGCGAGATGCTGCAGGGCTTTGGCGTCGCAGTCAAGATGGGCGCGACGAAGCAGGACTTTGACAGCTGCGTGGCGATCCACCCGACGAGTGCGGAGGAGTTGGTGAGTATCGACTATTTCCTACGTAGTATCTACCAGCTGACGTATTGCAGGTGACTATGCGGTGAACTTGACTCGAACAGAACAGTCTCTGAAAAGTCTACCTACATAGAGCTGAACGGTATTCCATGTGATGATTATCATGATAGAGTACTGTGATCCAGCTAGGCTAGAACTATATACCGTAAATTTAAACCAAGCAAACCAACAATGTTGACTAGCCATTAAATTAAATCCAATCCCCCTGGACATTAATCTCGATTAATCTCGGTCCGATCAGCACATCTCCGACGGCAGCAGCTGAGAGGGAGTTTAGAAGTGTTATTTTTTCGGCAACAAGCAGACTTTCCGATCGGCATGTGAGCGCTACAGCCGGGATTATCCTTTGAGCCGTTGTACCGTTTCCGTTTCCCGTTTCCCGCAGGAACTACTACTATTAGAGACGGGAGGTTTAGCGATCAACGTACTGTACTGTACGTACGGAGTTCTCCGCTTGCTGTCGTAGACAAGAGATGGGATTTTTATTGGCTAGCATGGGATTGGGTCCGCTGGCTGAGAGCCTTAGAGAGGAAGGTCCTTATCATTATCACTCACTGGCTCGAGAATTTCCAATTGATATTAATACTGTTTTACGTATGGAGTAGCAGTCAATAATTGCAGTCTATTTTCTATCCTCTGTAGTATTACTCTGTAATTAGGTGACACAGTGTAATGAAATGATGATGAATAGTACGGGGTAACTATCCACGTGCCGTGAAACGTTTACTCGGTACTCCAGACTCCACACCCCGCAACTTTATTGATTCTATTAGATAATGGAAAGAGAGCCGGACGGAGCACTGCCTTTGTAGGCATTACTATTGATCCTCATTGTCGTCTTCCCTTGGAACAGGCTAACAGCTTACTTTACTCCCTTCCAGACTACGTACTACTAGCTTGGACGCCCGTCTTATCATCGAATGCGGATAATCGATCCCAACTGCGAATCACGGGCTATCTCCGTTATCTCATCTCCCCACAATGACAGACAGCACTTAACCTTACGTCAATCAACTGAGTCAACCTTACTACGGAGGACAGCCGTATCAGGTACGCGTAGATAGCTCCGACCGTGCGCAGAAGTTAGAACGCCCTGCCCTGCCGGCCTGTCAAACTTAAGCTGCTGACCCCGCATAATTGTTTAGCCTGCGCCAGACAGACAGACAAAGAATGGATGGATGGAATGATAACTTATAACTATCCACGTCCAGACATTCATCCACACGCATTGATCGATCACGGCATTGATCTATTATCCATTCGTCTTCCTTCTCTTGTCTTGTTAGAGGAATTGGCATTGCTCGACCATGACAGATCACACAGCTGCCGCGGACGACTCCCTAAAAGCGGTCGACGGGAAGGAAAAACTCGCCCGTCCAAAATGTCCCTCTGAGGAGGTGGTCGGAGTCGCAGAGGATTTGGCGGCCATCCAGCTGGATGCGGCCAAGGAGACGAAGCTGCTGGCCAAGCTGGACGTGGCCTTTGTGCCTGTGATCATGTTTGCGTATTTGACCTGCTTTTTGGACCGGAGTAATATCGGTTTGTCCACCATACATAACAGCCGTATTCATATTCTCGTGCTGACGCACGACAGGCAACGTCAAGGTCGCCAACATGCCCAAAGACATCCACGCCTCGCCCAGCCAGTTCTCGACCGCCGTCTCCATCTTCTACGCCACCTACGTCTCCTTCGAGACGCCCTTCACCGTCATCATGAAGAAGGTCATGCCGCGCAACCTGCTGACGGGGCTGGCCACCGTCTGGGCCCTCGTCACCATCTTCTCCGGCTTCATCGTCAACGTGGGCGGGGTGTATGCGACGCGCCTGATCCTCGGCTGCTGCGAGGCCGGCCTGTTTCCGTGTCTGAACCTGTATCTGACCATGGTGTACCGCCGCGAGGAGCAGGCCAAGCGCGTGTCGTATCTGATGAACTGCGCTGCTATTTCGGGTGCTGTGGGCGGGTTGCTGGCGTATGGGTTGCTGCATATGGACGGCGTAGCGGGGAAGGCGGGATGGAGGTGAGAAATGTCATCTATCTATAGGTTGACTTCCGGTTGAATTCCTGCTAATGTATATGCAGATGGGTCTACATCATCGAAGGCCTCTTCAGCATCGTCGTCGCCGTGTGGATCTGGTTCGGCCTGCCCAACGACCCGGCCAACGCGTACTTCCTCACCTCGGAGGAGAAGTGGATGATGCAGGTGCGCAACGCGCAGCGACGCAAGTACATGGGGAGCGAGAAATTCAGCTGGGAGGAGGTGCGCAATGCGCTGCGCGATCCGAAGCTGTGGATGAGGTAGGCATTACATTTATGTGTACATACTGAACGTGCGTCCTGCTAATTGTTTATGCCAGCGGCATCATCCAATTCTGCCAGGACATCCTCCTCTACGGGTTCAGCACGTTCCTCCCGTCCATTCTGAACAGCATGGGCTACGACACGCTGCGCAGCAACGCGCTGACAGTGCCGGTCTACGTCTGGGGCGCATTGTGCTTCACGGCCATCGCGTGGTTCTCAGACCGGTACTCGAAATTCGCCATCTTCCTGCTCGGCGCCAACGTCTTCTCCATCGTCGGATACATCCTCCTGCTGACCGTCCATTCCGACGCGGTCAAGTACTTCGCCACCTTCCTCTGCGCTGTGGCCACCTACACGGGTCCCGGGCTGAACATCGCCTGGCTGAACGTGAACATGGCGCCGCACTACCGCCGCGCGGCGGCCATCGGCTTGCAGCAGACAATGGGCAACACGGCGGGCATCGTGGTAGGCCAGATCTACCGCACGAGTCCGTACGTGCTGGGCAATGCGTTCTCGCTGGGCGCGCTGGGCGTCGCGCAGACCCTGATCGTGGCGCAGATGCTGTATTTGAAGCGGCAGAACGGAATAAAAGCAAGGATCGCCTCGGGTGAGAAGGAGGACACGCGAGCGGTGAAGACGGGCGATGCCGAGGTGGACTTTACGTATCATTTTTGAAAAACCCAGCTGTGTTTGTAGATAAGCTGTATGTACAGTACGTTTATGTTAGATAGAGGATGAATGTGAGGGAGACATGATATCCTCAGTAAAATATGGTTTTAGAAAGAAAGGAATCTGAAAAAGATTAGACAGGCTTGTACGGTAGTTCTACGGCTATGTCCTCAGTAATCATTCTGCAATAAACAATGTCGAACGACATGATCATAGGCTATCTATCTATCCTACCTCGTCTAATAATATTCCTACTTGTGTCTAGCAGCCAGCCATTCAATCAATCGAGAATCTAAAATCTGCACTCACCCACTCCATCGGACCATCGGTCCATGATCCATCGGTCCGAACTGCATCAAGCCGAGATATTATCATAATCAAGCACAAACAATTAAGTTAATTAATTGTCAGGTTATTTAATCCTGTATCGTTACATATTATATCATTATAGTAATTTTAGGTTCGATTTTAAGTTCAATATTATTCCTTTCCAATATAAGCATGCATAATGGAATGAAAGAATCTCGGCTCGGCTCAGCTCGGGAAATGCCTGATTGTGCCGGTCGGTCGACTATCACTAACTGACCATTATTGACTGATTGCTCGAGTGCGCTGATAGGATGGATACGATAGGATAGGACTAACTTTGATCGATCGTGATACTACCTAGGTAATAAAACCTATTTAATAATAAATCAATTTACGAGAATTGAGTAGTAGTAATAGATGAGTATACTCTGTGACTAATTATTATATGACAAAGAAGCCTGCTAGCTCCAGGATGCTAGGTCTAGCGTTCTCAATCAACTAATTAATTATATAATTAGGTTAGTTAAAGATTCTGTGCCCTGTCCTGTCCTGGATTCCGGGGTTTTTTTTTTTGCTTTTAGGTTCTTAGTTTTTGGTACTTGGTTCTTGGATCACGCAACCAAGGTAGTCAGTCTTATTCTAATTCTAATAATAAAATAAAATACGAATGAACCCCGCACGGTTTGATCACCATTGTTGGCCCGCTATCTATATATTAATTTGAAATTATTTGTCTTGTTAAATCAGTTCAAATCAATTCTGTTTTCTTGATATCCTTCGTCTGAATTCTATATGTAAAAGGGAATAAATAAATAATAGCCCTGTGGATTGATTTTAGAGGACTATTCCTCTTTCTTATATTCATTCTCTCTCTTTATTTATTTATTTATTCATTTATTAAATATTTCGATGACCCCCTCCGAAATCTCCTCCCAAGCCACCTCCCCCGCCCACGAAGCCCGTCTCCTCTCCCGCCACAATCTCCTCACCAACACCTCCGGCATCGCCCCGGGCTATTTGCAAGCGAACCTCATCGTCCTCCCGTCCCGATACGCAGAACACTTCCGCGCCCTTTGTGCCCGGAACCCGGTGTCCTGCCCACTGCTAGGCGTCACGCCGCGCGGCGATCCGCACACCGTCCTGCCAGCAGGATGCATCAAAACAGCAGAGGACTTTGACATCCGCACGGATTTCCCCTGCTACCGCGTCTACGACAAGGGGAAATGCGTCGCTACCAAGAAACCTGATATTAAAGACCTCTGGACACCAGACCACGTCGGGTTCCTGATCGGCTGCTCCTTCTCGTTTGAAGATGCCCTCGCCGCCGCTGGTCTAACCCCCAGACACCAGACCACCAACACCGTCGTCGCAATGTACCGCTCGTCCATCCCCGTCTTGCCAGCGGGTATCTTTACGGACGCACAATGCGTCGTCTCCATGAGGCCCTACCGTCCTGAGGATGTGGAGAAGGTGCGCGACGTGACGAGGCCGTTTCTTGCGACTCATGGCGAGCCTGTTGCTTGGGGGTGGGAGGGCGCGAGGGAGATTGGTGTGAGGGATGTCGACAAGCCGGATTTTGGACAGCCGCAGAGGTTTGAGGAGGGGGAGGTGCCTGTTTTTTGGGTAGGAACTCGCTCTTCCAATTGTGTCCAGATATATACTACAGTTCTCGATCATACTTGTCTGTGCTTTCTGACGCTTGACTGCAGGCATGCGGCGTCACTCCCCAGCTCATCGTCGAATCGGCAGGCGACAAGATCGATGGCTTGGTGTTTGCCCATGAACCGGGGCACATGCTCGTTACGGACTGGACGACTGAGGATTTGGACAGGCTACGGGCAGAGGTTGCTGCTGTTTGACGACTGAGGAACATGCAAGATTGAATGGCGTGTATGGAGAAGTTGTATTGAATGTACTGTATATATTGGCTATGCATAGTGCCGTGTCGTGTTCACAAATTGAGAAAATGTATATACCATATCCATTAATTGGGCTACATACATTTGTACACGTTCAGCGAATTTGGCAATCCCCTTGTTTCTATCTCCATTAGCCACGCAGATTGCCAGAAAATACAAGTCATAGCTTAAACTTCGCTGCCTTGCGCGACTTCGTCACGTCAACTGCGTCCACCACGGATATATGCCCGGCACATCATCCGCATTGCTGAAATTGGCCTGAAACTCCGGCTTGCGCTTCTCGAGGAGGCTCTGGACGCCTTCCCGGTTGTCCCTCCCTCCAAACAGATCGAAGATCACCCGCGAGTCCAGCAAGTGCATCGCCTCCGCGCTGTCTGGCCCCTGGTACATCAGATCGCGCATCAGCGCCGTCGCCACTGTCGATGTGTTCTCCGCAATCTCCTTTGTCAGCTCCAGCGCCCGTGCCACCGTCGCTTCCGGCGTGGGCAGCACCTCCGAGAAAAGCGTCGACAGCAGGGGATGCGACGCTGGATAGATGCTACCCGTCGAAAACGCATTCTTTCCCGGACGATTCAACGTGACGACGATGACCTTGGTCGGGGTGGGCGATTCGGCTGGAACGTGGGATAAGGCGATATACTTGGTAGGGAGAGCGGTGTAGGAAGAAGGCAGACCGGGAGGGGAGTTTGACGACATGGCTGCAAATAACACGACGCTTAATGAATCAGAATCATCAGGACCAGCACGTCAATAGTGCTGACACGGCCATTCGACAGATGACCAGCGACGATGGCGACTGAAATCGCGGCCCATAGATGTCCCCTTTGTACGAAACGTGGCCCAACTGGTGTGTCAGTCGAGATAGATGATGACGACAAAGGCGGCGACACAGAAGCAGAGGGGAATGTAGACGATGGGGTCCATCTCTGCCGAGATGAACATGCAGTATGCAGCACAGGAGTCGAGTTAAAGTCCTTAGCCGAGGCAGTGAGATGATACTGAATCGTGGCGCAGAGAGAGTTAGTGTTGGATTCCAGACGATGACATCTTCGTCGGCGGTGGGGGCCGATGGAGGGCAGACTGCGGGGAAGCCCCGCCTTACTTAATCGGGAAGCGGGAATCGTGATGAGATCATACATCAATACGTGTATTGCATTCCAACTAAAAGGTACGACTAAACTCCAGAAAATTTCATGATTCATGTGTCAACCCTGGTCACGTCTCCTGGCATTCTTCGCTAAAGAGAGATACATCATCCTCCTCATCCTCAGGCAAAAAGTCATCTAGCTCCAGGCGCTTCACACTATTGTATGACTCGATGATATTGTTGCTCAGAATAATAGATTGAAGACTACAAGAATGTGTTTGACAACGATGGCCATTATTAGTACACCATTCTGGCGATCTGATTTTGGAAACCTTTTTGGCAGTTTCGGCGTAGCTTAAGCCCAGAAACGGTGCGCATGGCCGTGGAGACAGATGTCGCGCATCCATCTCCTTGATAAGGGCACCAAGAAGAATCGAATCACACTCAATGTTTTTTGAGCAGGCATACGTCTTGTGCTTGCCCGTGCGTATTTTGTCGACGAGATCGTGAAGGGAGTCTAGAAGGCGTTCGATGAATTGCTGTCTCTGTTCCTCGATCTCGTCTATATGCCTTGTTAGTGCTTGTCCTCTCATTTATCAGCCCTGGATGCATACCAATTACGGCCTCTGGAATTGGCAGTCCAAGTGTCTGGAGTGGTCCCCGGTTATGCTTGGAGGCAAGGAGCGTAGCTATTTTAAAGTCTTCCTTCAGGCGGAGCATCCAAGAAATCCAGACCCAGAGAACGATGCTTCGCAATTCTGGCGTTGAGGCAAGTCTCCCTTTCAGCTGATCGATCCACCTTTCTGAAAACGGCTCAATTACTTCGATGCATTTGTAGTAGTCCACTATAGCAATGATCTTGGCGAGCATGTCGTGGCTGACCTGTCGAGGAACTTTTCGGAAGTGACAGTGGATGATATTCATGACGATCGTGAGAGCCTCGGGGTCCCATCCCTCTTCATAAATTTGCACAGAGCCATCACGACGGAGATCCTCGCCTTCTTTCCAAGCGCCTTTGAGCATTGCCTTGAAGTACGGTGAAGCCAGGGTCAAGTGGTGCGATGAGACTTTCATTTGTATCTCCTCCTTTTTGTTTGAGGGCTCGTCTGAAGCCGTCTGGGTGTCGTTCTTGCTTGGAGCCGGTGCGGCCGGTTGGGTAGGTTGGGAAGGTGTTTTCTGCGTAGAAGAAGGATTTGCGGATTGGGTACTCGAGTTCGCTAGCGTGGAAAATGGCTGAGATGGTTGCTTGTAATCTTTGCTTTTATCCCAGACAGCGAAGGCTGTGTTGGGATTCTTCAAGACAAGGATGACGTCTCCATCCGGGTCGAACTCGCGAAGTGCGTCCGCTTCTGCCATTGTGATTGAGCGGTTAACAGAAGGATCAGCGTAAAGGTCTTTTGTTCGTGGAACAGGAATGTCTGCCTCTGGCAGCTTGTAAGACGAAGCAGTCAGGGAACCGGGACAAGAGCGAGGAGCCCTGGCGAAGCTCGTGGCGTCAGCAAGAATACAGTGGTCTGGGACTTCTCAGCAAGTAGCAGTAAGTGATGAAATGACGCTGGCTGGATGTGTAAGAGTGTAGATGAGGTGAATGCCTGGGTGAGGTGAAGACCTGCTTCTTACTTATGTAGGTAGATGCTTGCGCCCTAGCCCTGGACCCTAAGCCCTGAAGCCTACCGATCTGGGAGCTGACCCAGCTCTTGCTTATCCTGCCATGTGACAAGCAACAAATATGCCAGAAGGACAGTGAAAACAATGAATCAATATTGTAGGGTCCACATGCAGGATGGAGCTTGACTCAGTTCACCTGTCAAATGGTGAACTTTTAACAATCCTGGTTAGGTTCACCCAGCTAGAACCAACAACAACTAGGTGAAAGATAACTCCTTGTGGGTAAGGCTGAGCAGTCACCATGACCAGAAGTCATTCAGTTGATAGTTTAATAGATAAGATGCCATCTCTTGCTTTCTAGCATAACCACACAACTGTACATGCAGTCCTCCAGAGCCCTCCATGGTGCGAGTTGTAGACAGACCTTGCAATTGTCAGGGAATTGTGTCAAAATAGAAATAGGGAAAGAAGACATACTGTTATAGCAAGGAGAGCAGTCAAACAGCTGAACTCTGCACTGGCTGAGTCAAGCTGTCTCACCTAGCACCCTCCCTCCCACACCACTGCCAAGGAAAACGGCCAATATGATTTCTTTGTCTCACTACCTGTTGATAACCCGGGCAATGATAGTGCAGTTGGTAACTAGGGACGGCCCTAGTGAAGGCGTACTTGAGCCTGGGTGTTCAAATCCCTCTACTTCCTTTGAAAAAGGAAAAAAAGAGATCCTTATCTCACCTCCGCCTTCCCCTAATATCCTAGCACAAAGGTCTAGTAAAATCCCTGCCTGCCATGAAGCATAGGCAGGGGTTTTCGTAGCACCTGCGGGTCCTGAGAGGGTGGACTCCGGTGTGAGCTTTTTTATATTGGAGTAATTTAGTGACTAGTGGGTTTTTCTTTTTTTTTCCCTTGCTGTCGCTGTTATGAATTTTGATCGCAGACAGACGGCTCATTGGTAACTCGATTCATTATCTTGTCTCCTTTGTCAGTATAGGAGTCCAATGTGAAACAGACCTTGTCTTATCGCCTCTTCGATCAGACTATTGTTTGTATTGATTGTTCTCACTGACGCTTCAAATCTTCTACACAATATACGTCTTGTCGGATTTTGGAACTTAAAATGTCTATTTCATTGACAAAGGGTCACAAAGGGTTACATTGACCCTTGGAATCGCATCATCTCTGTTCCAGCGCCCGCGCTCTTTTGGGTTTATGTCCTGTCAATATCTGAGTATGAACTGTTTGGTTCTTTTTGCATTATACAGTTCCGTGAAAAGACGGGAGGACAAGAAGGTTAAGCTTAACCTGTAGATTTCCATTCATGGATCTAAGATAGTAAAGCGGTGGAATGAGTCAGAAAGAAAAGCCTGTGACAGACCTATTTTTTTTAGAAAAAAAACTTACCATATTTAGTAACTCTGGATAGAGGCTTTGGCATCTCGTTGACAGCGGATGAGTACTCGAGGAGGCCAAGAGCAGGGTTTGTCATCACATGTTAGGCAGACCCGGACACAAGAGGAAGCGCATACAGACCGTGCTCACATAGTCTTGCATAGAGATTTTTGCAATGCTTCCTCAGCACCCAATAGTGAAGGCGGTCGATCAGAGTTTCCACGACGAACGGAGCGACTGGGCAACTCGTCGGTACCACGGGCGTGACATCACAAAGAGCTTCTGAAAGTTATCGTCAAGAGCTGCGATCGACGGGTACTGCAAACGCCAACATCGCTGAATGATGGAGCCCACAGCCAGATCGTCAACAGCAGGGAACGCCACCTGATCAAATGCATCAGCACCGTCAGGTCCCTCAAAGTCAGACGGAACCTCTCTGTAGAGATTGTAGATTGTCCAGCCAATCGCGTGTTGTTCGCTCCGGTGACTTCGTACCTCAAATGCCCACGGCACATAAGGCGGAGCACCGCACTGTGACTGTACGGACCGACTCGCCGAAATCACTCAGCTTGATATTATCCCGTCGATCAAGCAGCAGATTTCTAGGGGTCAGATTCCCATGCACATAGCCCAAGGCCTCCAGGCATGCGGCAGCGCTGACTATTTGGCCTATCCATCGTGTCTTCAGTTCGTCGCTGGCGTAACACTCAGGGTAGTGCAGGTCCCGGTAACCGACCACACGATCCTCGAGAGTGGACTACATGCGAGGCAGAAAGATGCCCTCTGGTACGATCATAATCGTCTGGATAATATTCGGATGCAGTTTTTCGCGGAGAACACTGAAGATCTGTTTCTCGATCGACATGGACTCTGTCGCCACTCTTGACGGTCTTCGCTGGGAGGCCATCATCATAACCCCATCTGATAGGGCACTTGAAAACAACCAATCCAGGAAAGGCGAGGATCAATGCTTGGCCTCCGTGATTGAGTAGATTGTTGAGCCTGAGGGATGGGAAGGGCGAGAGGAAATACTTCCGTGGCGGTCGAGTGCCTGGACGAGAATCGACAGTCGAATGACTTTCCACGCTCATTTATATAACTAAGCGGCCCAGCCATAATTCCTCCTTCTCCCACCTTTAAGCAAGCAGCATGTTTGTTTCTATTAAAACGTCTAGTATAAATAACGTGAATAGAGTGGCGTCTTTTTTTTTGTTATGAAAAATTAGAGAAAAAAAAAGCCTCTTTAGGATATATTATCCTCTTTCTTTTATCTTGTTATTTACTACTTTGTCTAAAATATCTAGGGGGAAAAAAATAACTTCTAATATAGTTAAATCCCATTGCTTTATCATGGCGAAAGGTTAATTTGGCAAGAGCGAGGTTAGGCTGAGTCAACTGGCGAATTCCCACACATAGCCGAACCAGGTTCGTCCGCTTGTTCATAAATAAAACAATACAGATAATTTATAAGCAAATAGATAAAGATATCAGCATATATTGATGGATAAAACGGGAAAAAAAATTATACATCACCAGCCATCATCCTTCGACATTCACAGCTTCAAATTCCAAATCGAATATCCGCTTCTCCTCATCTGCCAGAGGATAATGCCGACCTGACTACGATCGAAATCATAGCACAGGATTCGTTCTTTTCCCCTTCTTCCTCAATGGAGAGCAGGAGCAGGAGCAGGAGGGACGAGCAACGATGTCTTCTGGCGAAAAAAAAAGTGGGAACCATGAGTAAGCGACACGCCCAGCAATGGAGAAGCGCCACAAAAAAAATTCACACAGACTTTGGACCAGCAGTGGCTTTCTTTCTCCATCCGCATACCTGGCAGATACTCGACAATGATGAAGATGACGTAGGGCCGGCATCTCCGTGGTCGCAAGCAAAGTCGATGAGCGACGACAGACAGACAGACCGCAGGGCATTGTATTGTGTTAGGTCCCATGTGGTACTTCCTGAAATTAATCAATGAGATAATTCGAAAACATTTCTGTTTATTTGAACAGAAACAGCCATGAAAAGAAAAAAAAGAAAAAAATGAATTGAATTGAATTGTCCACTCTTTTTTTTCTTCTACGTACAGTACTTCTTTCATCGTATAAACTCCTTCCCTTAACCTAGCATAACAGAGACAAGAAACACATCAGACTCGTCCCTATCGTTGAGTATTCACTTCTTTTTCTTTTTTTAAAAAAAATTATTTATTTGGATTCAAGATGTTCTGTCTTTCATTATTTATTTTTCTCTGATTGCACACTGTAATTCGAGGCTTTCAAAGTAGTTTGGAAATTCGTTTTTTTTTCTTGTTAACCAATTATTGTTATTATTATCTAGAGCATGCTGAGGTAGATCTCGATAGATATTACATTAATATTAGATTCCTGCTGCCTTGCCAGTACCTACATACATTCCACCATTGCAATAGGTATACTGTATCCATGCGCAAATCCCGGGGTGGATACATACACGAACCCAATCAGGTTAGGCCAGGTACGACTGGAAGTACACCGTACTGTGGCTTCAGCCTTCAGCCCCGTGGACCGGCGCACGGATAAATAGCCAAACTTTAACGGGACGTCCAAACAGCCACTGCCGCTTTTATCCCCCTCTATTATAAACAAAATACATCCGCACAAATTGTAACGCCTTAGTCAGCACCCGTGCTTAACGTAATCCACCACCGAGCTGGTCACACCACCGAGCTGGTCAGCCACAACACCAACACCGAGTTTTTGACTATTACTACCACCACCACCCACCACCACCTAATGGCCGATATATCTAGGGAGGAACGTCTTCAATTGGCCCTTCAGGCCTATAAAAAGGGCCAATTTCCATCAATCCAAAAGGCTGCAGATGCATTTGACGTGCCTAAAAGCACCTTAATAACACGTGTCAGTGGGACTACTTCTCGCAAAGATTCAATCGCCAATTGTCGAAAATTGACAGAGACTGAAGAGAATACACTTTCAACATGGATTCTGGATATGGACTGACGTGGTTTACCTCTGCGAATATCAATTGTACGCTATCTGGCACAGTTATTGCTATCCGCCCGGCTATCATCCTCCCAAAGAGCCTTCATTGGTGAGAA